AGTTCTATTTACGTTTTTATCTTTGTTCTCTTTCTTGCGCTGTTAAGCGAATATATAATCAAAATCAACAACAATTGCTCATTTAAATTAAGAATATAAGGATTAAGTACATATACATTATCGAAATAAACGAGTATTAAATAACTGCGGAATACGTCGCTGTTGAAGACTCATCATGGGCGAGACTGCGAGAGTAGCCAGATGTAACGTTCAGGTAGGACAAAGCTTGTTCACTATTGCGCACCTAGATATTCTACATTGATTTTTCAAATTGGATGCAATTTGCAGGATCAATGTAGAATTAATATTTCGACTCGGGAAAGACTCGGCAATGAGAACGAATTGTCATTGCACTTGGACAATCTTCTAACACTGATTTCTGGTATTGATCGGTATTCGATTTTCGGTACTTACTTTTTATTTACTCTTTCATTCCTCTACAAGAAAAAAAAATTTATACGACTCGTCCATTTAACCGCGTTAATTTGATGAATAAATTAAATATTGATCGGTCTTCAATTTTCGGTACTGATTTATTCTCTCTTTTCTTTTATAAGACAAGAAAAATTGATATGAATCATTCGTTTATTCGAGTTAATTTGTTGAATAAGATCAGAGGGGTAAGTACCTGAAAAATGAGAACAAATTGTCATTGCACTTGGACAATTTTTTGACACTGATTTATGGTATTAATCGATATTCGATTTTCGGCACTGATTTACTCTTTCATTTCTCTATAAGAAAAAAAAATTTATACGAATCGTTCATTTACCCGCGTTAATTTGATGAATAAATTCAATATTGATCGGTCTTCAATTTTCGATACTGACTGATTCTCAATTCAATCAATACAATTTTCTAACGCTGATTTATAGTATTAATCAATATCCGGTTTTCGATACTGATTTAGTCTTCGATTTCTCTATAAAAGAAAAAAAGATTGATATAAATTGTTCATTTATCCGCGTTAATTTGATGAAAAAATTAGATATTGAACGGTCTTCGATTTTTGGTACTGATTTATTTTCTCATTGTTTTACAAGACAAAAAAATTGATACGAATCGTTCGTTTATCCGAGTTAATTTGTTGAATGAGATAAAGGGGTAAGTACCTGAAAAATGAGAACAAATTGTCATTGCACTTGGACAATTTTTTGACACTGATTTATGGTATTAATCGACATTCGATTTTTGGTACTGATTTACTCTTTCACTTTTCAATAAGAAAAAAAAATTCATACGAAACGTTCATTTATCCGTGTTAATTTGATGAATAAATTAAATATTGATCAGTCTTCAATTTTCGGTACTGACTGATTCTTTAATTTCTTTATAACAGAATAAAAATTGAATACGAATCGTTCTTTTATCCGACTTAATTTGTTGAGTAAATTAGTGGGGTAAGTACCTGCAAGATGAAAACAACTTGTCATTGCACTTAGACAATTTTTTAACGCTGATTTATAGTATTAATCAATATTCGGTTTTCGATACTGATTTAGTCTTTGATTTCTCTATAAAAGAAAAAAAGATTGATATAAATTGTTCATTTATCCGCGTTAATGTGGTGAAAAAATTAGATATTGAACGGTCTTTGATTTTCGGTATTGATTTATTTTCTCATTGTTTTACAAGACAAAAAAAATTGATACGAATCGTTCGTTTATCCGAGTTAATTTGTTGAATAAGTTTAGAGGGATAAGTACCTGAAAAATGAGAACAAACTGTCATTGCACTTGGACAATTTTCTGACACCGATTTACGGTATTAATCGATATGTGATTTTCGGTACTAATTTACTCTTTCATTTCTCTATAAGAAAAAAAAATACATACGGAGCGTTCAGTTATCCGCGTTAATTTGATGAATAAATTAAATATTGATCGGTCTTGAATTTTCGGTACTGACTGATTCTTTAATTTCTTTATAACAGAATAAAAATTGAATACGAATCGTTCTTTTATCCGACTCAATTTGTTGAGTAAATTAGTAGGGTAAGTATCTGCAAGATGAAAACAACTTGTCATTGCACTTAGACAATTTTCTAACACTGATTTATAGTATTAATCAATATCCGGTTTTCGATACTGATTTAGTCTTTGATTTCTCTATAAAAGAAAAAAAGCTTGATACAAATTGTTCATTTATCCGCGTTAATTTGATGAAAAAATTAGATATTGAACGGTCTTTGATTTTCGGTATTGATTTATTTTTTCATTGTTTTACAAAACAATAAAAATTTATACGAATCGGTCGTTTATCCGAGTTAATTTGTTGAATGAGATTAGAGGGGTAAGTACCTGAAAAATGAGAACAAATTGTCATTGCACTTGGACAATTTTCTGATACTGATTTATGGTATTAATCGGTATTCGATTTTCGATATTGATTTACTCTTTCATTGCTCTATAAGAAAAGGAAAAATTGATACGAATCGTTCATTTATCCGCGTTAATTTGATGAAAAAATTAGATATTGAACGGTCTTTGATTTTCGGTATTGATTTATTTTTTCATTATTTTACAAAACAAAAAAAATTGATACGAATCGTTCGTTTATCCGAGTTAATTTGTTGAATGAGATTAGAGGGGTAAATACCTGAAAAATGAGAACAAATTGTCATTGCCCTTGGACAATTTTCTGACACTGATTTATGGTATTAATCGGTATTCGATTTTCGATATTGATTTATTCTTTCATTGCTCTATAAGAAAAGGAAAAATTGATACGAATCGTTCATTTATCCGCGTTAATTTTTTTTTTATTATATATAAGTGGTCCATGGGACGATTAAATATTCGAATACATGTTGCCGTATCAAAGTCTCCTCTATAATAAACGATTTGACACGTCTGGGGACGCATGATGTATCGTTGCCCGCATCCCATTCCCTTCGTCCTACTTTTCTGTATAAAATGTCGAATTGAAACGTATTAAAAAGTATTGACATTTTGAATATGTCTGATTTCTGAATCTTTTTGATCCAACAGAAAAGGATTGAAAAGTATTAGTTTCCATTAAATTTTACTGCGCTAAATGCGAGACGGTCTCTTTCACCCGAGTGCCTCACCAGGGAAATTTCTCTGGTACGCTAAATCCCGTAAGGTCATCAGTCTGTGTAGTATATCTCGTCGGTGCATAAGGTTTATATTACCTGTACATACATATTTTGAAATATTTTCTTTGGATATTATATCAAACGGATTTTGCGTGTCACGTAATATCCTTCGGACTACACGGACATTATTATTTTGATCAATTTGATTTCTTTGGTATTCATTGAATTATCCAGAACGCGCAACTGCCATGTTGAACGACTCAATTGTCATGTGAAATGTTTCGATTTTCACAAATTCATATAAAATTTTTCATTTTTCACTGATTCACAGAAGTCTTTCACTTTTTATTAGTTCACGCTAGGGAAAAGATTCATGATCGCTGCCCTGAGCAACTGCAACGCTTTTCGAATCATCTATGTCGACGCGTTTTTACTCCTCAGATTTCTGTCATTAATAACTCGATAATTATTGCGAATCTCGCAAAATGGTATGGGACTTTTATGTTTGTCTCAACCCAATCTACCCTCACACTTCGGGTTGGCAGCTAATTACCGGACACTTCGTATGATCTTCATGATATTAATCATACACAATGTCAATTCTTTTTTTTTTGCATATGTTAACATGTTAATTCATGTTATAAACGCGTAACAATGTGCGAGACCGTGCTTGTCAAATATGCTATTATGGTTGTAGCACGGACATAAACCGCCTAAAAATGGATGTAGCACGGACTGCCACCACATACAGGTTTTACCGCCGAAATCTGAATGTGGATGTAGCCTCGTAATTCCCCTCTCAAAATGGATGCAGATGGCCTTTCCCAGTGCGAAAAATCGGTGTCGTCGAAAACACCGTGTTGGCCGCTCTCACGTTCCTCTCTGGAGATATTCATCGCGCCAAATCTTATTAAACGACATTCTGCTATAATAAACATACGAAATTTGCATTCGACATTTCCAATGATAACACACACGTGAAAGTTATTCGGCGAGTTGAATAAATAAAGCACAGCAGGTTGAATGAAAAATGAACTTTGTGCCATCGTTGATGCAACGAACATTACGTTACTTGGTTAGGTTATTCCCGATAATCTGTCTTATTTGATTGTGACAATTGTTCAACAATATTTTATTGCGACGAACACAAGAGACAGACTTTTGACACTCTCGACAAAAATACGCGTGCAAAATCGTTTCTGGATAGTCAAAATTATTAAAAAGACAGAGCAACTTACCGAATCCGTACTACGCGCCCAGGATGCTTTCTTCGTAAAGGCTCGTCTACATTAGCTGTAAGAGTAAGGCTATAAGGTTGCAAGGCACGAAATGAAATATTTTCATTCGCTGACAGCATACGTTACAGCCTTACAGCCTTACTCTTACAGCTATTGTAGACGAGCCTTTAAAGACCGAACATCGCAACAATTGAAATCTCGAAGTATCTCGATACGCACGAATGTGCGATACTTCTCTCGAAATCCTCGATTGGCCTATTATACAAGATATTAATCTTCAAAAACTGTTTTGATATTTTGACTTCAATAACGATTTTGTTTTAATAAACGTGCAAAACATTTATTCAATACTATTCGCGGAAATAATTCATGTGCAAAAATCATTTTCGAAAAGTTAAAATCGCGGGAAATACAGACTAGGGAATTTTTGCAATACTGTCAATCAGATACGGGCTGCGTTCCGATATTCACTGTCAGCACTAAAAATCTATAGTATACGTGATGCAAACTATGTATTTTCAGTACTGGCAGTGAATATCGGAACGCAGCCACGGTAAACGTAAATCGTGAATACTATTGGTCGCGAATATTGCGTTATTTCTGAGCGAGTAACGTTCACGATTTACGTTTACCGTACCTGAGAGACGGTATTGCAAAAATTCCCTAATAACTTTTCCATGTTGTCCATATTACACGTTATTCATTTATTAACAAAAATTGTCTATGACGCATATTCAATAAATACATATTACTCATTATTGTAATCCTATTGAATATTCTATTATTGGTGCTACAATTTAAAAATATCTGTGATCATTTTCACTTTCTCTCTAAAACTCATCTCTAATACCTTGCTTATCATCTGCCGAAAGTACAGAGTATTTGCAAATATGGCGTTGCTTTATACGAGGTACATTATAAAATGTGATCCTTACTATGAGTTTACTTATTATTTAGATGGAAAAATAAAGATATTTTTGTATTTTTTAGGTTTCTTTGCCGACGCAATGTTGATTTTCGACTTTTTCGAGGCCTATATACATCTAGGTAAAATATTATATAATATAACCTCAACTTTATGTAATTGTCAAATTAAAAGAATGTTTTTGTAATTTATTAATTATTGTGTATTATATCAAACATGTTTTCTTAAATATAATGATAATTAATGCAAAAGGAACATGAAAATTCTCAAGCTATGTACACTAACTGTACCGCTATTTATATAGAAACTTTTATATTTAAGAATATATTCAGTCATATATATATATATATATATATATATATATATAACTAAAAATGTGACAGAAAGTTGCTTTTTTCTGCTTTTTTAGCACAAAAATGACAAATCTTTCACGCGTAGTCTGTGAAACCCATGATGAGAGAAATATGCGTTTGAAAAGACCAATGTCACCACATCTGACAATCTATGAATTCCCATTGCCAGCAATGCTCTCAATAACACATCGAACTACTGGCATAATATTATCTTCTTATGCAATGTTCCTTGGTTTAGGTAAAATACATGATACTATTCAATATTTATCAAATAAATTAGATAATAGGTTGACCATTGCATTTAAAAATATACTTAGTAATATTTTTTTGGTTAAAATAATATATGTAATATAAATGTGCGATAAAATAGAATATTTCAATAACTATGTTATCCTATTTCAGGTACACTGTGTATACCAGGTGGTATTCCCTGTGCTATAGAAATATTGAACGATTTATATATACCCTCACTCATATTGTTCGTTGGCAAGACATTGTTAGCTCTGCCTATTACCTTTCATATATTAAATGGAATACGTCATTTGGTATGTGTGAATTTTATATTATTGTAATAAACATAAGTAGAAATAATTACAACAAAAAATATAAATAATTTGTCATAATTTATCAACGTAAAAGAAAACTTTTTTATAACTTTATCTTTTAAATTCTGTGTGCCAATTGTATGTCATATATATTTTTTTGAATTTACAGGCTTGGGATTTAGGGATGTTTCTTAAAATCAAAGAAGTATATAGCACTGGATATGTAGTATCTGCATTAGCAGCCATCTCTGCACTTGTACTTGCAGCAATGTAAAAGTTATTCTCATGAACCAGAAAATTTTTTTTTAAATTAGTTGTATTAGCAGATTGCTCCAAACTTGTATTATTAATACTACTTTAACTATTGTGGATAAAATAATTTAATAAAACTTGTATGTATTCAATGCATAAATTTAATTTCTTTATTAATAATCCATTTCAATTTAAAACTGAATGAATATTACAGTTTAGACTTGATTATATTTATAAATAAGATATTTTATAGTTTTAACATAAAATAAAGATGTTTTCATACCAGCTATACAGAAGGGAAAATTTGATATTTAAACATTATTATAGAAATTAGAAATTAATATTAGAATTATTTGTACTTAAAATATAAGAATTGTATATTATTAAACACTTTTCTATGGTCTTTATAATATTCCAACATTTCAAAATAGATATTGAAAAAATTTACTGTATTCTATAATACTATATCGTTATATAGTATAACTATTACATAAAAAGTACAAATATAAAAAGTTACAAACTTTACATAAAACCTTCTAGGGATGAGTCGATATACTTTTTATAAATCGCCATAAATCGTGCAGCAAAAGCTTCTAAATGGAAGATGGGTTTTGAACCACGTATCATTCTATGTTGGTATTCTGATGCAATATCAATAATTTCTCTTTTCAACTGATCATCGCATTTCTTTACACATTCTTGTAACAGTCCTCTGAATATTAGATCGCACGGTATAGCACGTGTTAATAAATCATAAAATCTATTACGAATTTCCAGAAGTACTTTGGGAGATTGTTCAGATATCATCTTAGTAGCTGTATTTCGTATATATACTTGCCAATCTGGCTCTGTTATCTTTTGATTAGTGGTGAATGGATACCTAAAAACAAAATACTTTGAAAAACCATAAAGAAGAATAATGAAGATGTAACAAATTCATTATCTTTAATCTATTTTTTCATAAATATGCATTTATCATTACTTACTGCTCAACTTTGGAAGCTTCAAGCATTAATATTGCTCGTCTGAGATTTCTATCGCTAGCCTCGATTATCCGATTAGCCAATTCGTCAGGCAAGCTAAGTCCCTCACGTCTACAAATGGAATGTAAGATATTTTTTATTTCGGAAGCTGTTGGTGCGGGTACTCGAATTCGTACACATCGCGATCGAATCGCAGGTAGAACTCGTGATGTTGAGTTAGCACAAAGAATCAATCTACATGTACTAATGTATTTTTCCATTGTTCTACGAAGTGCGTGCTGCGCATCCCTAGTAAGTTGATCCACATTTGACAGCAATACCACTATTTACATAAATCAACAATATTATTTATAATTACTAATTTGCAATATTTTATTCCAGAAATATAATTTTAAAAAATTTCAAAGAAACAATTTTAATCCTTAGCTAATTTTTTATCAGTTATTTTTTAGATGTTAAGATAAAAACATATATATGAGTCTTTTTTATACCTTTAAATTCTGTTTGACCTATATCTATATGATGTGTTTGTGCGGTTGCTTTTATTAACTCCATAACAACAATTCTGTCATGTATTCCTGCATCACTGGGATTTACTTCAATATGGTAATTACTGCTTATTGTTAATATCTCTAACTTTTTTTTAGAAGCTGTCTAAAAATATACGTTATATATAATATCAACGAATTATTCATTTATATTTTATACACAATAGTGTACATTTACAACTATCAATAAAAAAGTCTTTAGATTTTAAATTAGTAATATTTTGTAAAATAAAACTAAGACATATCAAACCTCAAACTGCATGTTTTCTGTTTTTAATCTCTCAGCTGCATTTCCATAAAGTTCTTTTAAAATACATAATATACGAGTTTTCTTTCCTGCACCTGGTGGTCCATGCACTAATAAATGCGGAAAGTCTCGCTTTTGAACCTATATTTTAAATAAAAATAATAATGAAATGTTATGATTATTTCAATTAATTTTAAAATATAATATTGTGATTTTATAAAAGCTTATAAAGCCGGTTAACCTTATTTATGAAATAGTACTTTAGTATATTTTATAATTACCATATTTTTCAAGTCCTCCGCTTGTTCGAGATGATAATCTAATTTAGCAAGTGTCGTAGGACGATACTTATCAACCCACAAACTCATTTTGATATCCAAGAATATTCACAAATGACGTTTTTAGTGAAACTGTACTGTGCTCGAAAGCGATAATATACTCTTCAATCGTCATCTACTTCAAAAATATTTCGTCTATATGCAAAATCATAATAAAAACAGCATTCAACATAAATTGATGTTGATTAATATACAATTTATTCAAATATAACGCACAAGAAAATTGTGAATTGCTTTATATATTGGCTTCATCACCATATTCTAAAGTACGACCTAACCAAAAAGCTTCAAATAGCGCGGGAACGAATACCGGTCTTTTGTAACACTTTATTATTTCTTCCCCGCATACTTTTAAACTTGCATATATATATATATATATTTCAAATATAAAATATATAAATAAAATGAAAATTATAATGAGGCATAACATGAAATGTAATGAAATAAAAAATTAGGTATATGAAAATTATAATAAAACATAAAAGTATACTATGTGATAAACATTTATTTTACCTAAACAAATAGTTAAGAATAAATCTAAAACATGTTGATATTTGCTGGGACAATATTGCTAAGGAATGTGTATAAATTGTACAGATATCATGTAAAATACTCTTTTATACATTCTTAAATTAAAGATAAGTCAAATTAACAATTTTCGTATAATTATACTATTTATGTCTTGTTTTATTAAAATATCTGATTAAAATATCAAGTATCTTTATTATATGTGTATGTGGAATTTATATGTAAAAAATTATATGTATATTTGCAATATATATGAAATATAATAAAAATATCATACAACGATTCTATTATTAAACATAGATCAACATATCATTACTAACATCTATATTAATATTTGTAATTAAAATCTAACTTAAGTACATTATAAGTAAATATTAAATCTATTATGGCAAGATATCTCTTGAGTCTTGATATTATAGCTAATATAAAAATAGCTATTGACAATACTAGTAAATGCAATTTTGATATTTTAATCTTGGTTTTCAAGATCAATTTTTAAAACTAAACTAAAATTAGCGCCTAAATATCTAACATACTAGCTTGAACATGGAAAGATAATATTATTTGTTATCAAATGCATGTAATATTTAAATTTAAAATAACTTTTTTTAATAAATTAGCATGCAATTGAATATATATATATACATACATACATATATATGTATATAATTCCTTATATAATATATTAAATATTAAATATAATTTCTAAAAACATAATTTTGTTGTATATGTATAACAATTTTCTCTATATCGCAAAAACCTCAAATATCATAACAATTTATAAGTTTGATATATATAACAATTTATAGTTCTGATTATAAATATCTTAATCAAATATGTTGTAACTAAAAATGGGGCCATACATTATAATATTAAGTTAAAAATCTTGTCAATATGATATGTATAATAATAATACCAATTAATTTTGTTGCAGTAAAGATGTAAAAACACATGAAAAAATCGATCGGTTTAAGTACTATAAAATTATATAAACATAAAAATGCTTCTATATATTATATATGTGTACGATTTTTTGATATATATATTTCTTACTTAAGGGAGCATTGTGGCAGATATATTGTGTTTTCTCCAGTTTATACCCACACACCATGTGGATTTTTACTTGTGGGTACTGCAGTTTCCAATTGTCTTGGTGATCCTATCATCTTACGGGTACTTCCAGGTTTATGGGCTCCTATCAATTAAACAATTATTAACTTATTAGATAATTATATATATAAACTTCATAACTTGTGAAATATGTATAAAGATAAATGCCTTCTAATAAAGATTTGACTTGCTCATCTGAACATGCAATGGCCAAACTTTGCAGATTTGCCTCCTTCATGTCAGCTACCAATCTTTCAACTTGTAATTTCTTCTCAACAATAGCTGATTCTAAATTAACCACCTCTAATTTTAGAGATTCCGCACACTGTGAAGCTAACTCGGTTGCACGTTTAGCCTGTTCTACCTCGTTTTGCAAGTGCTCCACTTCACTAATTATTTTTCGCTCTATAATTTGTCGTTCATCCGTTTCACGACTTATATTATGTTGCTCCATTGCAAGTTCTTCCATAACTAATCTGTAATTATAGTTATTATTATGTATTTTTTTATAATTTACTTGTTATATTGTTTTTCATAACCTATATCTAGATATAAATCTTGTATCACAATATTATTTCTGAAATTGTATACTTAGAATCCATTGTGATGATCTAGCTTTACCTGATCTTATTTTTACATTGAAGCAATTCTGTCTCACAATTGGCCAATTTTGATCTGAGCAATGTTATTTCCGACTTCAGTGTTTTTTCTTGTTGTCTAACTATTTCACTCTCTTCTTCTACATGAGCTAATTCTTTAAGCTAATTGTAAGAAAATATTAAAATAAATATTATATATAATAATTAAAAACATATAGATAAACAAATACTGTACCTGCTCTTCAATAATACGACCATTGGACTCAATACGACTGACTTCCTGGGAAATAAAATCCATTTGATGTATCTGTTCCCTATTCTTTGATTCCCAATATGATATTTCTGCATCAAACTAATAAAAATAAACATATAAATATGATAAAATTTGACTGTTATATAATTCATAATTCCAATATATATCTTACTTTTGAAATATCAGCTTGCTGAGCACTAATAGTGTCCCGTTGTTTATTGACTAGTTTTATAAGTTCAACATACCGTTGAGTATAAGCAACAGTTGCCATATTTTGTGCTGTGGCAGGCAGTGGATTGACAGATTGTGTAGGTACTTTAGTTTCTTGGAATTCCTGTAAAAGATATATTACAATATATATGTTACAATTCTGCATGAATTGTGTGATGAAACGTAATAATAAACATATTAATAGCAACTAGAAACCTGAATGAGGTTCCTTTTTAATTTTATGGAATTACTAGAAGATGCCTGATCATCTTTATGAATATGAGAATTTCCGCTATTGATACTAGGCACAAATTGTGATCTTCCAGGGCTATTTAAATTGGGTGGCGGTGGATCTCGATAAGGTGGCAAAGTTCGCAATGGTGGTGAAGCAGGGCCTGGAGGCTCTCTGTAAGGTGGAACCTCACGTACCTTTTTCTGTGACAAATGTGTGACAACTGAAGAAAAAGTAAAATAATTAATTAAAAACAATAAGAAATATGTTAGCATATTTAACCCTTTAACTGCTACGGTCGAGATAACTCGAGTGTGGAAAAAAATGGCAGCCTTGCTACGATTTTAAAATAACTCAAACTCAACTCAGCAAAGAGGGTCATACTGGTCATTTAATATCTCGGCAGTTAAAGAGTTAAATACCATTGAAATTTTTATTTCAAAAAAATTTCAATAAAAAAGATAACTGACTTTCATTAGCTCCTCGTGTAGGTGATTGAGCAGGTTTTTGTATATTTTTCCGTATATTTAAGTCCTTACTTTTTAAATGTAGTGTGGGTTGTACAACAGCCACATTTTCCATTTGAATCTAAAATAATACTTATATTTACCCAAAGTAGAGAGAGAGAGAGAGAGAGACAGAGAGAGACAGAGAGAGACAGAGAGAGAGAGAGACAGAGAGAGAGAGAGACAGAGAGAGAGAGACAGAGAGAGAGAGACAGAGAGAGAGAGACAGAGAGAGAGAGACAGAGAGAGAGAGAGACAGAGGGAGAGAGAGAGAGGGAGAGAGAGAGAGAGAGAGAGAGAGAGGGAGAGGGAGAGGGAGAGAGAGAGAGAGAGAGAGAGAGAGAGAGAGAGAGAGAGAGAGAGAGAGAGAGAGAGAGAGAGAGAGAGAGAGAGAGAGAGAGAGAGAGAGAGAGAGAGAGAGAGAGAGAGAGAGAGAGAGACAGAGAGAGAGAGAGAGAGACAGAGAGAGAGAGAGAGACAGAGACAGAGAGAGAGAGAGAGACAGAGACAGAGACAGAGACAGAGACAGAGACAGAGACAGAGACAGAGACAGAGAGAGAGAGAGACAGAGAGAGAGAGAGACAGAGAGAGAGAGAGACAGAGAGAGAGAGAGAGAGAGACAGAGACAGAGACAGAGAGAGAGAGAGAGAGAGAGAGAGAGAGAGAGAGAGAGAGAGAGAGAGAGAGAGAGGACAGAAATAGTATTTATCAACACTAAAAATTTACCTCGCTATTGCCTTCTGTGATAGCTCCATGGAATCCACTAAATGTGAGTGATTTCCTAGTATCTCTATTTCTTTCCAATCCTCCTTGCGTATCATCAAAATCTGAACTTTGTGAGATCGGCATATTTTTGGTATCATTTTGAATACCAGTAGAACTTGTTCCATGTTCAGACAATGACACTGGTAGTCCATTAGCACGTGGTACATATGTTAAACGAGATGGTAAAGCATTTGATTTATTTTCTGATTTTCTCAGAATTAATTGTACTTCAGAGGAATATTCACCCCATTTCATCAAAATCTAAACAATATGTTATCAATTATATAAAACTATATGTTCAATTAATAATATAAAACAGTTTCATGACATATATATAAGATATATCTGACCTTAAGAGGCTTTTCATAAGGAGCTAACAAACGTTCATTTGTTCTCCAACGTTCCACCAAAATAAATCTACCTGTTTGGGCTGTAGCATTAGCAATTGCTAACACTACATCCTACAATAAAACATTCATCATACCAATAACTTTTGGAAGTAAATCTGAGTGGTTTCAGGAAATAGGATAAAGTAATTGCATGCAATAAGGATATATTATTTATAAAGTTCATATGACAATATTTAGATATATTTTGAATAATGAAATATATATCAAGCACTAGAAGTTAGAATGAAATAAGCTAATAATTTATATTTTTCTTTAAATACATGGTATTTAATGGCATGTATCACAAATTACATATTTTATTTGCTATTGTGCATTACACAAACCGATATGAACAAATAATAACACAATAGCATTACATAAGTTGGTATAAACAAATAACACATAATATTATCTTGATTAATAAATATATACCTGACAAGTAGAATCTTCTCTAACGCCGCATACGATACGTTGTATTCCTTCTACCCACACTTTTAACTCCATTACGTTACAAAATTTCGAGCTTAATTCTTTGTATCGTAAAGTCAGCTTTTATTGAAAGCCATGGTCTGTCGTTTATCTCTATATGATGCTATTGAAATCTTTGTACATATAATCTAATAAAATAAAGTATTGCACGATGCTTGTATTACTTGTCATATATCCAATTGCATTCAGTTGCCACTACAAAAGCTACCGCAGCAATAAACTTAATATTTGTTCTTCACTAACAGGTTTAAATTACTCTCTCTTTTTGAGGGGATATCGGAGCGGCTGGCGAACTCCGACGAATCTGCGCTACCACTTAGAAGAAACCAAAAAATGTCGATAAAGCAATGCTATAATAGCATGTCGGTAAAAATTAAATCGACATTACCGATGATATAGGCTGAGTCCCGAAATGCTTTGATAGTACCATCAGAGAGAAGAAGGAGAGGTGTCATGGGCATAGACATAGGAATATAGGGACAGAGCATAGAGTTGCGGGGTGATAACCATTGCGGGACGGTGCGACGAGGTAAACTGTGCCTAAATCTAATTGGTGGTTATGACGTGTATAAGTATTTGATACATACATAGATGTGTATGAAGTTGTGTGTGTATGGTTTCTTACTGCTCACGCTTACAACCTTAGGCCTGATCTATAATACGTGTCGTACGTTGTAAGCCGTAAGAATTGGCGAATCATATGGTCTGTTCTTTTCAGCTGCACTGCGGAACTAGTGCAATAAGTTAGAATGAGACAACTATATTTTTTCTCACTTTAACTTATTGCACCAGTTCAGTAGTGCAGCTGAAAAGAACAGACCAATAGTCGATTATTACAAAAATAATCGGCTATAATTGGTCAGTTCTTACGGCTTACAGCTTACAACACCTATTGTAGACCAGGCCTTATTCTTGCAGCCATTGTAGATGGTCCTTTACAGCCTAAAGGCTCGTCTACATTAGCTGTAAGAGTAAGGCTGTAAGGTTGCAAGACACGAAATGAAATATTTTCATTCGCTGACAGCTTACGTTGCAGCCTTACAGCCTTACTCTTACAGCTATTGTAGACGAGCCTTTACTCTTACAGCTATTGTAGACGAGCCTTAAGGCACAGCCTAAAGCTAAAGCTAAGACTCCATGCATGCGGTGAGCTCCGGCAAACGGCTGCGGTGACCAATCAGGAGACAGACGCATGCCGGAGCTTGCCGCAACCGGACTTGCGCCTCCCTCCTGATTGGTCACCGCAACCGTTTGCCGCAGCTCACCGCATGCATGGAGTCTTAGCTTTAATGCTCGTCTACAATAGCTACAATCGTCGCCCCCCGCATTTCAGCACAACTCCCCTCGCCTATCTTAAGGGCTTATGCTCTGTCTCTATATTCCTATATCTATGGACATGGGCTGCTTCAGAGAGAAACTGAAAGCGGCCACCGGGCCGATTACGCTGGGATGCTTTTTCGGCTAAATTCTGTTGCGCCTTCTGAGAAAATGTGTATACACTACATCCGTCCTGACGGTAACGACAAAGCGTGCACAGTTCTTGCTCACTCTACTTCTCTTTACAAGAGATAGTGAGTTAGACAAGTACAGACGATCAATCGCTTTCCGTTTTTGTCGCACCAATGAGCGTGTGCGCGGCGCGGAGGAAGCACGAGGCGATTCAGCGGCAGATCTTATCGCTAAACTAAATCTCTCGCATCTTGCCCCTTCGCCTTCTCATTTTTCACGCAACGCACTGCTTGCAATTCGGGAAGAAATATTTCGAGACCGCGCAGAAAACTTCTAGTAATAACACAAAATGACGCTAATAGAGGTGGTCATTTTTATAATTTTTATATTTAATTTTTTAACTTTTTATTCAATTTTTTTATTTTTTTCCGAAATCAATGTGAAAATGAAGTCACCTATTATAAGTTAATAATTATTTGTGATAATTATTTGTGATAAGACGTTAATCTATATTTGGAATAAGGATGATCCCAGCAAATCACATCAAGTTGTGATCGTACGTTTTGAAGTTAGAAGTCACGAAAATTTGAAAAGTGACAGGCCCAGAAATTACGAGTCATCAAATATTAATTAACGAAATATGAGTAATAAGGTTTTAATCTAGATAAGGTGTTAATTAACGCGACGAGACTCCGATTATAAATATCCCGCGAGTCGACGCAATATCTGATCTTTTAAAAAAAGCATCAAAGAAAATCACATTGATGTTGTCATGGGTGAAATCTCATCCTGGTATATATTTTTTTATTTTCGAAATAAAAAAAGCCAAACGAATGCAATTAAATGTTATTTATCATCATTGAATATTAGATGAAAAGTAGAAGAGTTATTGTCCGCAGCGGATAATCTAACATTTAATAAGAACGAGACAAAATTCGTATGGAATGAAATTCCACTCTTTAATGCTACTATGACTTTTAATTATTCTCCGAAAACAATGTCACACAACTTTGACACTCTGTACAATTAGTTGCTAACACATTTTCTAATCGTACACATTCCTCTTTAATTAACATAAAGCTAACAAATATCCGATGCTTCGACAGAATAATTTTCTTTATTTTCAGTAATCAATAGATAGTAAATCAATGTATATAAAATAAATTTAAAAAAAAATAAAATACATAAAATGAATTTGTAAATTTATAAATGCATATAATATATAATTCTTTCAATAAAAAATAAAATATATAAAATAAATTATAAATTTATAAATTCATATGATATATAAATATAATTATTTCAATAAAAAATAAAATATATGCCATACGTTAGCTTTCTGTTATGTATACACACAAGACGATCGGCTCCTGCTCGCTCCTGTCACTATGAGACAGCAAGGGAATAGGATTAGGAGCAGCCATGAAATATAATAGTTGTAGATGGAAGTGTGTACTGCTCTCTCCAGATCCAGATCTCACTCGCTCCACTCTCGTTATCGTAAGCACCTTATGTGTGCGTGCGTGGTGGAGAAAATTAGTAAAGTGGTCTGTTCTTTTTAGCTGCACTACTGAACTGGTACAATAAGTTAAAGTGAAAAAAAATATAGTTGTCTCATTCTAACTTATTGCACTAGTTCCGCAGTGCAGCTAAAAAGAACAGACCAAAGAATCGTGGACACTGGTGTCGTTAGTATATGTACACGGTTGTACAGAGAGCGCTTCGCACTTGGCTCGGCTAAAAGCGGCCCATGATACCTCTCCGTCTTCTCTCTGGTGGTACAAACAATGTCGTGCTTTTTCGAATGTCTTCTATATACCAGTGTTAATTTATAAAGAATATGCAAATTGTACTTAATAAAGAACAAGTTATATTTTAATATTGATATCAAAATGGATAAATCTACTATAGAAACTTTCCTGAAATTAAAATCATGTTGTAATAATTTGATGGAAAATCCAAAGAAAGACAATGTATATAAATTTATGGAAATAATAAGTAATAACTCCAACGTAGCCGTGCAACACCTGTCGGATTATTGTTTATGTTCTACTATCATCTCTTTACAGATCAAGGACTTAAGGTAATTTTAAAACATTCTGTTTGTATATGATGAATTAGGTTATGTAATATATGTACATATATATATATCAACATTGATTACTACATTGATCAACTAATTGTTCAATTTTTGTATGTCTTATCGATATTAATTGATCACACAAAAATTTTAAATCAAAAGAAAGATAGAAAAAAAAAGGTTGAAGAATTTGAAATTGATGTATATGTATATATATACACATATATATCATATTTTATATATGTATACTTCATTTTTTAGTTTTTTTAGTGTCCATTTATTAATATCTAATTTGTTAGATGTAATTAGTTATGTATTGATTACAGTACTTATAATGTTTGCTAGTGATTACTATTGAATACATTAATATTTATTTGTGATATGATATATTTATTGTGATGATTTTTATATATTTTTTGTCATATTTTATACAGCAAAGATAAAAAAGAAGAATTGCTAAGAATTCTGAGACTTATATTACAAAGACACAAAATTAAAAATTTAGAGAATTTTAATTATATTTACACAACTGTCCTGATTCAAATTTATGATAAAAGTCAAACAAACAAAGGTATGTAGGTAATATTATAGAATATCTTATATATAATTTCATTATTTATTTGTATTTTATAGTAATAACATTTCATGAAGAACTAAAGGAATTAGTAGCTTTATGTATCAAAGACATTATCTGTCAAAGTTTTATTGAAGTCATAGAGTTGCTTTATGATAAGAAAAATAGAGCAACTATTGGTCAAGGAATATTATTATGTTTAACAATTGCAAAAACTGAAAAATCATCTGTTGTAAGGTAAATGTTTAAAAAAATTATGAAAAATGATATACATATATTAATTTATAATATTTTTATATTATATATAAACATATATATATATATATTTCTGCTAATTTCAACTAACTGTTGCTAGACTAGCAGCAATAGATGCAATAATGACTTTATGTTATATACATGATGAAATAGATAGATCAGATATTGTTCTGCAAGAGCAAATAGCTGATACTATTGTGATATTTCTACCTGGTATTATTGGCGGATTGCAAGAGATAATAATAGAAGGAGAAATTCAGAATCATAAAGTTACAGTGGTAACATATATATTTCTTATATACACTGACAATTGCATTTAATATATTTTGACAGAAAACAAATTAATTGAAAGAGATAGATTTAATTTATTATATTAAATTAATATTTTAGATGGCAATTCGAGCATGGGGGAGAATTATATCTCTTATAATGCACGATAAAGAAGAGATTATATTATCTGTAGAAGAACTCATGAAAACAAATAATAATTACAATACTTACTTGTTGGGTACTTCATCACATGTTAGAATATTTGATGAAAATCTAAAACAAGATACAAGAAACCAAAATTGGTTTGAAACTGCAGCTATTAAACTTGGTAGTAGTATACAGCTCTTGGAAAAAGTTAGAAGTCATTCTCATTACAAAATCAGATTAGAGTTGGTTGAAAGTATTAGTCTTATATTTAAAAACTGTTTCAGGTAATGTATTTTTCTCTTATATATTTCTTTATATTTTGTTGTGACATATATGTTGTAACATAAATATAAATGAAAAAATTTTTTTATGCAGAAATATGAAATCAAATATTATGGCATTAATAGATCATTTGATTTCTTTATCTGAAGATGAACATATAGATGTTAGTACAAAAGCAAACGATACATTGAATACTATAAAAAATGAAAACTTTATGAAGAATCATAATGTGAGATTAATAAATTTATTGGAAGAAAAATTTTACAGTTTGCTTACAAGATTGCCTACAATTGTTAGATGGTCAAGTAAGATCCTCTTCTTGTTTATCATTAAAATATAGGGATTAAAATATACTATATATTTATATTTTACTCTCATATTTTTCAGGTGATGATGAACAATTAGCATCTTTGAATCAATTTGCTGGTTATTTAAAACTACTTGGAGAGCAAAATTTGCCACATGTATTGAGCTCTCAAGCTCATATAAGAAAATTACTTTTAGCTCTCGTATATATTATGGAAATAGATTGCAACGCAATATCTGTTTTACAGACAATAAATGTAAAAGATTTAGATGACCCTGCATATTTTTATGGATCGGATTCATGGAAACAATTTAAGTTTATTAAAAATAACTCATGTAAAGAAAAAGTTGTTGATATATGCAAGCTACTTGGACAGTTTGGAGATTTTAATGTATTAGCTGATGCTATACTCGAGTTTATGTCAGATGCACCATCATACAGAAAAGAATTGAGTTTGTTACTTAATTGGATTTTAGGTAATATAGTAACATAAATCTACAAAACTACGTTATGAAAATCAACTTTTAAATACTTTTTACAATTATTTTCAGTTTCTGTCAAAAATTCGTCTGCTTTACATTTATATAAGGAAATTGTAAATTTTTACACGTCAGAGGAGATGTGGTATTTGCCCATAGAAGTAACAGAAGTAACTTCTTTGACACAAGCACAGAGTAACATAGTGCATTGTTGTCTTTTAATGGAAGGACTAGACTGTATAGCAAATAATTTACAACGTGAATATGATACATATCTTTTAAAAACTTTATATTTAATTATGGAAAGAGCAGGTATGTTTTAAGATCTAAAGTTTAAATTTACTTACACAATCTCTCTGTTTACCAAGAGAAATTATTTTTTTAGGTAGTGGAAACAGTTTGATCAGTTATATAGGAATTCGTACTCTTGAAATTATCGCAAAATCGCAACAACATAAGACAATCGGTGACCTATTACGTGCAAACGTAGATTATTTTTCTTTTCACATTATAATAAAATTACGTCAAATGGAACTTGATACTGGAGTACTCGATGTTGTCGAAGTTGTTATGAAATACAGTGATTTAGATTTTTTACCATATCTGCAGGGAATTGTGGAAGATACACTCAGACAATTAAGTAATCCTTTTCAGCAAAAGAATATTTATTGCTTCTTAAGGATATTTTATGCATTTATCGTGTGTATAAAAATGATATTGAAATGCGAAGATGTGAAAGTAACAAAAAAAGACACACAAATTACAAATAACTGTTCTGAGACGATTATTCAGTCTTTGCTCGAATACTACAATGCTAAAAATATTGATAAGAAATTAGAAAACAATATTGAAGAAGAAACAGAATTGGATGCAGATCTATCAAAAATCGATCCATCAAATAAATCAAACGAAGATCATACTGATATCAAAGAAGGTATAAAGTAAATTTACATCCATTTTTATATGTGAATTTTTCTCAAGTACATATTTATTATTTTCTTTTCTCCTGTATGTGTAATATTTTTATAGATAAGCAAGAAGACAAAAAATTGCCCACTCACATAAAGATAATAATAAAGATCATGAAAAGTTGTTTAAACTTTTTACCATTGAATGACGTACAAATATCATTAATGGCGATGCAAACGCTTCAAACTGGTCTAATAATGTTGGTTGAATGGGAAGATGAGCTATTACCTATTGTGCATCAACTGTGGCATCCATTGACTGATAGGTTTAATGATAAAAATGTTATCGTGATCAATCGTGCTTGGCAACTTTTGCATGTACTTGCCAGCATATCCAATGATTTTATCAGAAACAGAACTCTACGGTAAAATATGCATCTTTAGTAGAATAAGATACATATTATATTATAAACAAATAATGACACTGTTATATCGCAATTAATCTTATAGAGACGTACTGCCGTCCGTATCTAAATTTCTGATTGAATCTTCTAAGGAAAGTATTAATAAAAGATCTAAAAATATCTATAAATTTACGCAAACCTACAAATTGCAATACGAGTTATTGTACACATTAGGAGTGGTTACACGACTTTTAGGACTACGTGAACAAGAATTATGGAGAATATTAAGTGATACACAATTTTATCTTAGTGCACGCCAAAACCCTACGTTACAAGTAATGTTGAATGAGTATATGTTATACGCGCATAAATGTACGAATAATTAATATTTAATAATTCTAAAAATTCTCAGGCATCCTGTGTCCAATTATATAAGGAAATTGCTGATTATAATGGAGATATTGTATGGGTGAAATGCCTCAGTATTTGGAATTCAAATGTTGAGAAAATAGTATCGGATGTAACATTTGATATCAAAGATATACTGGTATGTACTATTTTTTATTATTATTATATGATTTGTGCAATTATTACAATCTATAATTTATAGATATGTTTGATGACATGTAAAGTTATTTTATTTTCTAGAATCCAACAAACGTTGCAAAGTCAAACGAATATTATAAAAATATACAAGAAATTATTACTTATATCGAAGAAAAAACATCTAACATTTGTTAAAAAAATATATATATTGGTACCTTTATAGGAGAAGTTATTTTACAAGATTTGTATATAAACGTACAATGACATCATAATAGAAGAAAAATATTGAAAAATATACTTTTCCTTATGTTTCTCAAACAACAATTTAAAGTTAATTATGCATTATTCTTTATTAAATAACTAAAATGGTATAAAATCATATATATGCATATATATTATTGATGATTATTGTATGTGCATGTATATAAAAATTGATGATATAAAATTATATAGAAATATAAAAAAAATTTATTCATTATATGTTTATTTATATACAGGGTGGTTGATTATAAGTTGCCAACCCGAAATGTGAAGGTAGATTGGGTTAAAATAAACATAAAAGTCCTATACCGTTTTGCGAGATTCGCAATAATTATCGAGTTATTAATGACAGAAATCTGAGGAATGGGAGCGCGCCGACATAGATAATTGGAGAAGCGTTGCAGCTGCTTAGGCCGCAGCGCGGCTCAGTTGATCCAGAAACTGTTGCCGGTGCGCGGCGAGGAGAAAGACAATGCGCTGCTATTCGTTGTTTTATCTCGCCGGACCTACGTCTCGCCGCACGCCGCCAATAGTTGCTAGGTCGAGTGGGCCGCGCTGTGGTCTGAGTAGCTGCATCGCTTCTCCAATCATCTATGTCGGCGCGCTCCCATTCCTCAGATTTTTGTCATTAACAACTCGATAATTATTGCGAATCTCGCAAAACGGTATGGGACTTTTATGTTTATCTTAACCCAATCTACCTTCACATTTCGGGTTGGCAACTTATAATCAACCACCCTGTATATACAGATATATATTTTAGAAAAAAATAAAATTTTTTCTATGGCAGACATTTATTTGTATATAATTCTAACAGATTTTATAATTATTTTTCACATATATTTGTACAATCAATTTATGTGTAATTATACTTTTTCCATTATCTACAAAGCGATAAATTATAAAAGAATGTGTATTATATTATGTTTAATAATATATATTTACTTTTTATATCTTCTGCTTGTGATATAATTTTTTATTCATATTGTTGCTGCATCTTCAAAAAAATATAAATTTTATTTTATTTTCTATAATTTATGAATAGGTTTGTGTATGTTTGATTCTAAGACTATAAAAAATTTTCAGCAAATATAGCAAGATTAATTAAATTATAGTTTTTACGAAATAAAGCTTTTGCAATATTAGCATTGTATGGCAGTTGCATGACAGATGCTACTTTAAAAAAAAAATGAATAAAAATGCACGTCATAAAGGTAATAAACTTATTTTTCAACATAATTTATATATTTTCTGTTTTTATTATATGCCAGTAGAATATTTTTATTTCTAAAATTGGAAATATCAGCTCACCGATAAATCAAATATATAAACCAAGATTATTAAATTTTTCAAAAACTAAGGAAACTTAAGGAAAATTCTGTGTTTTATAATAAAGAATTATTTAAAAATTGTATTTTTTTTCATATGTAACATTCCTCGCAAGCATTATAAACGATGATATTAAGGAAACTTGTTTGTTTGCAAAATTGAGCTGAGATTTTGCAAGAAATCTGGAATATAAGTGTATAAGTGCATACACTTCTTATACATGGTATGTTAAAGAATAATAAACTATAGGTACATAGAAAGATGTAAAATATACTGCTCTTCAGAGTTTCTCGAAGATAATATTTCATAAGCAAATAAATTATAAATGTCTAAAAATTGGTTTATCATATATGACACAATCACACTTTTTTTTTATATAATAAGCAAATGTTTGCTTTCAGTGCTGTTTAATATCATGTGCACTAACATTTCAATATTTCCATTGTAAAATGCATTAAGGATCGTACATAGTATTTTCCATATTTATATCTGACAAATTGCTAATTTTCGCTTTGATTTATATTGCAAATGCATAAGTATCATATGAAATGATTTTACTTCATTTGCACAAAGTTTCATACAATTAACAAAGAAGCAATATTTTGAGCACGTTATCAGTTATTTCCACATGGTTTAATAATAATCAATGATCATGGTCCACTTTTGTCATACATTGATTAGCACATTTTAAAGGATTTAAAAATACTATCTATCGCACATGTGCGTTCTGTACCACTAAAAGGATAAAATATATATCCTATGTACGTCTTTTCATTTAGGGGATTTAAGATTACTTAAGAAATTTTTAGGTAAGATAACAAAGTATTAGCATTTACTTTGTGTTAAAATTAGCTATTTATAAAACAGTATATTTTACAAGTTATCTTAGCAAAAATTCTTGCCTATAGTGAACAGATTCATACATATTACATAACGATTTTCTAGAAAAGCGAGACATCATTTCCACGCTTGCTTTTGAGCTTTTTGGGATGCTAATTTTTTAGTGATGTACGATGAGATCAACAGCGCCGCAAGTACTATCACAATAAGATAATAATCAAAGTCTTCTTTTAGAACGTCAAACGTTTTAGATGGTGCTACTCTCGTGTAAAACAAATCTGCAAATACAATAATTGTTATTCTGTTCATTTATACATTAAAAGTGTTTTTAGAATTGATTATATAATGGCCATACTCACCAAGACCATGTACAAAAACTAAGCAAGTACTTTCAAGGCCACTGGGACTAGTATGAATACCCAAAACCCTAGAAACGCTTTGATTATAATTGATAATAGCATCCATATGAATTGGAATTTCGGGCATGTACGGTATTACTCCTTCCTCTCGCACTTCAGGATTAATAGGCCGTCGTGGATCTACCATCATCCACGGCAACTCTAATATTCCACCATTGGCTAAAGCAACTGAAAATAGAAATATGTAAATTAATTAATCACAACTTATCACATGCCATATTAAACATACAGATAACCGAGATTAATATTTTCCCTTTTGATTAACTAATCATACATTCACATACCTATTATATGTTTGCTAGTAATACCCTTTTCAGTAATTGTTTCCTGCATATATTCTATAGATGCCGGAAAAATAAAAGCTTGTCTCTCTACAATTGGCAATTTTGTTGTCGCTAAAGAGGAGAACACTAAAATATCCCATAATTGTAATTATATAATCAACAGTCAAAACTTATATACATCGATCGAAAATTAACGACTGCTTTTACCTGTGGTGTTACTCTGTATTTTTCCTTCATATAGCTCTAACGTGGCAATTTCTGTTCTGCGTCCTTTCTCATTGAAATAACTGTATATTAGCCAATTTTCTGAATGTACAATATGAATTGGACCACGTACTCTTTTGTGCGTGATGGAAAAAATCATAGCTCCAGATACTACGTCTAACAGATACAAATTAAGCGTATCTACAAAATAAAAGTACAATAAAAAAAGTATTTTCTGATGAACACAGTATTGATTAAATTGCACAACAGCAACAGTTCGCAAATATACTTACTTTTATGAGCATGTCCTATGCCTTCTGTCACTATAGCTATTAAATTAGGATTAATGTATTTATACAATACTGATCTATCACTCAAGACTCTTCCTTGGGAATGGACACGTTCTATTGGATTTTTTGCTACAACTTGCGTTATTCTTTGGTTCCTTAGTGACAATAATAATTCCCATACTTTATGAGCGATCAATTCCTACAATACAACCATTAAAGCAATCAGTGGTTATTAATATAATAACATGCTAGATATGTATATATCTATAGAACGAACCTGAGTCGTGCTATATGAGAGAGAAAATCCGGATAATATTCCACTTGTCTGATCAGCTGTAAAAAGGTATGTACTTTTTCCAAGTGTAGCAGCAACTGCAGTTGCACTGTTAGGATAAACATGAACTTTATCACGTGCGTCAAGAACAAGAATACCACGCAGGAAATCATCAGTTGCTACGTGCAATAACATAGATTGCTTTATTTTATACCCAAGCTTTATTAACCCATCCAATGGTTGTCCGATAATTGGGTTAAAAGTATATATGAGACCTTCCCCACTTTCCTATTATAATGAGAGAACAATATCGGACATGAAGTAACCATGCAAATATAAAAATAAATAGCAATAAATAGTTATTATTATTAAATGTAACATACAAATGTGCACAATACCTTGTCTTCTGCTAACAATGCACATTGCGGTGGGTGAGGAAAATGTCTGCTACCTCTTTGAACATACAGTACCATCGTGTTAGATACTTTTGTGAAACCTCGGATATTAAATAATCTCAACTGCCAGATAATTTCACCTTTTCTGGTTTCAATACCATACAACTATAGACAATTAAAAATATAATAATTCATAAAGACAAATATCCTTCGATATAATCATATTATAATCATATTATATACATAATCATATTATATACATACTTTTCCAGCTGATGTAACTGCTATGATCATTTTATGCAAACCAAATTTATCTCGCACTAAGTCAGTACGTTGATTGGATTGCTGAGGCACCAAATCCAGTATTGTATGAAAGAATGCTCTTGCTTGATTGATCTGAGAAGTAATTCTTCTAAATACCATGCTTAACAAGTCCCCTGTTTAAAAATAACATGGCAAAGTTAAAGAACATATAACTGAAATAATTATTCTATTAATTATATGATATAATTGAAATTATCATTCTATTAAGATCTATGGATTGGATGATTCAGCTAACAAGATGATATTAAAAATTAGAGGATATCACAAAAAATAGCAAAATAATAGCAGGTATCATTTATCAAACGATTTAATTATATTATAAAATTTCCTTAGCAAAGCTTAATAACTACACACATACATACATGCGCGCGCGCATACATACACACACGCACACAGATACACAGGTTTGCATATTACGTAAAATTTTTCATGCTTTTATATATCAATGAAATCACTATATTATGTACTTCTGATATTTATTATACTGTATTATATTTAAACTGAATAATGAGAAATATTCAATTTAGATATCTTATTTTTTGCAATATCATGCAGATAATAATATATTTTTATAATACTTTAAAAAGTATTATATGCTAAATAATTACACATATATAATAGTACATATACATCCTATACATTTCTTTCGTTTAATATCTTGAAGAATTTTTACATAAAATTACACCATGCAAATGTAGGTTTGTAAGTAGCAATAAGACAAAATATTGCATTAAAATCAGCTTTCCTGCTCTACTACTTACATGAACTGTCTACATCAATACCTGCCAGCAGCCATTCACAAAAGAAAGTTAATTAATATAACAGGTAAATTGTTATTGAAAATTGTGAATTGCCAGTAAACAGTGTTGTTTCTCGAAAGTGTTATTAATTAAAATAGCAAGCTTCTCACAATGTTTTTCTTTTTAGATAATATTGAACCTAATACTTCGGAGTCGAGATAAATTATAATAACAATATTTTCTTGAAATATAATTATAGAATTTATAGAATTTAAATATATTATGACAATACTAATGTTATATATTTTATATTTATCATATTTATTTGTTATATTTGATCATACACACATTATTTTATTTCCTCTGTACTATTTTACACATTCATAAAATGAACTGTTCATATTATGTCTGTTTGTTATATAAGTTGCATATAATGTATTACATTTTACCAATTGTAATAAAGAAAGAATAAAGAAGTATGACTTTCACCTGATTAAGGCTATAATTGTCTACGCATACAGTAATATCATAAGTTTACTCACTCTCTTTCTGATCAAATTCTGTTTCGATAGCCTGATCTCCATCAGACATAGGTAATTCTATAATTTCGACGGCTACGATGCTAGCAAGTGCTTCTTCCCTCGTCCATACCACTTTGTTATGTTGCAATAACGCAACACTATGATCTTGCGAGGATAATAAGTGACGACACATTATTCCTTTCGTTTGATGCGGACAAACAGATGCCATTATGGCTGGCGATTGTATAGAAGCATGAGTGAATGTAACTGATAAATCAGGTAGAAGTGTAGAAGACAAGAGATTTGTAGCCATTATTTCTACCCTCTAGAAATAAGTAGAAAACCTATAGTTAGTTTATGTCAATAAATTTCTTTAGGCACAAATGAGAACATATGCTTTGATATTTACTCCGTTTTTATATGTTGTTTCCAAAAGTATTTTCTCGTTATCGACAGAAACTACATAAAGTGTTGCATCACCAGCGATGTCTCTTTGTATAGGAATTGGATGTTCTCCAATAACTAGTATCCGTTTTCTTTGGTCGTTATCAGCATTAATTGAAATTACAGGCTCTTCTCCAAGTACAGATTCTAGTTTATATGGCCCTTGCGCACCAGCCCCAAATATTGTATTTATTGTAACTGACTGTGGCTGTGCATTAGTATCGAATAAGTGTACTAAGAATACTATAGCTAAAGAACTGTCCCCTTTTAAACATGCCAAATATGGAGCTGCTAGAACACATCTGAATAAATCAGGATAGATCAATTTTATATAATACTGCAATAACTATTATGGCAGACAACGAAAAAGGAAATAATCTAAATCTGAACTTACTCTGTTTCTTGGTTTATGAATGGTGCAGAAACTCTCCGAGTTTTCAATTTTTCTCCAGTCTTGCTATCATAAGATGTTACTTCAACTCCACTATTATAAATAGGTAATATATGGTGCAATGTTCCATCTTTAATGTGCCATTTTACGTCCTTTATTCTGAAAACAAATAAAATTTCTCAATATCTGTGCTACAGAAAGAAATATAACATATTAAAGCACAACTTTCACAATTTTATGGTCAACATTATATAAAATTTCAATTTTCTATAACAGGGGAAAAAATTGATTATATTTCTCACTTTGCATATATTACTTAACATAATAATTATATTAACAGAAATCTGGAACACTAGATTAAACAACAATTTACAACATAAATTAATATATACAAGTGTGTAGTATTAAGTGTACAGACATATTATCAATCGTGCTTTGAATAAAGGTAAATGAAACCTGTCAGCAGAATATAAGCCCAATGTAGAAAACGACATAAACGGAGACTCATGTCTGTAAAAGCAATGGATTATATTTTATCTTCAAGCAATTATTTTTATCTTTTAGTTTCAAAAATTTTAGCAGATGTACACTGTATCTTGTTTTGTATATATATTGTCACATATTATATATCTCTTTTACTTAACAAGTCACCTTGTTATTAAAAATATAGAAGATGGTACTTACACGTAATATTATTCTATAAGCGGAATATATAGAATAATATTGTCATAATAACTTTTATTTTGCACAAACCTATCGGTATTTTGTTCAGCTATTGGCCATTCATTAAGTATATGTCCAGTTGCTAAATCCCAAGCACGAACGATGGCTGGAACACCCCCACTTACAGATATAAGATCTCCATCCGAAACACCTCCCAAAGTTCTAATACGACCACCATAACCTTTCTCTAACACTCGCCTCCATAATATTTGACCTGTTATATTGTAAAACTTATTAATATATCTATATCAAATCAATAAATTAATAATTAAGTTATCTCTCTTTTTAGATAAATATAAAATAACTTATTTTATAGATGTAATATTAATCTGCAACTTATTATTTATGTACTATTATTATTACTTACTATTATTATTGTATATATGCACTATTATTATTTATGTAATATTAACAAAAAAATATGTAAAAATTTAAAATTATCGGAAACCGTAAGAAGTAAAGTATAATATACCTCACACAAAGCAGAAACGATGTATAAAATACAAGATGTAAACTGATATTTCACTCACCAGACTTCAGATTAAGCGCTGCAATAACATTCTCCTCGGTGGCAACGATAATTTTTTTCGCCGTGGACACTGTGTCGAAGCTGGCAAATTTAATTTTGCCAACATAATTCTGCCTCCTGAAATGATTCGCAAGTGCGATTAATAGATCAGTCTCTCAGGCCTGTTATTGCAATGTTACATACATAAATTTGTGAAGCACTGCTAAGCGAGCAAAGCATGTCTATATTATTTAGAGGTTGCCTCGGGGGGCGTTATTTACCAATCGAATTTGCCGACTTGATCCTCGTACAGGCACAGAGAGAGATTGAAGAAACTAACTAGTATGATGAGACACTGCAAGATCTGCATGTCGGTGAGAAATCGGTTGATATTACCTCGGAATGTCCACGCGAACGGGGCCATAGTGATAATAAGCGCCACGATAATAGCGAAGGTATCGCAGCGCATTCACTTACGCGATAGTCTTTACACCGCGTTTTATCCTTACACAATACCTCGTGTGTACGACACAGCGCGGTCGCTGAACACCGCCGATACTATATCATAGTAATGCATACATACATAGACATATATATATATATATATATATATATATATATCTATCACACCTCCATGGTCGCCATTCGTATATTTCCTCCCTTCGTATGACGTAGTAATAGATAAGGATAGATGGAGAGACGGAGCAGGTGACATGCAGCAAGCTGACTTCGTCTCTAATATATGATTATTCCAGGACCGGCTCACGATACTTCGAGTGCCTTCTTAATGATTTATCAAGATTGGAAAATATTGATTGGTTTAAGAACTATTAAATTTTTACAATATTTAATATAAACAAGAACTGAAGATGCATTAAAAATTTCTTATTGCAAAAAGTTGTATATAAAAGACATATAAGTAAAAGATGTCAATAAGCACACACAAGCAAAAATCTTAACTAGTTAATGAGTTAATAAGTAAGGGTTTCTATGCTTCTAATATTACATATTTATGTATACTTATACTTTTTTTTAATTTAATATTGAGAAGCAATTTAATGAACTTTGCATAATAATAAAAGAAACATGTTGATTCTAAATTAAGAAGAAAATGGTTTTCTTAAAGATCTCTTAAAAAACAAGATATATAGGTAATTATTTTTATATACTACACTATATATATTTTTTTGTGGTTATTTTATCATATTATTTATTTGAAAAAGTTGTTTTCAAAATACATATAAATAAAAAATAAATGCTTCCTAGTGCCATATAGAATATGCGTTTATGTAGTCATGTTACTCACATTGTAAGTATTATTGTTAATTATGATTTTTTAATAAGAAAATGGGATAATCAAAATTTTAATTCAGAGGCCACTATTTCTTACTGTTTTCCTATCATGTCGGCAGCAAAAGAGCACATTAAACACTAAAGATACATCAGTTACAAACACATTTCTTGCAAGAAACAGTATGTTTCTTTCTTCAATCATAAAGTAAATACAATTCAATCATAAAATAAATAAAGTAATTTTACAAAAGTACTGTATTTTGATAAAATGTGTAAACATATATATTTAACATAGTCGCAGAAATAATATTATGCCCTCTTATGCTGCTTTTTCAGTCCATAAATAATAAATTTTATGAAAATAGAGACAAATATTTATAAATTACTCATAATTAACGTTACATCCTAATACATATACATACATTTGTAATTTCTACAGAATTTCTACTCCCATCGTTTAGTTGTCTTGCATTCTACCTAAATTGACAATATTAAGTTAGATCTTTACTTTCAAATCCCTTTTTCTTTTTATTTTCATTTCTTTTTCCACTCATTCACACATTTAAACTGCTCCATTTAAGGATTATACCTTGCTTATTCGCAATTTCAGAGCATTATTCACATACACAAATAAACGTTAGAAGCAGATTTATGGTGACTAGAATATTTTTACATTTCGTACATTCATTCTTTGTATACTTATGTGCAATAGTCCATAATAAAAAATGTAGATGTTATCTTAAATCGTAATACATAACTTTGGTTTATAGCATTCTTCAATAATCTTGTTAAAAAAGAGGAAAGATTACAAAGTATTTCGCATCTTACAATCTTCATTATATAAATGCAGAAATTGTAAGTAGTGTAATTTAAATTACATTACTATTACAGATATATATATATATATATATACACACATATATATATATATATATATTATAGGTCATCATTAAGAAATAGAGACAACACACATACTATACCGATGTCAATCAATTCCTGTTAGTAAAATATTATTGTTATTATATTAGTTGTGTGTTATAAATTTTCTATAATTAATTTTATTTTATACCTGAGTGAGACCGAAAACCAAAAAAGTATAATGTTAAATGCTTTATACAAAAACTACATATGAGATCAGACTAAATAAAAATTGTCGAATACTGCTGTTAAAGCGTAATGCTACTAGCAGATTCGCAGATTGGCAGTATCAATATAAAAGCACTAACATGTGATAAGTACCTAAATTTTGTAAAGTAAATGCACTACTTACAAAAGATGCATGATAACTATGCATAATTTTACTTTTTAAAATACATAATTGTGGTATATTATTGTGCATAACTGATACATTATTATACACATATAAGTATACATTTATATAGGAAAAATTTAAATTATCTTAGATTGTAATACAAGAAAAGAGTAAGGAATAAACTGGATCAATTATTTAAGATATACGTTATTAACGCAGAACTGTAGCCTCGCGAAAGTAAAAATATTAAATATTATGAGATGAATTACACATAATTATCGGATTAATAATTGTGTTCTATTCCAGATTAAATTTCGAACAATGCACATATATTATAATGTCTATTGGTTCGTCTATATTTTAATTATCAATCGATTTATTTCACGATAAGACCTGTTGGGCGCATATATAAAAAAAATGTTAAGAATAAGGAAAACTGAACTTTATCTTGGTAAGACGTAGGCTCGACCGATTTAGAATATGTTTCTGTGCTACATTATATACAGCAGAAATATCATCTGCATATGCTCATTTCTTATACAGCTTTAACACTAGAATGGATAAAGCAATAGTTTTAATCAACAAACATATTTAAATAATTACGGGCTTTGTGTCATTGTCAATCAAGTGATGCTAATAATGTATACTATAAAAAAAGAATCTTCTATCCTTCTATAGTTACTGTTTTGTCTTAATAAAACAGAATCATTTTCTTAAATAGCTGCTAATTTTCAACTATTATAATAAAAAGTTTTTTATATTCGTTTAAAAATTATTCAGGAATTTATTCGTCAAATATAAAGTATAGCATCTAATATTTATATTTCATAAATGAAAAACATATGGCACAAAGGTCCTATCTTTCTCTTTTATCCTAAGCTTTTGAATATAAAAAATAGCATGATCACAAGTAGGGAATAATATCCATTTATCACACGCTACCTTACTATTGAATTCTTAGAGAGCATATAATATCTATGGCAATAAAACCTGATCATTTTGTTTAGCTGAATTGAAATAGAAAGTAGCCGTAATTACAATTAATTGGTTAATAAGATAATGAATTTGAGATAATGATATGAGTAGCTTTATAGCAATAAATCACTTATTTGTACAAGATTAATCTATTTTTCTAAATTATCATACTATATAGTGTTTGTTGTAATTTTTATATGTAAATAATTCTCATACAAATAAATGGAAGAGTGTGAAATATATTGTAATATTTAGGAAAATACATTGTGCTATATATATTTGTTATATCTCAATTTAGGTGGACTTTGCATCACTGTATATTTGCCACTGGCATTTCATGTCATTCAACTGATATACTTTTTTGATTATTATTTTTGCAAAGGATGCTCGGTTTACATATAAAATCCGAATAATATCTGAATGTCAATAGTGTGTAAAATTGCACCAATGCAACAACTTGTACAATATTGCAATTATTACAAGCACAAACAAAAATATATTCATAAATAAAAAATTATACTCAAATATATCAATAAAATCATACAAAAACATACTTCATCTTTAGAGTTTTATGAGAGTAAAATACTGATGTATAAGCATAGCATATTATTACTCCTTTCACTGTCTGAAAAGAATATTGCAATTCTAGACAATAAGGTACCTGATATATCTTTCGATTAAATTTGTTGCATGTAATTCTCATTACGATTCTTCTCTAACAATACGAGAAATATTATGAAACTATTGTGTTATATTATTTTATGGCAGTATTCTGTATGCATATTATATATTTCTTATCGAAAATATTGAAAATAAAAACATTAAATAACTTTAAAAGTGAAAGATAAAAGGCATACTACTTCTGTGTAAAACATTATGAATTTCAATTTTCCATATTTATAAAACATTTCTTTTTTAAATTTCCATACATATATAATTCCCAAGAATAATTTTTATTAAAATGTACACATATATTGTCTAGAACTGATTGATTAAATGTGCTTGCGACATTTATTTGATTTTTCGTTGCTATGGCACTGTATGTTTAAATAGTTCTATAATGTTGTTTTACATGACGTAAAACCTCTCAGTATGATTGTTAATAATAGCTATCGCGTTGTATGTACTAAAATCAATGTTCTTACTATACCATAAATGTAAAAAGTCGAAAATCTGGCAGCCCTGATAAGTAAAGCTTTGGATACTTAATGCTTTTAATCATCACAGCACATTTACACTGTATTATCATCAATTTGCAGGACTGCAATATTAATTAACAAAGTCTCGTGAAATATAAAAAAAAGTGTCATAAATCATTTTCTATTACAGTATTGACTGAACGTTACCGTGGTCACGTTTCTTTTCATCAACATGCAATGTGATAAATACAAGTTTAAGGTAAAACATCTGCAAGTTTGCAATAAACTTCCTCCTGCAAATGCTGTTAAACAGTTATTCTATTTTCTTACTTTCTCGTTGTCTAAACTTTCTAGTCGCGATTCAGCATCACGACTCGCACTGAGAGACCAAGAAGTTATAAATTGTACTCTTTCTGTAATGCGGTATATTCTATAGCTGCCAGAATAATTCGTTAAAATGCACGCGCTATTATTTTCTCTTTAAAACATCCATATTTCTTCCTCGCATTCAATGATCAAGTCCATTTTGATCTCTTGCTTTATATACTGTGTTTACCTATGCTGATTCCTTTCAATTCTTCCCATCGTTTATAACATAATGCATCTTCTTTGTCGGCGTTTCTGCGGCTCAGGTCTCAGAACAGCACGTACTGCTTCATCGAATACCTGCTTCAATCCACGTTGCGTGAGAGCAGAGCACTCCATGTACTTAACTGCACGAATCTGTAACATATGATATACAATTTGTTACACTAGATTATTTTGATATGTAAAAATGCCAGGGACTACTGTATAAAAATTATGTTTCCACAAACTTTATTTGCCAGTTTTTGTCCTTGTTCACGCTTAATAGCACTAAGACCTTGCTCAGCTAAGGCAGTAAGCGTTTCACGATCATCTCGTAAGTCTATTTTAGTTCCAACTAGTATCATTGGTGCATCTGGGCAGTGATGTTTTATTTCAGGATACCATTTACTGGTTACATTTTCGAATGATGAAGGACTTGTTACTGAGAAACAAATGAGAAATACATCTGTCTGAGGATAAGAGAGAGGACGAAGTCTGTCATAATCTTCTTGACCCGCTGTGTCCCATAATCCTAGACTGACTGGAATTCCATCAACAACCATGGGTGCAGAATAGTTGTCAAATCTGAAGAAATATTACATATATTCTATATCTTTTATACATTTATATTTCCTTTTTACATTTTGTCTGTCATATATTATTTATTGTACATTTTATTTAAGATATCAGTTAGAATTTATAAAATAAGTTGATACTAACTGCTTATTTTCATCAACATATTCATAATTTGGTTGTAGTCACGTAAATTAGTAAATATATTGCTGATAAAGCTAAGTAAAAATAGATTCGTGAGGATGCAAAGAACAGGAAACGATATAAAAAGATGACTTAAAATGAATTACTTCCTGTACACAGCAGTCAGACATCTCATACTCTAATACTATTATTAGCCACTCCATTTGATTGGTCTAAGAAACAAACTAAGGCATAAACCTTGCCATAAGTTATATCTTTAATACATATGGACTATAAAAATAAGACATTCTTTTATAAGAAGCTAATATTATATATCCGGATGTTATTATATAACTTGTAAAATATTGTAAAAAATATATATGTATGTAATAATACTTACACAGTAGGTACATATTCTCCAGGAAAACTATCTGTTGTATATGATATTAACATGCAAGTTTTTCCTACTGTTCCATCTCCTACTACCACACATTTTATTGGTCTACCAGAGCTCATGATTTATTATCTAATAAAAAATAAATATAATCAGTATAATTATAAATAGTTAATAATATATTACCTATTGTGTGTATTCTCAAACCATCTTTTCCAATAAGATTGTATTGATTTTATAAACAAAATAAAAACAACTGATATTGTAAACTTAACTCCAAATAACACTTGTAAATGGATTGTGAATAGAATATAAGCATAAATTGTAAAAGCAAATGATGAAAACTACATTTAATGAAATCGTTTTAAATTTATATTTATACTGATCGTACGTATTTATCAGGAAGAACTTTTTTATCACTTAAGTCTTCAACTTAACCATACAGCAATTTCACTTTCCTAAAACACTATGAAAAAGATTATCTCCGTAATTTTCGTTATACAATCATTCGTAACATTCGTATAAACACCTATAGATTTGGAGAAAAGGCTCACTTCCGTGATTTCATATAATTTCAATATTCGTACAGTTCGACGTTAACGCTGTTTCAATAAACGTTTTTGCCGAATTGAAGGGCTTGCCCTAGAACACCATACTTAACACATACGCGTAACAAGTAAACAAGAATTCACGCCGGTTTGACGATATCACACTCACCGAATCTACGAGTGAAGGTTCGTTTTATACAAAAATCACCGTATATGCAACACGATGCGAATTCGCGTGTACAGTGTATGTGTACTCCTCAAAAAATCAGAAGAACGGGTGCCATGACAGTATCGCGGTTTTTGGAACTGAACGGAGCTAGCATTCGCCTGGTGACAGATGTTCGACAATCACCTCTCACTCTTTCTTCCCCTTCTTTTCGTGAAACTTATTGTTCGGAGAAGTGATAGACTGCTACGTCCCTATGTACGGTGCACACTGTACATCTCGTCAGGTTAAAGTAGGTTTTCAGTGTAGATCCGTTTGTTTCTTATCCGATTTTCGTATTAAAGTCCGAATGAACATTTGTTTCATTGCATATGGATAAAGTGCTGATAAATATATAAATAAAATGAAGAGATTATTTTCCCTTTCCTATATCAAAGCAAGCAATTCCATATGTGTGTGTATGTACGTGTGTGTATGTGCATATATGTATACATTTTTGAAATAAATAATTTAATTTATAAAAATCAAGCTTTTCTTACTTGTACAAGCTTTCATCTTCCTATATTTCCATCATATTCTCTTTCATTTAATTTTAAATATCTTTGTGCTAAATAATATTAAATCATGCTAAGTAATATCAAAATTGCATAAATTAACCAAATCACTTGAAACTTTATAAAAAATAATCTTGTTATCCAATCAGCGGTAGAAAAGGCTCAGCTTTCTTTTTAATTAATTTTGCGACCAATGAGAGGATTCGTTTTTCAGTAATTTTTAGAAGATAAATATACCCCTTATTAGATAAGCTGCGTTCGGAAACTTCAACCGAGTGCACTCAAATACATCTTGTGCCGTTCAGAAACCTTCGGGTAACACCCATAGGGCCAATTGTTCCAACTTCATGGTAAGTTAACTGATAGTTAAATCATATCTCTGTTTTTGTCTAAGTTGAAGGAAAAACGAAGACAAACATATGATTTAACTATCAGTTAACTTACTAAGAAGTTGGAACAACCGGCCCGTAGACATAGGCTGCGTTCCAATATTCACTTCCAGTACTGAAAATATATAGTTTCTGTCACGTATATTATAGATTTATAGTGCTGGCAGTGAATATCGGAACGCAGCCCTAATATATTTAAAGGCTCGTCTACATTAGCTGTAAGAGTAAGGGCCAGAGCACAGACTTCTGCATAATGTATAATACATAACACATAAAAAAATAAACCAATTAGTTTTCTTCATTTCCCTCCTCAGGACAGAAATGAAGAACTCTGATTGGTTGATTCTCTTATGTGTTGTGTATTATGCGTTCAGGCTCGTCTACATTAGCTGTAAGAATAAGGCTGTAAGGTTGCAAGACACGAAATGAAATATTTTCATTCGCTGACAGCTTACGTTACAGCCTTAAGCTAAGACTCCATGCATGCGGTGAGCTGCGGCAAATGCTGCGATGACCAATCAGGAGGGAGGCACAAGTCCGGTTGCGGCAAGCTCCGGCATGCGTCTGTCTCCTGATTGGTCACCGCAGCCGTTTGCCGCAGCTCACCGCATGCATGGAGTCTTAGCTTTACAGCCTTACTCTTACAGCTATTGTAGACGAGCCTTTATACAAAAGCCTGTGCTCTTGCCCTAAGGCTATAAGGTTGCAAGACACAAAATGAAATATTTTCATTCGCTGACAGTTTACGTTACAGCCTTACGCATTAGAGAATAAACCAATTAGTTTTCTTCATTTCCCTCCTCAGGACAGAAATGAAGAACTCTGATTTGTTGATTCTCTTATGCGTTGTGTATTATGCGTTATGCAGAAGTCTATGCTCTGGCCCATATTCTTACAGCTATTGTAGACGAGCCTTAAGGCTCGTCTACAATGGCAGTAAGAAGTAAGCGTAAGCGGTAAGAAATAAACCAATCACAGTCGATTATGATAAGAATAATCAACTGTGGTTGGTCCATTTCTTAAGGCCATTGCACGTAGAAGAATTTAACCATAAACGTAAGGCCGCAAAAAAACTGACCAATCTCAGTCGATTATTCCTCTAGTGCAAGAAGAATAATCGACTGTGATTGGTCAGTTTTCTTACGACCTTACGGTTGCAGTTACAGATTTTCTACGTGCAAAGGCCTTTACTGTTCGCTTATTTTTTACTGCTTACTGCCATTGTAGATGGCTCTTTAAGTGTTGGTCTACACCTCGCTTTATGCTTTAAGCCGTAAGCAACTGACCAATCACAATCGATTATTCGTACTGAAAATACATAGTTTGTGTCACAAATACTATAGATTTTCAGTGCTGGCAGTGAATATCGGAACGCAGCCAAAAGGTGCATTCAGTACTACAACCGCTCACTGAGCGCTAAATGAGCTCTTGCATCTGATTGGTGTATATTTTTAAATCTAAAGGAATATACCAATCAAATGTAAAAGCAAGTGAGCGGTTGTAGTACTGAATGCACCCAATGAATGAATAGGGATATCCACTTCCCTCAAAGTCAGCTATAGAAAGGAAGAAAAGAGATTTCTCTATACGCTGAATCTCATAAGACCAACGGTCTTTATTAATATCTAGTCAATGACATAAGTATCAATTATAAACTGAAAGAATTATAATTATGTCAAGTATTATGTATCTCGCTTTTTCAAAAAATAATGTTTTTATTTGGAATGCTGATGGTAATATACTAAAGAGGAAGTATACATATATTTAACCTGTTAATATTAATGTTTTATTCAATATAGTTCATTTTTTTTTATTGTAGATTGGTTGAAACTTCGACGGGATCACAGAATACTTGGTGAATTAATAGGATCCTTTCCAAAATTATCTAGGCAGGAAGTATTTTTAGGCCTTCCACTGCTTCTACTACCAGAAGAAGTAACACTTTTGATTGAAAAAAATATTGCTTGTTTGATACAATGTTGTAGTTTAGAAAAACCACCAACTGTATCATTAAGTATAAAATTTGAAGAATATAGAAATACATTATTTACACAACAATCAGAATGTCTCATAGAAAACAGAAGAAAACAGGTAATAGCCAGTGTGTATCTGTATTATAAGAAATATTTAGATTTTATATACTATATAGAATAATATAATTTTTTATTAGATAACTACCTTAATGGACAAAATTGTAGAAGGAAAGAAACGTAAAATGCTAGGTTTGCACACAAATAAGAAGAAAATGAGAAAGACGCTGGATAAAAAAACACAAGAAGCATTAGACAGCATTAAAATTAACACTCAAGATTTGCTTGAAGAAGAACTAGCTAAATTACCTAAATTAACTAAAAATGAAGCATTTATTCAAACACATACAGGTAATATAAATTATTTAATTGTACAATCATGTTTAAATATATAAATTTAATATAGTGGTATATCTGATATAATTTATTTGGATATTTTACATACCTTTTAGCATATCCATGGTTTAATCATTGTGATATAGAAACAGTGCAATGGAAATATCCATTTACTTCTGATCAGCTAATTAGGTATAAAGTATACAAGGATCTTCATGAAAGAGGATATTATATTAGTAGTGGTGATAAATTTGGTGGTGATTTTTTAGTATATCCAGGTATGATTTTTTTTTTCTTATAAAAGTGATATACTACATTAAATATTAATATATTATATTTATATATAGGTGATCCAATAATGTTCCATTCACAATTTATTGTGCAATGTCAATGTGAAAAGGAAGAGATATCTGTTATAGAACTTATTGCAAAATGCAGAATTAGTTGTCACGTACGAAAAACATTAGTATTTGCTATGTATTGCAAAGAAAAAGACAAAGTAAAATATCAGTCTTTACAATGGGCAGAAAATAACATACTCGAAAATAGTTGATATAATAAAGAAAGTACAATTGCTTGATAAAAATAATGTATATATGCTAGTATTTAATATATATATATATATATATGCTAATATTTTTAATCATGTTTCTACCACAAGTAATTATTCTTAGTAATATGTATTTCTTCATAATCTTGTTTTGTACACATCATCAAAGTTAGTTTAAACTACATCTCAATTTAAAATTTTCTAATCTTACTGTACATCATTATATCACCACTGAATATAAGAATATTCATATAATTGTGTCCAATAATTAAGTATTTCTATTAAAACTGTTAGAAAAATTTTTATGCATAATGAGCATAAAAAAGGTGATTAACATTAAAAAAAATTATAATTTCAGCAAGATATGATTAGCAATATATTTATTACTCTACTATAGCTTAAGGCATTCTTTTAACATAATTCTTATAAGATTATTTATAATGTACTTATTAATTTAAATCGATTGTGTTGTGGTTCAGGAATAACATTAAAGTATTTCTTATATATAACTTGATTCTCACGACCAGCATAAGCTTTCCTAGCCCAGAAATGTTTGAAATTAGGATCAATTTTTTCACAGGTTATCATTACTTTCCCAGGTTCTATAGCATATAAAGTTCCATTTTGTCCAAAGCCAACCTGTTATGTGATTAAAAACTTGAAATACTAAGCTTATCTAATAAATAACCAACCAATGTAATAATACTTGCATTAAGACCTGGATGAAACCTGGCTTTTAATTGTGTGACTAATATATGGCTTGACTGTACATTATGTCCGTCTTGTACTTTCCATCCTCTATGTTTTGGTCTAGGATGTCCAGGTTTGATCCTAGTACTAGTACTTGCCTTTTTGGAAGCATATCTGACACATATTTTTGCTACTAATAACAAACATTCATTGTCATTAATATATAAACAATTTTGTATATTATACAGTTAATCATTAATAATATATTCAAACAAACCTAAACTGTTGTATGATGTTAAAGTTTGTCGAATGTTTTGCATTGTGTAAGAAGTTAATTGTGACACACACAAATAAGCCATTTGACAAAATATTTTTAAAGATATCTGTAATAAAATGTGCAAATATATTTATTTACTTAGTAGTATGTGAAAATCAATAATAATTTAATAATTTATTCTATAGTACGAAAGAATAGAATTAAAGTTAAGTAGGTTGATAGTCAGATTATTACAAACAGATGGTCTATTCTTTGTAGCTGCACTGCTGAACTGGTGCAATAAGCTAGAGTGAGAAAACTTATATGTCTCACTTTAACTTATTGCACCAGTTCAACAGTGCAGCTACAAAGAACAGACCAAGAGATGAGCAATTTACGAACAATGAATCAATGATCAGCCGAAAAACTATTTAATGATTATCACTCCTAATGGTTCGTATTCCCTTGGATATAGTAATACTGGTAGTAGTAGTAGTAGTTCTTTTCTGGCTCCGGACTGCATTCAGCTTTGTCCATACGCCATTTTCTAATAGTATGAAAATAAAAGAAAAACAGGGACAACGCGTGCGCAGTCCCCATGATCAAAAAATATGCGTAGTTACAAAAACCACATCCAACCGTCAAGCATGGTCTACAGCATCATCTACAATGGCAGTAAGCAGTAAGAAGTAAGCGTAAGCGGTAAGAAATAAACCAATCACAGTCGATTATGACAAAAATAATCAACTGTGGTTGGTCCATTTCTTACTGTTCATGCTTTCTTCTTACTGCTTGCGGCCATTGTAGACCACGCTTATGGCCATTCTACAATAAGCTATTAAAGGCTCGTCTACATTAGCTGTAAGAGTAAGGCTGTAAGGTTGCAAGACACGAAATAAAATATTTTCATTCGCTGATAGCTTACGTTATAGCCTTACAGCCTTACTCTTACAGCTATTGTAGATGAGCCTTTAGTTATAAAACATAAGAAAATAAACCAATCGAAATTCTTCATTTATTTGGGGAATTTTGATTGGGAATTTAGATTGGGGAATTTTGATTGGTTTATTTTTTTATGTATTATAACTAATAGCTTATTGTAGAATGGCCATTAGGCCTGACTATGAATACGGGTTAGGCCGGGTCTACAATAGGTGTAGTAAGCTTTAAGCCTTAAGAAATTAACCAATCCTAGTCGATTTTTACAAGAATAATCGAATAAGGTTAGTCAATTTTTTAAGGTTTAAAGCTTACTACACCTATTATAGACCCGGCCTTATTCCCGTATTCATAATCAGGCCTTATATTTAAGGCTGCCTTAAGTTTATCTTCAGATGGTCTGTAGCCAATACAAATAATCCGTGCAGCATCTAAAGATAGATATAAGGAGGCTGCAAATATTTTTTCTCACTCCGACTTATTGCACCAGTTTAGCAATGCAGCTAAAAAGAACAGATCCTCAATGTCTTTCGCAGAAAGTTTCCTCAGCGAGACAAAGTTTTAAGATTTTGATAATTGACTAATTATCACGTAATTATAAAAAATGACGACGAATATGGAGGATCTACAAAAGTTAGAAGAAGAAGCGATAGCTCGAGGCACAAAGTATGTTACGAATCTTTTGCAACGACCAGGTCAATTGGAAAAAATTGACATGTATAAACGTAGAATAAGCAGAAAAAAGGCATCCGTTGAGACTATGCTTAAAACTGCAATGAAAAGTCAATTGGATGGAGTCAGGGTAGGCTTTGAGCAGCTAGAAAGTTCTCTGGAAAGTATCGCTACCATCAAGGATGATCTGGATTATATTAATCAACTATTCAGTTCCGTCCTGAAGATCAGTTCAAGGTTGCAAGTAGTACAGGAGGAAAATATGCGTCATTCTCAGTACGTTATCGCCAAAGAGAACTTAAAACACATATTTACAGTCCCTGAAAGTGTCGAGAAAACAAAACAATGGATAAACGAAGGTAAATTACTGCATGCTCATCAGAGTCTGATGGATCTTGAAAATTCTAGAGATGACTTACTATATGAACTTCATAAGTTACCTAACCAGTCGCCAGCAGATACAATTATGTTAAAAGCTTATTTTGAGGATGTGGAAATGCTTTCTCAACTCATGGAAAAACAGATAAGGTTAGTGTTGAGTCGTACTTTGAACACAGTACGGAAGGAGCCTACTGTTATTGTAACACCTCTGAGAATTATAGAGAGAGAAGAAAAAGCTGATCAGTTTGCTATTCAAAGACATAAGCAAAGTGGATTTATGCCACCTGGTAGGCCTAAGAGGTGGAAGGATATGGCCATGAAGGTACTTGAGAAATCAGTAGCTAATAGAATTGAAGGAACCCATGTGGAGGAGAGAGCAGATAACAAGATGTGGTTAGTAAGATATTTAGAACTCACAAGACTCTTGATTCTTGAGGATCTAAGAGTAGTAAAAACTCTATGTAGGCCTTGTTTCCCACCCTGGTATGATATAGTAAGAACTTTTGTTAAAATGTATCATACCAGTCTATCCCAGCATTTAAAAGATATAATTGCCAGTGGTCTGGAAGGAAATGAATATGTTTCTCTGCTGGCATGGATTATGAATACTTATACAGGGCCAGAATTGATGCAACATTCTGAATTGAATATTGACACATCCGATATCGGCCCGCTTCTTAATCCTGAGGTGATAAAGGATCTTCAAGAGAAATACTTACGAAATATGTGTCAAAATTACGAGGACTGGATGAGGAAGACATTGGAGACAGAAAAGTGTGACTGGAGGAGCGGTATCCTACCTGAAAGCAGCACTCAAGAACTGTTTTATCATACTGCAGCACCAGTCATTATATTTCAAATGATTGATCAAAATCTCCAAGTTGCAAAAACCATTAGTCCTAATCTGACAGCAGAAGTACTGGTACTCTGTATCGAACAAGTAACTAAATATGGATCTATATATAGACAAGCAATATTAGAATTCAAGATCAAACATTTCGAGGACAGAAGTCAAGTACCATATTTCACTCATCATATGATCACAATAGTAAATAATTGTGTGCAATTCACCGAATTGGCACAGCAAATGAAACAACTTTACTGGGTGCCCAACACCAGCGGTGATGCTACTGTAAAGTTCGAGAATCTTTTGGCGAATTATCAGCAATTGAGAAATGAAGCTGCTGCTATCCTATTGCAAGAGTCCTTTCTAGATTTGGAGCTACATTTTCAAGATTTGATCACACCGAAGTGGTTGTCATCGCCTATTCCAGTGGAAACAATCTGCGTTACTCTGGAGGACTACTTTCAGGACTACAATCACCTAAGTCCCAAAAACTTTGAATACGTCATCACCGAAGCACAAAATCTGATCGCGAAGCGTTATATATCCGCGATGCTGCAGAGGAAGATATCATTGAAGACATACGATGAATGTTTGACCTGCACATCAAAGATAATGACAGAGGCGGACAAGCTAAAGAACTTCTTTGACAGGATTGCGCCAAAAGTGGGCAACTTCAATTCACCGTTCGAAATAATAAAGCGGCTTGCTGAGGTGTTGCGCTGTGAAGACTCGGAAATACTTTCTCTCGACTTGCATTCTCTGATTGAAAAGTATCCTGATATGACTGAAGATCATCTGATCAGGTTACTCGGTCTGAGGGGCGACATATCGCGAGCGGAAGCCCGAGAAAAGGTTTCTTACATCATGGAGGCTCAACGAAACCGAAAACTCGGACAATCAATCACAAATAGTATATTTAAGCAAATAGTTATTCAGGACAGTTTTCTAGGTTGGAAACCTTGAGATTGGGGAAAGAATTTTTACGATGTAAAAATAAGAAATGCAAACGGCTTCTCTATGTAGTATTATTATCGAAAATTAATATATTTTTACATATACAGAGTAGAGGCAAAACAACATATTTGTACTGCCGTAAAAAGATTTCTTGATAGTTAATATAATTATATATATATATATATATTATATTGATCTCATAATTTATTAACATGGAAATTTATATTTATGTTCAACATAGGTGTGCATTTATTTATATAGGGAATATTATTAAATTATAAATTATATATATACACATACATATACATATATAAATATGGTGGTATTTTAACTACGTATGCATAAACAATATTAAAATAATTATTAAAAATGCATATATATATATGCATACATATATATACACACATATATATATATATATATATATATATATATGAGAATAATATAAGTATTTACTTCTGTTTATGTTTAATTTAATAAGCGACGTAATCGTTTATTAAATTAAAATGCAATATTATTGGATATATTAAAAAATCCACCTTCTATTTAAAAAATGTCATTTTTCATTTTTACTTTCTTTTTACCAACTTCAAAATTGAAGAGAAATTAAAAATTTTTACAAAATCTGCTTGCTTTGATAAAATTATTAATTTATTTTCAGATACCTTTAACTAGTTGGAAGTGTATTTTGCAAAATATGCTACCTACCACAATGATATTCAGAGGAAATAATTTGTTGAATACGTTGGATGAAGTAACACTTCCTAGCCAAGTGTCAATAATATACCTTTGGTCGGTTGAGCAGTGCAAGGCCTCGCATCGTCATGAACAATTTCACCAATCTTCTTTTATCTATATATGAATATTTTTGCTGCAATTCTTCGTTGAAACAAAGTTGTCAGGCAATATAACGATCTGCAGTAATAATCCCACCTCACTGAAACAGTTCATATTTATCATCTTTCTCTATGATACCCTTAAAAGTTTACGAGATTAGAATAGAAGAAAAACATGTTAGGGCTTGGCTGGACTTTTTAACTATAATATCTCAGTCTATACATATGAACAAATTTAAAGCAAAATAATAACGCTGACAAATTTACAGGTAACTTTCGTTTACCGAGGATAAGTGTAATTACCGACTGATTAAGTTTGGAAGTCAGGTGAAGAAGAAACAGCATGATCGATCCGAACATCATGCGCGTCTCACAAACGACGAATTCGCTCGTAAAGAGGGGCGTGTCATTATTGAACACCGACAAAATGGCCTAATCGATATTGCTTCGTATATATATTCGAGAGAAGTCCCGTGTTACAATCGCATCTGTTACTTTCCTTAAAACGCAATTTAGAAAATAGCATTTTTGGTTCTCAGGACAAGAATTCTATATCACGGCAAATAGCTACGTCGACGAAGGGTCGATTAAAATTTTACAGTTCGCCAACTATTTTAAGAAAACCATCCCATCGTCACATGGATTACCGGAACCTCGATTATAGAAATGCAGTCATCGATTGAGTCGCACCTATCTTCCTATCTAACCACCTACCTCTACCCACCGGCACCCACTTTTTACCAGTAAGCTTCCACCTACCTATTCACTCACACTCACACCCATACCAATCTCGTGAAAAAGCAGCAACGCAGCCGCGTGTCGTTGGTAAATAGCGTCGGCCGCCGGAAGGCAGATGTTAACGTCGTCAGCTACTCTAATTCCGTATTGTCGATTGGCCGGCGCGTCGCCGCTGGTAACTCGGCACCGAATCAGCGTCGTCGATTCGTCTGGCGCCGCCTACTACCCCTTCGTGAATTCACCCTCAACCCCATGCGCTCTCGTGGGTGGAGTCGACCAATGACACAGTGGTAACGGCCGTCTGACAACGTGGCCTTCGGAGCCGCCCCCGCAGTTGCCGATGGCTAACTAGCGCTACCCCGCTATAGTCGAGTCAGCCACTCAGCCAGCAAGTCCCCGGGCCGTCTAGTCGCTAGCTCACTGGAATTCCCCACCCTATCTCACCCGTTTTCACCCCCGCTGCGTCGTGTTCCTCTTCTCCCTCTCCCCTGCTGGAGTGCGACGTGTAGGCCAACGTGCCAACGACGGCGGCGGTGGCGGTGGTGGAGGTGAAGAAGAGGTGTTACGCCGTGGATTCGCGTGACGTAACCCCGGTATACGCCATCGCCGTAGCCTCCTCGCCGATTCGTGGTCGTTTAGGGATTGGCGTCGATGTGTTGGTTCGCTCGGCAACCAACCAGCCATCCACCTACCTACCTACCTACCTAGCTACCTCTTTCCCCACCCCCTTGCCCCTCGATCCGTACCATCCCCCCGTGGACCTGCCACCGGACCATGTCGACCGTATCGGGGAACGACCCATGATTCTCCGTGATGTGGCTACGGACAGGAGAGATAGCTGCTCCGGCAGCCAGTCGGGCAACAACCCCTATATGCGCATACACGGACGAACAGAGGCACGTACACACGCGCATACATATATACATGTACACACTCGTGCATACACACTCCTATATATACACACGTAGACGCGGACACGGACACGAGATCGCGAGTACGCCCTTCCCGACGAGAGAGAGATGAGTAGGTACGTCGAGGCTCGAAGCCACCCCGTCACGGAGAATGCTTCGGGACTTCGCGCGACCTCGTCGGCGCCGCGTCGGGACCACGAGCTCGGCTGTCCGTCTGGCGATGCTCGACTTTTAATCAGCTGCGAAGGAGATGGGCACAGGTCAGTCTACCAAGACTCTTGCCGTCTCGCCTCGCTTCGCCATTTGTCTCGCTGTCGTCGGTCGCGCTAAAGAGCTTAGCTGGTGATCGGTTAGCTGGTATCGTCCGGCTCAAACGGTAACGCGAGGTGTACGACGTGAGAGTGACGCGCATTATTCCTTCGGGACTTGGTGATAAATCGCGATTCTCCTGGCATCCAAGATGTGTACCGCAATCGAGAGGTGCTCGAGGATCCTTAAGCGTTTCGGACGTCTGTCTATTTGATAGGTGACTTCTGGTTCACAAAATAATTCACAGTGTTCGAGCGTTTCGGTTGTCCACTTGTTGACAGCTAAATCGTGGCTCGCGGAATTTGACGGATTGTGTTTGGACCGCGTTTGGAAGGCGACTGATAGTGTTGGCATATTTCTAAACGTTCGCTCGTTCGCAGATAAATCACCATATTCAAGGTACAAGAAAATCAAAAGACCTTTCGCGGATTTTACCGGTGAACTTAATTTTTGAGATTTGAGAAATTTTATTACGCAATCGAGGGACGATTAATAGTGCGTGAACGCTTTGCATTGTTATCTACTAATTGATAAGTCGGAACTGCGAATCGTATTTGAAATATTGAAATGAAGACGTTTCTATGAAGATGCTTCTATGAAGACGTTACTAATGATTAAATGTGCTACGAACGTCTTTACTATATTGAGACGAATTAATAAATGAAAATATATACAAGTTTTACTATTATCAACGACAATGTTTAAAACAATTACGATACATTGTGCAATTACATTGTGTCGCATACATTAGACGCATGATTCGAGCATTGAGGGCGGTTATTGTTCAATTACGTTTCGCACTCTTTTCTCCAAAGTTAAAGACTTGATGTTTAAAGAAATGTCCAAAGAATACCTGCAAAAATTAAGACATCTGTTAGATATTTTTAGGAGGTGCGGGTCTTGAAACAAAGTTAAATTGCACTCAATTATCGATAACTTTGAAATTTAATTTACATAAAAAAAATGTTTATTTTTTGTGTAAAGCTCACAATACGGTCTACTTAAAAATTACCACTGTGTAAATAGCGTTGTCAAACAGATAAAATAAGTATTGTAGAAACTCGTTAAAAATAGAGTGATTCTGGACCAGTTAAAGTCTTTAAAGACTTCAGATCTCTTAAAGTTCGATTAAAATATCTTAACAATTGACGTTAAGATCGAGTACTTGGGGGATGAAATGTGAATTGAAATTCAGAAATGTGCGACAGCGACGGATATGCGATACGAAACGACGTAAGCAATACAGAAGAGAAGGAGGGGGAAGAAGAAGAAGGCCTCACGGTGTACACGACGAAGACAGTAATCCGTTGGGGTTGAAGTAACCCGGGTTGATCGGGTTAGGTTGGTTGGGTGTGAGACGAAGGCGGTTGATACCCCAGGCCGAGGAAGGAAGGCTTTGGTTGGCTTAGGCATGGCCGTGTTTTTCTTGCCGCGGATCATTAGGACGATTAGGGTGCCTACGAAAAGGGGGAAACAGATTAGCAGTGGAGATCTTCTTGCGGCCCGGCCGTTTTCTTAAATAGGATTTCGCGAGAGTCTCTTGAGACGTCGACCTCTCTTGCCTGATAACAATTTGCTTGCGATGTCTGATAAAAAATTCATGTCTAATAATACTGATATTTTTTGCATCTATTGTTAACAAATATGACATACTTCTTTTGTTTCTTTCAGGAGACAGATTGCTCGATATACTGTGTGATGTATGCGGTGACCGTAGTTCTGGGAAACACTACGGCATCTATAGTTGCGACGGTAATGATTATTAATTAATAACTAGTAATAAACGTAAATCTTCTCACTGTTTCTCGTAGTTATCTGTATTACATTAACGAAATAATTATATATCAAATTAATTGAGAAGACACAAACTTTGAAGGGTGAATAATGCTTTGAAACGTTAAAATTAGTCGCAGAAAATATTTCCGACTCGAGAAAACTCTTAACAATTTTAACAATCTCTTGCTGAACAATTTCTTTTCTCTTGCCAATTTATCTAGTTAGTTCAAATTATTGTAGAATATCCACGAGCTGTTGAACTTTAGTAAATTTTGATGATGTCGAATTATCACATCGCACGTATGCATACGAATTTTTTTCATGTTACCAGGTTGTTCGGGATTTTTCAAACGAAGTATACACAGTAATCGAGAATATATCTGCAAAGCCCAAGGAGCCAAGAAAGGACGCTGTCCCATCGACAAAACCCATAGGAATCAATGTCGTGCTTGCCGTCTCGCTAAGTGTTTTGAAGCTAACATGAACAAGGACGGTAAGTGCTCAAATATCCTAATGTTCACATACGCGATCTCGTACCGTTTTTTCCATGTTAATGATTCGATTAAAAACGAAAAATCCATCTCTTGAAATCACCTGCGCAAAAAGCAAATGTAATCGAGCTAGTTAATTATGTCCTCGTTGTTCAATTGTAAAACGCGTTACTCGAAAGATTCTCAACATTTCTGTTCATATTCGTTTTTTCTAATTTCATACGCCTTTCGACAATATCATTTATGCTTCCGATAATTTTTCCGAGACAATCAAAATATCGATATGCACAATCTTTCAAGAGTCGCTGGTACTTCATTCTCCGATAAACTATCTTTGAATATATGAAATGCATAAAAGAGAAAGGATGCGTACAAGGAAGAAAAAATATATTTATCGTCTGTGTGAACCACGAGTGACTATGAGAAACGTTCCATCAGTTTCCTCGTGTTTTCACGCGAAAGGCCACAAATAACCCACCAAGAAATCGACTGTAACTATCGGTCAACCAAACCCTCCTAAATAAACCTGCCTGCGCACGAAGCGAAGCCAAAGCGACCACGACCAAGCAGTTCATGCGTTATCACAGTGTAAAAGTTGATGTGACGAAATCGACTCGATAGAGTGAGATGTCACAGCCGGTTAAAATACTTCGGATGGTCTCTAATTTGCCATTTCGCGATGAATATTACCTCATGTCTCTCTATTGCATGATATCGTGGGGGGAGGGGGGAGCTCCATAGTAGACCCATTAATCGCGATGGTGTCACAATGAACGCGCATCGTCATGCAACGTTTCAGTTTTCCCCGATGTCTCATTTGATCAACCAGGCCACATTTCGTAGGACGTGCAACAACCATCTTTCTCCGGCGAGCGTCTTTTTATCTGTGGTATTAACTTACAATTTAATCGAGCATAAAGTAGCCTCAATGTAAAACTTCAAATCAATCTGAATTGATTTGAAAGCTTGGTCTTAATGAAACTATTCACAAATTTTATAGCGAGCATATTTCGGATAAATCTTGTTTTCACTGTACTGCAAATCTCTTAATCTATTTCTTCCCGATTTCATGACACGTCAGAAATTGTAAAAAATTTAAACAGACGGATGACAGGCGCATGTTATTTCTTCGCGATCAATCCCTACTGCAACGAACGATAACTGTCAGTTTTTTGGCAAAAAACTAATTTAATCCTCGATTTCGAAATTCTTCGATCGTAGCGAGACCGACAAGGAAAACCGAGACTACTAATTTTCTATGCGCGCTCTTTCCCGTAACATGCTGCCGCATCATATTCTGTTCTTTTCCTTTTTAAAAGGGATATTTGGAAATAAAGCGAGCCTGATCTTCCGCACAAGACTTATACGGGATGGGCGAGGTGTACACGGGTCGATGTTCCTCGCCATCGACGGCGATATAACAGCGACGGAGACTCGTTTTCTGGGACGCTTAGCGGGGGCTGGATCCTGCGAAGGTTGAGAGAGAGGTAGAGCCGAGGTGGAAAGAGAAAAGGTGGATGGAGAGACTCGGCGGTGAGGGTGGTCTGGGTGGCGGGGAAAGTGGAAGGGGGCGATACGAGACCGCTTGGCAGGGATGAGGGTGCCCAGGGTGTCGGGGGTGTTTAATGCAGGACGGGTGCTCCGGTTCCCAGCGGTTGTCGAGGCTCCAGACGCGAGTAAGAGAGGAGATTCAATTAGTGGCAGAGCTTCCTAACGTTAAGGAGGTTCCACACGGGGTAAAACGGGCCACCTCGCTACCCCGCTTCTTTGCCGCCACCTTCGCGAACATACTCCCTCGCGCACGTTAACACTCCTATATTGCGCGCTCTTTCCGTCTTTTCCTCTCTCTCTCTCTCTCTCTCTCTCTCTCTCTCTCTCTCTCTCTCTCTCTCTCTCTCTCTCTCTCTCTCTCTCTCTCTCTCTCTCTCTCTCTCTCTCTCTTTCTCTCTCTCTGTCTCTCCCTCATCGCCGTCATCGCCACCACCGCCGCCGCTATTGCTGTCGTTGCTCCGTCTCTGGAAATTGCTCGTACTTTGTTGGTAGAGTTAATTAGACGCTGTGATTAATTGCCTACGTATAGTCGATGTTGGAATGGCCGAGGCGCCCTTTGTTCCCGCGGTAACTTTTACAGACGGTTTTCCTGCGTTAGATTTACGACGGTCATGGTATGATAGTATGATAATAATCGAAACGTTAAACACACTGATCGTATTTGTCAAATTGAGCAATGTATTAATGTCTCAATGACTGTACTTATATGTCATACTCGTAATAAATCGATAAAACTTGTCGCAAAGTGTTTCGATTTTCTGTATCTTATCCAGGTAGATAATGACAGTAATCAGACTGCGGCTGATCAAACTCGAGATCGTCTTACTAACTTTTCCAGCTCGCGGTATATTACTGCTAATTACAATTTGCAAGATATCGCGTTCGTGCAACAGATTCGGCGAATTGCTTCGTACAATGAGAGAGTACACGTTAGAAATTAAGATTATTAGATTTTAACAAGACTAAACATCGTCGGCTACTCGCGTTTCACCAATGTCGCGGGCAGATTGAGTCGCGAAAAACGTTGTGAAAAGTCCATAAGATGTAGGTGACCATTCCGGGTACGCGCTATGTATTATGTACGTGGTACTCGGCGCATCGCGAAATGCCGTGACGCCGCAGGCGCGCAATCATCCGCTCGCTGACAACCCCGAAACCTCCGGCGCTCTCATACTCCCGTATAATCGACGCGCGCTTTCCTCTTTCCACGAAAATTCGCAGCCGTCACCGCCACCGCCACCGCCGATATTATCCGCCTACGCTAGCGCACCGCGCCGGCAGAATGCCGTCCCGTGCGATTTCACGTATATATACGCGCATTACGAAATATGGCGTTAAACGACGTCGGGAAGATTACTGAGCGGCTTACCACGACGGATTTGTAATTCTTAGCGACCGGCAAGTAGCAAGAGGAAGTGAACCATGCGCGACCCAGGCTCGTGTATGCGTTTTTAACGTTGATACTCCGCGTTTAAGAGCTTAATCACATGTGCTCGCGGTACCATCGAAATCATCGAATACGAGCGATTTCAATTCCTTTGCTTTTTATTTTTATGATTATTACGTTTAAGAAATGCGAAACTTAGGATTGTATATTCTTAATATCGTAGAATTGCGCTAAGGGATATCTTGTGCTAAACAGAGAAAATAACAAATTTGCTATTAGCGTCATATATGTAATATACAACGTAAAACACTCAATTTACCTATCAATACATTTTACATGTGCATTTTATATGTGTAAATGTGCATTATATTAAGTATTATATAGTTATCAAAAATATAGTATGGGCTATTGAGAGCGACTTTTAATTTAAAGTAGCAGTAGCGGACGTGTTAAGAGAAGTATTTAAATCACTTTTTCCCTAATTTAACTTCTAAGAAGTTCTATCTTGAAGATATTTATTTTTCGTTGCTCTTTCGTTAATTTTTGACTTGTCGAGCTGTTCAAGTTTTTCAATATGATTTTATTTCAATTATATCGCAAACTTGTTCGCAGACTGTAACTGACAACAAAGATAGAACCGTGGTCGATGCCCCTTCGATCAAATATCTCGTTAAAAAATTAAACGAGGAGCGCGACCGGAAGATGACGACTTGTCAATGAAAGCTCTACGTTCCACGACTTTTCCCGGACCGTACGGTCAACATCATTTCTAATGTACACACATTCGGATTCACCAACACTCTTCAATACGCAAACTTCGCCTCGTTTCATGCTCAATCGATCGCGGGTCGCTACTTCAAACTTTAAATCTCTTTGTTTCTGCTCATAATTCGGAAGCACCCTTTCTGAAAGTATCAAGTACTTTGAACCGGAATTAAATCGAGACACTCGCACCCTACATTTGCCCCTTTCGGCAGTTATAGATCAGAATTACTCGAAGACTTTCCGCTTGCAAAGTATGAAGTTCAACGTCCAATCATATAATATGATCACGACCCAATATTAAAGACGATTGAGTCATTTCAACGCAATGGCAAAAAGAGGCAAGGCTTCTTGTTGATCATGTAAAATTATCTTCACATATTATTCAAGCTCTCGAGAGATTGTATGTTGTATATTTTTATACGAGAATGCAACCATAAAAACAATTACTCCAAGAAGAAATTCATACAGGAGTACATTTTCATACAGGAGTCTGTTAGATAACTTTGGCTGGAGGGATCGAAAATGTTAGTCTTACCGCGTCTAAATTATCATGTATCACCTAGATGTATTTCTGTCGGGTCCTCCAAGAAAATATTCGCTATTCGGGACCCCGCGATGTACTCGTTCGGCCCTGGATGGAGGTTGAGGGTAGTGACAGCATACAGGGGGAGTCGCGTGAGAGTGGACGGCTGGTAACGCAACGAAGCGAGGCGTGCCGTACACGCGACGGGCAGCATCAATCCATCCACATAAACGGTAAACGGTAAAGCGGACCTGGAACAGAACGAGGGGTATAGTGGCTGTCATAAATGCCTTCCCATCATCGAATGACACATACCTATAAGACGTATCGCGCTCAGGTGATTGTCGAAACAACGACTGCACGCGGTAAAGAAACACAAAACGCTGAACGATAAGCTACCACTCTCGGCATTTGTCATATTTGATATACAGCACAAAATTCGCGATGAATAACGCTGCAATTAGAATATTTACAAAAAAGGAAATGCAAGCGTTGAGTTATGCCTTATCGTTTCTTTCCATTTTTTTTTTCATTCCTCGCAAGTTCCTCCGCTGCAACTTTTTTTATCGTGAATCGTGCGTAAATTAGTAGATCAATAGATAAAAAAGAAAAAAGTTAATAGATAAATAATTAACATTTGTCAAATATTTCCATAGAAAAAATATACAGATATATAATAAATATTCTTTTATTCAATGGAAATCAAGTTTCTCAAACGGCCCGATTAAAACATATGCGAGTACGATGCGTCTTATCAGAAAGAAGGGGCCATTTAGTAACGGAAAGAGATATTTATGATGCCCGATGTATGTGAGAGAGAACGAGAGGGAACGGATGATAGAGTGAAAGAAGGAGAGAGAAACAGAGAGGAGACGCGGGCGCGTTCTCCCTCGCGCGATACGAGCGCGATGTGTGCGGACGAAACGGGTCGTTGCGCTAAGCCGGGCTTTGATCGTCACCTGTCATCATACCAACGCGCCCGGAGGAGCTGCAACGACCCGGCGCCCCGGCCGTCGTCTCCGGCTCGCATAAATGCGAGAATTACATCCGCGGGTTATCACCCGTGGCTCTCTCTCGGCCGTGTTGCGCGTTACGGGCCCGTTGTCGTTCATGTCCCTGTGCGCGCGAAACGAAGACACTTGTTCCACCATTTCCTCGACCAGGTATTCTTGCGGAAAAGCGCGATCGCACGAAATGTCAGATTTGCACTCGCGTCGTTTGATTTCTTTTTCCAGCCATAATGCTCTTTGATGCTCCCGCGAAAATACACTTACACGTTCACTTGCTTTTTATCAGAATCTCAAGTCGTGCGTGATGAACGGATTTGAAATAGGATTGCTCTTGATTTTTTTTGCCGAGTATGTAGAATGTTTCATATATTTTCAGCAGAAAAGTACGTTTGATTGCACAATTACACATCGCTGACAAGTGTTCTTGCAGTGAGCTCTTAATGTTCTCAATGTCTATTTCACTAGAATTCGATAAAATTTTAAACTTTGTCTTTTTCTTGGCGTTTTACTCGCGAATCTAACAAAAGAAATGCGACGTACAAGTATATTCGGGTAAATCGATGAATTAATTCAATGCCATGTTTTAACGCGCGGTACGATTACTCGTCTCAGCTTTATGCATATGTATTTTATATGCGATAGAGGCTGATCTTGTTTCACGGAATTTTGATTTACGAGATTAGTCGAGGGAAAGCGATAACTGGACAACCGGGTGATGTTACATGCGTATCGCATACGGATCGTCTGTAACGTATGCGAATACACGTGTGACGGCATGCATACGATTTTCCGAACGATAGGAGGCGCGAGTGGAAACAGACAGACCCTATCTGTACGGTCTGTGTACGCAGTTGGTGTATACAGCGCTCTTTTTTTTTCTTGAGAATTTTTCTGCAATTTGCAGTTGAATTTTTCCTGGACGAGAGTCGCTTAGATGTAGTCGCTATCTGTCGCAATCTGTTCTTAATTTGAATCTGAAAATTTCGAATTCTTTTGAAACTTAATTCGGTCTTGCGAGAAAATTACCCTAATCAAAATTAAAATCCAACGGATACATTACCTCGGAATAATTACTTCAAATTTCCTTTAGTAAAAGCATCATACGAAAACGTTTTATGATATCACACTGATGATATTTAAACAAATCTAAATAGTAATGAAAATCTTAAATTCAATTAAAATAGCCATCAATATAAGGGTTTACCTTGGCCTACCCCTTGATGCGCATCTCTCAAATCAACACGAAAATCTCCCTGAAGTGTTAACACATGTATCGCAGTATCCTACACACGTATTCGACAAGCGATTCGCGAATCGCCCCATTCTCCTTCGACGGCGATGACGTTGACGATCGCCGACGTGTCGGTGATAGCGTTGGCGGTGATGGTGATAGCAACGATAGTGGTAGTGTGTCTCGTCCATGTGTATCAACCCCACTCGCTCGGGGATTAGCCTTCGAGATCGCTGACTGCTGAAATGTTCACAGATCGGTTTACCGTTTAGCAGGATAGAGAGTGTGAGCCTCGTGATCCGTGGCCCGTGTGAGCACTATGTGTGCCCCAACATACATACGCACACGAACATACACACATCACACACAACGTGAGCATGTAGTACAACGTTAAAACGGGAACTTCCTCCCCCGTGCGTTGCACCACATTCGCTCGCGTTCGTACACCCGTCAATGAACATGCACATGTGTGTATATGTATATACACGTGTGTGTCGTGTGAGTGGGTAGGTGTGATCGTGTGCGTGTGTCGGAAACGTGTCGGGAAGATCTACGCCTACGCCTCTCCACTGTGGGAACTCGCATTGTGGACCACACGTGCCGGCCGAGCATTACGATGGCGTGTGTTTATAGGTGTGCGATAAGATTGGTATAGGTATATGTACGTGTGTACGCGCGCGATCACAAGCGAGAGGTGAGAGGGTGGCAGGGAAAGGGAGAAAGAAAGAGAGGAATCACGAGAGATGAAAAGGGAACAGGGCGCGGTCCATTCCAGCGCATGCGATTCTAATCCCCGCAGCGTCCATTCGCCGTCCGGGCACGCACGTACTCGAAAATCGCTCGTCTTAAGCCACTGACACACGAGAAAATTCAAGGGACCATTGTTGCCGGTTTAACCTACTTCTTTCTGAAAATAAATGAAGAAACATCGGGGTTAAAAGCTGAAAGAATTAAGAGTTGAACCGAATTCGCACAAACTTAAACTAATAAATCTAATTTACTCTTGATCATAAGTTGCATAATGTTATTACGAAGTATTATGCAATACCGAAAGATCTTATTTTCCATGGCGAATTATCTCTGGATAGAATCGAGGAAAAATAGATATGGATGCAACAGCGACGACCGGTGGGGCTCGGGTTAAATTGCAACTTAATATTCATCGGTTCCTCGCTAAAAGATCAATTTGTTCGATATCGTTCGTTTCTCTATGCCGGGAGCTTTCCCTTGACGTATATCCGTTTCCGCCTCGCCGAGCTATAAGCTGCTCAGCTATAAAGCTCTGTATTTGAGCAACGATGCGTACAGAGAGCGACAGTGTTCCTCCTCGATCGAGCGAGACGTCGCGCAAAGCGAGGAGCTTTTGTATAAAAAAGGCGAGCTTAATGGCCGTGGCTGCGAAAAACAGATCGTTTCTTTCGTGTCTTTGATTCGTGAGGGGTTCCGATGAAAGCCGATATAACATTTAAAATTTGCACCATTCAACGAACAAGCGTTGCGCGAATATTTACGAATACACAAATATGCAAAAATATGTTGGATATATAGTAAGGGGAACGATACCGATGTGCACATATGCTGTGAAATGCATTTTTCTACCTAACATTTGCTCAACAGAGACTGTCGTCAAGAATCTCGGTGATGACGATATAAATTTGGAGTTATTTCAAAAGAAAAAAGGACTCCGTAAAAAAATACGACCCTGTAGTTCATATTCTATCAACTGCGCGAAAATGTTATCATTTTTAATGTCTAATTCATATTTCTTCCAAATGGTGAGTTGAATTTTTCCGACGGTAAAATTGTCCCTTCATGGCGTCATGTCAAAGCTACGTTCGTATAGGTCGAAGGTTAACGAAATTATCGCGAAGACGGCACCGGTTTCGAAGGTTTTTTGCGCGCCGAAAAGCAATACCGTACGTACGTAAAGATCATTGTTTACAAAGCAAACAAATCTTTACCAGCTGCGTTTTTCCGCTAAGGGAGTTCATCGTTGGGAGAACAATTACTCCTGAAAAATAATAATATTTGTACCTGTTACGATGTGCACGAGCAATTTGGTCGATAAAGCAAACAACCCCGAGGCGGATTTCTCATTTCTTTTTTACTACCTACAAGCGTGTTTGCGCGTATAAAACTGCTGTCTCGTTTTAAAAACCGATTGCATGTATTGATCTGAAAATTGTCTATTAACGATGTTTCGCAATAACACGATGAAATTTCTTTTATTCTAAACACGTCAAATTTGTTGACGTCAAATTAGTGACTATTTTTGCCATTTCTGAAATATAAAAATATTACGAATCTTTCATATACGATTGCTCTTACAATTTGCTCTCAGAGCAAAGTAAAAATAATCATGGAGCAAGATACACAAAAGTGAAAAACAATAGGATATAGAATACTGACAAGATATAACGGTATAACGGAACAATTTGGACGACGAAAATCATCTTGCCAATAAATGAATTCAATCAAAAGTATAATCTATCGTAATTCACAATAGTGAAATTTACGCGGGCGGTCAACGTGTAGGAGTTTATTCCAGCATATCGTTAGTCGAGAGAACGATTTCTTGGATTTATATAAAACGACGACGACGACGATGACAACGTGGACGAGGACGGCGACGACGACGACGACGACGATGACGACAACGACAACGACAACGACAACGACGTGCCAATGCGAAAAGAAATACTCGTTGCGCCAGTGGCGAAGTACCTCTCGACGGGGCGGTGCGTGATAAAGGGGAGATATTGCGACGCCAGTGCGAACGTGGGAATCCGCGGCTGCTATCCGCTCAGCCTCATTAATGATGATGTGCTTGCCACCCAGTTGCAGCTCCCGCTTCGCCATCTCGCTCTGTCTTCCACCCCTTCGACGCTCTTCCCCATGCCCTCCCGGTGTCCTCTGCCTCTCTCTTTCCGTCCTCTGCTTCTCCCTCTGCCCTTCTCTCTTTCTCTCACTCTCTGGGTTTGCAGCCACGCTCGAAAGATCGAGCTCTGTGGAAGCTGACGCCCGGCCAGCCACCACATCCGATCTACACCACCCTCTTTCATCCGCGATTCAACCCCCTCTCCTTCTGGTCGACCTCTTGTTCCCTCCACCCCATCCACGCGGCTCGCGGGATATACAGCTCTCGTACATCTCGAACGACCTACAACGCGCGTTATACCTCGAATTCAATTCCGCGCAACCTGCGCCCACTTTTTCGCTCCCACCGTTAAGTCCATCGCCGATATTATTGATAGGCGGTCCTAGAGACGGACTTTCGATCACGCTGGAAGCCGAGGGGCGAGGGTGTCGGTGCGTAGGGATATTTCTCGTTATGCTGCGAGGAGGGTTCTGCGTGGACACTTATTTACATGACTGGTCTTTAAACAACGTTATTTGTATAATCTTTTTGTTTTAATAATCGATACGATCGTGAAATACTTCTCTAACACAATGTACCTCTCGAAACCTTCATTAATTTCCACGGATTAATTACTGGCATCATATAAGCTTTTAATAAAGCTCGAGCGGAAAGCTTCTCTCGCTTATGTAATCGCGGAGCGAGGTGTCGGACGTCAAAAGTAATATAAATACGTCATACCTGATGTTTAGCAGTACAACATGAACGCGGACCGAGGAAACCGAAGCCCCATTCGATTATCTCGGAGAAGCAACATCAGCAACAATCGTCGATTGTCACACAATTGTCCCCTCATTCTGGAGGTCCGGTGCACAATGATCGATTAAGACCAGCACTCGCTCCTCCGTACGTCCTATCACCACACAGGTGTGTAACGTTTGCTTAATTGATTTATAAAAAGACTTGTCTTATTAAGTATACATTCCAAGCTACGTAACATGAGTTTACGATGCATAACGAGATATTACTAAAACTAACCGATCAGGTTGTTCTCCGGTTTGGAAGAAAGATGATTGGAACACGAAGAGAATGAACTTTTGTATCATATTGCAATTGGCTAGGAAATATCAAAAACTAGATCTTGAAAAATTCTTACTTTCAGTTATCCTAATATATCTAGAAGAATACTTATTCTTATGATTACAGAATTATTCTAATTTGCATATACGAGGATAATTTTCTTCAATATTTTAAGAGCAGCGTATATACATATTAGAATATGTAGAGTGCCTCGTCACTATCGTATTAATCATATTAGTGATTCGTGTGAAATAATTACAACATCCGCGAAATTTTCATAGCGTTTTTGTTAAGAGGAACTTGATGGAATCGTTAAATAGCAATTGCATTTAAAATCATCTAAAGAATACAGCTTGAAGATGAATCGATAATGATGGGGTATACATCGCACATATGTAGCCACAGACGACGATAAAATTATGTAAAGCGATTTAGACTCTTTGTTAAGTAGTTAAGGGTTATTACTGTAGAAGGTTAAGGTGCGACCAAAGATTCACGCCTTACCCACGACCGATGGCGCTGGTACAGAAACCGCCGGAGGAATCACCATCCCCCGTACCGCTGGTCTTACCGCACCCTCGCACGACCACGACTCTCTATCAGGCGGCCACGACTGTCTCCTTGGCGTCGCAACCTTCTCTCCTGCAGATATTAATGTCCGCCGAGGAATGTCAGGTAAGTAATTCAGCTTAATTCGCGCGCCCTCGTATTCTCTCGTTCTCCTGCAAAGTTAATAAAGACAATCGAGCTCAGCTCAAGTTCTCACTGCGGTCGACGAATTACACGCAGCGTATTATAAGATGATAGCGTACCTTCCGCAAGATGTAAATGATATCTTATAGCTACCCACTAAGATTTTAATATTCAGAAGCTATTAACTTTGCGCATGAGTTCGAATTAAAAGATTGAATTTGATGCAAAGAATGTTAAAATCTTAGGATTGTCGGTAAATGTGATCTCAATTTACTCTATAATTGTATAAATGTATCGTATAAATCGTATAAATATAAAAAATCAAAGATTGATGGAACATTATATTTATTGTACATTATTAGCAAGATACGATCTTGTTATTTTATACGAGCACAAGTAGAAAGAATAAATCCATGGATCAAATCATCAGCACAACCATTGACTTTATGCTTCGATTCTTTACGAGAATTCAACTATACACTTGTTATACAAATTTTTACCTCGTTTTACTATAAGGAGTTGGTTTGGAACGCACGACTGCAACCCACGACAGAGTATCCGATAGAGCAGATGGAAACGGAAACGAGTCACAGTCCGACGGGCACGGTACAGAGTCTTAGTCCGACCTGGGAGATGCTGCAGGTAGTTTTCAACGTTCCAATGCGACGGTGTTCTTTTCGCGATACTTCACTTATTTATATGTATCGGTGAATATTGATAATAATGTAGGAAACAACGGCTCGGCTGTTATTCATGGCTGTTAGATGGGTGCGATGTTTACCACCCTTCCAAACGATATCAAAAGATGATCAGTTGCTGCTGCTGGAACGATCCTGGACGCAACTGTTTCTCTTGCATTTAGCACAATGGTCTATCTCTTGGGACATCACCGCGCTTCTCGAAGACGAACAAGTGCGCAGCAGGCTTCCCGCGGACGATAATCCGACGAATCAGGAACTCGTTCTTATTCAGGTTCATCAGTCGTTAATTTCTGTTCGCAGTGATTTGCAGTCTTCGCGGATTTTCTTCCGTTCTCGGCTTTACCCTGACGCGCTACAAAATGGATGATACTTGATATGTCGTTGCTTTCAATTTTTCGTCTCGTCAGATTGCATTAACTTTCGCTTGAAAATTTCTAGACTATAATGTATACATGTAGCATACTATCTCTTCAGATGTTATAGAATATAGAGCATAGATGCACGAACACGGTGATTTTGTTTCTTTGGAAACTTTTGCTTTTATTCTGCTTACGTTTTATTCTGCTGCGTTTTTCTCGGTCGTTCTTTTTAACACTTTTTTATCGAATTTCGCAGAAACTCTTTTAAAAAGCGTGAAAGAAGCTTATTACAGCAGGATATTCTCTCACATTTTAGGCAATAATATGCCGATTCAGGCAACTGTCCCCCGATTTCGGCGAATGCGGCTGCATGAAGGCAGTGGCTTTGTTTACGCCAGGTAAATACGACATATTTTTAAATACAAGCTCGATCTGGTTAATTGTAACATCGAAACAGTGAGACACAATTAATAATAATGATAATAAATTATTTGTGTATTATTCCCTATCAATTATTCGTTCCACTTATTTATTTTTTCATTTATTTAAAACATTTTATTATTTTGAATAATAATTTATGTTGTTACTGAAATGTCGCATTTGTTCGTAAATCGTAATTATCCTGATCGATCCTGTCGTGCTAGTATGAAGAGATAAAATGCTAATCAACGTTTGAAATACTTTAAAATACTAATCGCATATAATACGTCAAATACGTTTCTTTTTTTATTAAACCGTAGAGACAGTGGGGCTGCATGCGGTTCAGCCCATTGAAATACTGCAAGATCAGGCGCAACGTATCCTGGTGGATTACACGAGATCACGGTATCCGCAGCAACCGGGCAGAATTGGGAGGCTAATGATACTGGTTGGATACCTCAGGTGTGTCTCCTCCAAGACCGTTGAGCGTCTGTTTTTTCATGAAACCATCGGGGAAATACCGATTTCGCGATTGCTAGTCGATATGTACCAGATGGAAAAATACATCAACTAAGGCGCATTTGCATCTCACCTCGCGAATATCATCAGAACCAGCTTCATCTGACTCCTCCGGTTCTTTCACGTGTAGTCAGCAGCGCAGAACGGAAAAAGAATACAAAATGTCTCCGTAATCTTTAGCGAGAGACTGTAAATTTCCTGTTCGCCAATTCACCCTTGCAATTATGTATAACATTAACACCTAAAATGAAAGATGTCGTTTAATTGCTTCAACAAAGATCCAACATAAATGTGATTTCGACATTACCGTTGTCGAAAAGTCAATCATTTTTCTGCCGAGATTTTTATAGGAAATTGTCTGCAAAATGTTCAATTATATTTTCATTCTGTCCTTTCCTAGTTATAACAATGAGATATATTTTTATTCTGCGTAAATATTTAGTATTTGATTATTGTGTATTTATACTTGTAACAATATTTGTATTAATTTATTTCATGCTCGAATATACTCGAGTGTATCAAAGAAATGGTTAATTTTTGTTTCTGCCGATTTCTGAAAATTTCACTTGCAAAGTGCTAAGTGTATATTATTATATACTATTTATCGCTATTTATTACTATCATAATTCTGAGTGCTCGATAACTATGTCATTTCTTCTAATTGAATAATCGAACAATTGCGACAGTCTCGATAATTTTTCATCTCGCATTTCCCCGATGAAAAAGTTATTGACAATGAAGTTGACACACCGAGCATTAAGTTGATTTTTAGCTGCTCGAATTCATGTAGATTGGCGATTGTGGATTTTAGAAAAAAAGATAATAAAGTTACGCGCGCTTTACGTTGCGTATCCGAGTATTTTGTTTAATTATATTATTGTAGATTGCAGAAATCTTAGTGATAAAACAAGCGTATACTTTTTACAGTCAGTATACTGCAAGAAAGTTATTAAGATACATTGAAATAATCTTTCAAAGAAAGAGATAAAAAATCTTTCCGTTATTCTTTTCGAATATTAATTAAACATTACATGTGTATTTTTGAGTTTCTGTAATATAACAATATATTGTTTATATATTGTTACACAATATAAGGAGTACAATCGATTGTGAAACAGTTCTAAAAATTCTGTTCGGAAATCACAAGATGTCGGTAATCTGTAATGTTCTACGTGCCCCTGTGATGCCTGTTGTATATTTTATCGACTTGATTTGTTAGAAAACGTAACTTATGTATATATCAGCGCAAAATCAATTTGCGTAATAAAAAAATATAATGTAAGTAACGCAACAATTACAGCGTTGTAAAAAGCAGTGTGGAATATTAATGGTGCTGTCTTTCTTACACTATTGCTTCTATAGAAGATAACGTTTATTTATAAAGTTTACTCGAACGCAGTATGTTTTTATTGTGAACTTCGATCAAACGAAATGAACAAGAGAAAAAGAAAATGTATCATAAAGTAAATCTTAGCTATAATCATGTGACGGTGAAGTTGTGCTTCATCATGATTGTTATATTCTCAAATTTTTGTTTGATAGAATTAATAAATTTGTTATACGCCTACGTAAGATTATAGTACGTACGAGATGGATTATTAATGGGATATTAATAAATGTCTTAACATAAGTGTAGAATCTGTAACATTTCATTCTCCAATGTATTAAACTTTTTCGTCAACACAAATATGTTTTTTTATACACCCGTTATATGGTAGAGAATATTTCAAGAACCGCACGCGTGGCATCAATAAATGATAAATACTACTTGTGGAAAAAAAGGACAAAAAAACGGGGTGAATCGTTAAAAAAGTTAAAAATTAAGAGTAATCAAATTTGTATAAACGATCGATATAATTGTCCACGTAATCACATACATTGTATTTATTCGAGGATCATACAAGTTACAGAATCGGAATGCCTTAGTTTATATTCTGGATCTTTTCAACCGAAAAATCTGTTTGTTGATATATGCGTTCAATCATGAAAAATGACTGGCAAGTATAAACTCATGCACGGATATCGTATAATCTGCAATGTAATTAACGTATTGATCCTCAGATAAATATAACAATATTAATTTTTATCTGTTTATAAATGCATACTCGTTTAATCTACACGCAGTATATCGCATTTACCAGAGGATATTTCTTTCGTAGAGAGCACCACTTGCTTTTGATTACGATGTAACGTCCATTTTGCCAGCAGGAAATTTCCGACTTCGTTCAGGAAGCGCCATTAGCTCCACCGGAAACCGGAACGAAAGGTCAAATTTTGTGTTTACTTTCTTGGCTTTCCTGTGAAGCATTACCATCGCTTGATATAGCTGAAGCCTCAACTGTAGGTAACTTTAGGTAGGTGTACTTTATGTACAATGATCAACTGATATGATCGACCGTTGGTAGTTACGTTTACAATATGGCGGCGACGGTATGCATGAGCTATCGGAATTTAAACGTAAGGACGAATTGAATACATTGGATCTTTATTGAAAAATAGAAGCATTATAACATAACTTATTTATTTAAAATAGATTTTTAAATAGATAAGTTACGGCAAAGTTACTGGTAAGTATTACAAAATTACTAAAATTTCAAGCACGGAAATGAAAAAAATCATGTACATAGTCGATCACAAAGTAATCTTATAAACTTTTTTAATATAAAATTTTCAGAACTCCTTATACACAGCTATTTATATAAATTATAAAGGGTTATATATACCTTCGCACACGAAACGTAGATTAATATTTAAAAAAAAAGACATTAAATGCATCATAGAAATTTATTTTGTACCCCTTTCATGTAAAAAGTGGTTACATATGTGTACGTATCTCTGATGTGAGATACACAGTCTTCGCGATCCTGCATGAAAAATTATTTTATAAGGAACTTTTCGAAACTCCTTCGTCAATTTTTTCATGTGGGTTGATTTAATTTTAATTTAATTTACACCAATTGGCTGGTGATGAAATCGAGGAAGCTTGTAACCCTTGTGTATACACCCGGAAAACCTGGCTCGGCGCACTTGAAACCATACGATACAATTCCAGTAACATAATATATATAAGTGTATTTAGAGCTAGGAGACATCAATGGCCCCCCACTGTCACCCTGAAAATCGTTTTATATCGTAAGTAAATAATATTGTAAGTCTTAAAAATTAAGAATTTATTACCACAAATTAATTTCTCATCGTTATAAATAATTTTAAAAAATCAAAAGATTTCAGAAATCAATAAACTTCGATAGACTTTAGCAATATTTTACTAATCTCATAAATAGTAATATTGAAAATAAAAAAAGTAAAATTAATATAAAAAGTTGGAAGGATAGTTTAGTTCATTTTGTTGATAATAATCACAAGTTAGATAAATCCTCAAAAATATAAAATAAATGTTTAAAAATACTTGATAATTTGCTCTTGCAATTCCTATAATCGTTTCCTCACCTGACAAGCATCTTTTCCACCTCTTGCATAGCCTGCGCACAAAACACGATTGTCTATTACAGTTGTCTTAAAGTTCTGGAAAGCGGTTTTACATTCTTCTTCCGTACGTACAGGAATTTGTATTTGCATCAAGTGACTAGATGTGGGTCCACCTAAAAGCAAAAGATTAAATCAATAAACAAGATTAAATTACTAACAAAATTAAAAAATAATCATTTTATTCTATATATACGAGTTATATTAAAATAAGATTAGTCTTCAAATATTTACAAGTTGTGCGTCGATTTATTTCGTATATTACTTACGGAAATAAACTGATCCCCAACCGGCAACGAAAGGATACGTATTCTCTAACCGCTTGTTTCGATGAAAATCATCCACGGGAAGGCAAATAGGATGAAGATCCACTAAAAATTTACAAAGACTTTCAGTAAGTTCGCAATTGCAATTACAATGGAAGCAAATTGTAGTTTCACAAACAATTGAAAAATTCATGAGAAAATCTTTATCTTTCATCTTTTTAATCATAAGAACAATTATAACGTCTAATGTTAAAAAGATAATAGAATAATCTTACGTGAAAACGGCACATCCCGAGTCGTCTTGAGAACCGCTATATCGTTAGTGTAAGTTGTGGGATTGTATTGAGGATGTATCACTCGTCTCTCGATGAAGTCCTCAAACGGAAATGCTCCGTCATTGTCATTGTTCAAATCTAAATCACCAATGCGCACTTTGTATAGATCATTGCGTCCGTGTACGCAATGTCCAGCAGTGAGTACGTGTCGTCTTGAAATTAGGACACCGCCGCAAAGCCATCTCGTGCCACTCGGATCTCTCGGATGCGTGTAACCCAGAGTAGTAAGCCAAGGCCAAGCACCTATAAAACCTGATTGTTAGCATCAGCATGTGTGATATGGACGTGGATTAAAAAGTTGACCCAACGATGTGGCTATATTTGTGACAAAACTTAATTAATTTTTAATGCAATTAATTTTAATTCAAGAACCATTGATGTTTTGATATTTTCGAGTTTTTGTATTCTTGATCTTAAATTTCTCTATGATAAAAAAAGTGCAATTATTATGCAGGTAACATTTTTACCTAAAGGAGCTGCCTCACCACCGACGATTCTACGTAACGATGCATTACTAAAGCCGCATTCGGGCGGATATAAAGGACCATACTCAGTGCTGATAATTTCTTGTCGACTTCCACGACTCACGTCGTTACCCGTACCTCCGTTACTCGGACAACAGACTCGAGGATCTCTATTTTCGTAGCCACAAACGGAAGAACGGAGATAGTTGCCTACTTGAGGATCTTGGGAATTTGTTTGCAGAAGATTTAACAACGATGAACATCTCTTAATATTGATACATATACCTTGTTGACCTTGTGGATCTTGGCACGGATCTATAATATACAGATCGAAGCTTGACTTTAGCAAATATTATACATGAAGATTGAAAATAACGTTGCGCTTGATAAATTTTTACAAAGATCCAGTATTTGAGAATTGACTCTTTTCATTTTTATCAAAAGTCTATCATAGATAGGTAATGTAGTAGAAATACTGTGTTACTAAAAATAATAGGATTTTACTATAAACATAGCAAAGCGAAGTGTATAGCTTTTTACGACCAACGTGTTTCGTGTTGCGTAATGGACTATTATGCTCTGGACATTTGTGTGTGATCGCTACTCGTTAAAATGCCGTTAGCAGCAATATGTAAATACGTTCCGTGGAAAAAAAGATTGTATCCATGTTTCATGTGGAAGACATTGAACAATGACGTCATTAACACACAGTGCGTAACAGTCTGTCGTAATAAAGCACTACGAATTTCTATTTGTCACAACGAGCTTTCCACGAATAAAACTCGACTATACAATGACTGCAACCACATCTGAAGAATTCTTAAAATTGATTGGTTTAATGAAATTTAATATTAAGATATTGATCGTAGAGAGAACTATACTCTGTTACAATGTCCTTGTTAATTTTTTCGAACATTATAACTCACATTATTATAATCACTTCAAAAATTCTTTTGATGTGTAACACGCACACGAATCTTTAAGATGATTATAATAAATTAAAAACTAGTGGTCAATACACGTTAAGATTATAGATCTCCATTTTTAGTTTGTTCGTAAACTTCGTATATTGATGCCGTGTGATAAAAATGCATTAATTAATCATTATATTCCCACTTTTTGTTTCAAGAAAAATTAAATTGCAATAGTTCTTTTCTCAAAATGCGACAGGAATGATTTTTGCATAAAAAACTTCGGTTTCGGCTTTTTTTGATTCTTTGAAACATTTATCTGATTTTAATCCTGATTTTTATGTCATCCTTCTTAGAAGCATTAAGCCATTAAGAGGACGCACACTCTCGTGACGAGTGATCACAGCCTTCAGCCAACCTTCATACATGATCATATACTACATCAAAATTCCCTCCATTCCATTAACCTTGGCCATGTTCGGACAGTTGTACGTCAACACTTGCTAGAAATTTCCAGGCAAACCGTGTAATGTGAAAGTAAGGTAAAAGGACAAATCGTTCAACCGCAAATCAATCTACTACGATTAACTACATTGCTTTATAATTCGATAAGGAAAATAGAGCAATTTACTAATATAGAAAAATGAAGTTATTATTTATGTGTTGTTTTATATTATTGTCTATATATGTAGAAGTTATATAGAGTTATCCGTCGTTTATTTATTCATGGATTGATGGACTGAGAGAAACATATTTTATGATATTTTATATTGGTTTTAATCTGTGAGGTGATGAAAGCGACGTGGTATTAAATATTGATAGGAAAATAGCATGTTCTGTTGTTTTTTACATAACTTTATCTTCGAGAACAATTGTGATGACATATTACCGAATGCGACTGATTTACTCAGTTACAAGAGAAAGCGTAATTCCCACTTATGATACGTGATTGATTCGTTTTCGGATGGAGAATGAAAAAAGGACGGGCATATTTCTCTACAATTTGACGCTTTTCACAGAGTGGCCATGGTCGAAAATTAAATATACTACAAGCAAATATATATTTTATCGGATAATAATCACAGTTATAAGAGAGGATTTAGAGAAGAGATGGGAGTCTAATTTATTAATCAAAACATGATACATATAGCTTCCATAATCACGAGCTTGGAGTAGAACAATTTGTTAAATCGTTGAGCAATTATAATTCAGGAAATAATTATATAAGACAGAAAGCATACTCACACGTGACGATATACATATTTATAAAGTTAAGTAGTAATCTTATGATCAAACAACATGCAAACATACCGAGTACCTCATCGGGTATTGAAATATGCATACGCTGTGATAAAGGCGAAATATATGAAAACGATTTAAACGACGCTTGTGACGAGATCGTAATGGAATCTGCAGTTAAATGCGTTACTCGAAATGATAATAAAAAGTGCATACCTTGAGACTGCGTAGTTGGTATTAATGCACACAGTACGCTGACGAGTATGACGACCAAGGACCACATTTTGAAACAGATGCTGTTCCTGAAAATTATCAAACGTATAACATCTTCTAATTGTGGCACATGCGTCGTAGAAGAGTTAATATATAAATTAACGCCCATATATATTATCACGTAAGTCTACGAAGGAAGGTTATATGTGTCGCTTACATAAAAGTTAAACGTAAAGAAGTTTTGCGAAAAATGCTGGAAAACTTGTGATATTACCCAGGCAGAACAGAAGATCATGATAACATCAAAATGACGAGAAAATGATCGAATCATGATGGAAACATGAGTTTTTCTTATCATTTTAACGTCATTTTGATGTCCTTATGATTTTCTGTTCTACCTGGGTATCGGCATAGATTATATTTATTAATTTTTTTTTCAAAGCAACAGAATCTTTAAACATATATCTACGATTTCTTTCCTTGCGTTGTTAAAATGTTTCTCGTGTTTATGAGAAAATGCGTTATCATCAAGTGACTCTATACGTAATATTATAAAAAAATTTTCCAAATATAATGACAATAGGTAATAAAAACATCTTACGCACGCATACGAAATAGAAATGGATTGTCTACGTTATTTTATTTTACCGTGTAATGAATGAGTTGTATATAAAAATGTATATATAATAAATTATTGTAAAGCGACATAAAACACATGGCTGTAACTCTCGATAAAATTCAGGATATGATACAATTTATAGCACAACTGAAAAAGTTGAACTTTTAAGTTCAACAATTAAATTCCGTTATTTATTTGCATTTTTTAAGATTGATCTATCAACATAATATTTTTTCACTTGCACGAGAAACCGTTAACATCGCGAGACGCTTAATCATCTCTTATTTTTAAACAACCATCGCATATTTTACGGAAGTTTTATACACACAATGACGCAAAATAAATGACAAAAAAGCTTAATTCAGAAATCGTGAGAGAAAAACAATAAATCAGAATGTAATACATGCGTGATTATTTCAATGCTTCTGTCGGTTCGGTGTGAAAAGAAGTTTTGCTTGGGTAGCCATGGCATTGACTGAATACAAATTGCTCATGATGATGATGATTATGGTATTACGTATCCGCGGTATAGAGTAAAAGCTTGTTAGTTGATTTCCTAGATTTATTCCGCAATCATAGTTAATTACGAGTTATTTAACATTGAAATATAAAACCACTCCGATTTAAAATAAAAATAGCTCGCTAAAGATTCCACGCGTTGATGATTACAAAATTATATTTTTGTAATTAAAATCCAGAGTATTTCAAGCAATGGCTTTTATTATTCGTAAGCAAAAATATTTTCGGTATAAGTATCAATCAACATAAAATTTTAAAAAATGATCAAGTTTTCTGGAATTATGTTATTGCGCTATCTTTTTCAAATGCTTTTTTCACATATGTTACAAACATATGTTAGCAATTTTTATAATTTCCTTTGATCTGTTAACACGCACATTATGCTACACAAAAATAATTCTTCCTTACAGTTGCACGACTATAGTTGAGAAATTGTTATCAAACTATAATTATAACAAATTGTAATTATCGCAAATATATTAATTTTCTTTTAGAACGAGACGAAGACTAAACAATCTTGTTCAATTATTACTCACTATTTAACTAGTGTATTATTATTCACGTGCTCATACGATTGAGTTCTTCATGCACAGATAAAAAAGACACCGACGATCGATGGATTAAAGAGCGTGACGAGAGTTACCACGATGATGAGCGTCGTGCGACAACTGCACTGCTTTTGTCTGAGCAGTTCTCTTTATATTGAACAGGACTAACAAGCTGGAGTTTCGTATAGTTAGATGAGAGATTTAGTCATATGTCATATCTATGTGTGTAGTAACAAGAATTCTTCCGCATATATATTTATGTAAATATATTGGCCATCGAAAGGCCACTGGAATCTGTTTATCGAATGGTAGAGACTAAAAAAGTGACAACTCAAATAATCGGTTTCTCTTCACTACCTAGACAGAACAGAAAATCATGATGATATCAAAATGACGTCAAAATGATGAGGAAAACTTTTTTCTCATCATGATTCGGTCATTTTCTTGTCATTTTGATGTCATGATTTTTTGTTCTACTTGGGTATTTACATCCATGTAATTTGTAAAAAATCGTTTTTGTTATCCTCATATCTTAAAATCTTTTAACGTGACGTAATTTTTCTTGTTATTATATCTACTTTTATAAATGAATATAAGTTGGAAAAAGAATTAGAGGACATGAAGAACATTAGAAGATGAAAAACCTTATAAAGTATCTAATTTTTGGAACATGTTAGAATGAATAATATATATCTTTCAGATATTGTAAAAATACTCTTATTGACGTGTAGTAACGTGTTCTTTTTAGGGAAGAATCGATATTACGAAGTATCCATAACAAATCGCGCGTTTCTTAAAATCCTAATATGAATCATCAAGGAAAATATAATATTACAATTATCAAGAGATTAGTGAGCTTCCGAGAGGAAAACCCTTTTTACGACCGATTACATCTTGCGACATTATTCCTATACACGTTCGAATATAATCCGATATATTCTGAAATTTCTAATATTTTATACTTGACCAAAGCTACTTTCGACCACAATTTTTATGATGTACATATATGTAGTACGTGTATATATATGTAGTGCGAATATAATGGTATTTAATCACTTCAAATATTTTTAGTGACAGTGAAATATATGATTTCAATTATGTATGCATATATTAATTGTCATGATTTCCGAGATAAGGTCGATACAAAACAAGTAATAATGAATTCCGTATTTGTTTTGTATCTAGCGATATATTTCGTTATCGAGCGTCTGTTATCTTTTAAATCACTTGCGGAGAGTGATAACGAATATATAATAATATAGAATCGAGTGATTTTTAACGGTTGTGATTAAAATAAAATATCATATGTTAAGTCATATATTTTATATAACGTTTATTCTAAGTCGCAACAATAAGTCAATACAATTTCGCATTATCTTCCTATTTTATTATGTACAGTATAAATCCTTATTATTTATGAAAGTATATAAAATTATTGTTTTTCAATATATTTCGTAATTATTAATTAATATAGAGATGTGTATGTGCGCGCACGCGCATATATGTATATGTATGTGTGTGTGTGTGTGTGTGTGTGTGTGTGTATGTAGAACCACTTGCCCTTATCTTGTAAAATAAACTGTTGCTCAGACGAATATATATTTAACTACTTGATTGTATATGGCAAATATATATTTTTTATTTACGATCCTTTAAACAGGATGTATTATATATGATCTTAAAGATTTTAATTGGATCAGAAATTTTAATAGATAAATTATTGATATACTCGATTAAACAACTGTTAAAAATTTGTTATATAAAATAAAACAGTTGTTGAAGATATTTCATTCACTTCCTTAATAAGTTAATCCTGATAAACAGTTTTTATATATGGCAGTGTGCATAAAATATTTTCAATGACAATCATTTATCAATGATGATAAAAATGTGAGATCGTTACTATACGTTCAGGTAAATAAACCCTGCGACATAGTATCCGCAACTAAGGAATATAATCTACACCAAACTACTGGATTCCCCTCGAGCAAATTACTAATACACTTCCTTTTCCACGATGCATTTTCTTTCTAATATCAAATCAACAACGGGGAATCCTGTATATATGGTATCATTTCTATGTGTTCATGTGTCGTTTATTATCTATTATATATTATATCTTCCTATCGTACATTAACAAAATAAAATTATTCAATTCACAGTATTAACTTGAATACTGAAGGTACTAATGTGGTAAAAGTATCCCACTCCTCTCCTTTACCACGGATTAATATAGATCAATAATAATTTTTGATTCTATTATGTGACAAAACGTATATACAGGAATATGTGATAGTATATAAGGCCTGACAATACATTCATTTTCTTCTTGTAACTGTAGATACAGTGGCAAAAGGTAATTTAATATCACTTACATAATCATTCTATGATTCAGATATTCGTCTATGCTTATAACTTAGGCTAAGTCTTTGGCTTAGCATCGGTAATAGTAGATCAAAGGAATTCAGTATGAATAATAATCATTCGAATATAACTCTGTTATATCATTTTCGGTACTATTCTCAATTGACGCTGCATTCTAATCTCGTTCGAACAATCGTAAAAGGAATAAAAGGAAATACTATAAATTATTTTTAAAAAAACAGCGATATTCTTATATAAAAAAGAATCGGCAACGTGCAAAATCGAAACAAACAATTATCGATGAAAATTTCAAAGCACATACGGATCTATATTAATATTCAGGATCGATTAGGATTTAATATGATAGGTATATGTCAACGTATGAAGACGAAACAAAGCTAATTTTCGTATTGTTTGCTCCTAATACAATATGTAATACTAGAATTTTGTCAAAGTCACAAATTTAATACAAGCATTACAAAAATTTACATGTATTGATGAAATATTTACAATAGAAACTTTAACACCCTCGTATATAAAAAAGTTGAAGTACACTGAACGCATACAATTTATGTTTATACCCAGAAGCGTTATATATCGATAGAATTAAATAATTTCGAGATTGCCAAACTCTGTACATTTTATATATTTTTTTATTATATTATGTATTTTAAAATACATAATATAATTTCATGATATTCATAATGTTATTTTGATAAAATTATGTAAATGATTTCAAAATGTTCTTGTGTTATAGATTTTTCACTTTATATAATTATATAACAAATGTAGAAATTAGGAATAATAACAAATCAATAATGTACCATAAACAAATTTAGTCTTCAGTAATTATTATTATCAATATGCATAAAACCATCATTATAGATCTACCATAAAATCGAACGGTGACAACTGTTTTTGTCTTGAGGAACTGTGTTTCAGTTCATGCTTCGTTATTATTTTGATTATCCATAACATTTTTACACCATTAATCCATAATAGTGGTAACCCAGTATATTTCCTCCTGGATGGACCATCTTGAAATATTTGATATCATATAGATGTTACCTGATTACATTTTAAAAAGAGGCAGATATGAGAAACCTTAAACTATGCCGAAGTAGTAAGCTCCTTATGGAGGAAAGTTTCGATATCCACTCGACATATAGGACAACGTTTATTGGTGCATAGCCATTGATCAACGCAATCAATATGAAATAAATGCATACATGGAAGCCTCCTAGATAAAGAAATATAATATTATAATTGATAAATAATTCATAGTTCATTACATACATACATAAAAAGCTATATATGTAAAATAATAACAGAATACTTACCTGACATTTTCACAATCTTCAAATTCAGATAAACATATTGTACATTTTTCTGTAGCATCATCCCCATTTTCGACCTTTTTTACCTATGGACAAATGCGGCTGTTTATATAACTGCAATATTCAATTTTCGCTATAAGATCACGTATACTCACCCGTTTATACTTATGAGGGAATGTGTGGCTCTCAATAGACTCCTGCGTAGCCCCACAACTTATTTGAGCCATACGTCGTAAATCAACAATACGCATATAATTATCCAATCGAGCAGCTTGTTGTCTGATTGCTTGTTGCAATACTACGTCTGGGAAAGCCAAAGACGACAGTGGCATCATGTCATGTGTTCCGGATCGTTCCTATATTATGTGTATTAAAATAAGATGCATTAAATACAATTTATATTTATTATATCAAAACGAGATATATTAAACATAATTTATATTTATTATATTATATTTGGAGAACTCACGAATAATGTATTTTATGATAAAACGAAAACGTACCAAGTGGGGATGTAAACCGTGTAAACTGATGTGAACGTGATGCAAACGTTGAGACGGCCGTTGATGCGGATCGTAATGATACATATGATGATGTACGTGTTGATGAACCGGCATCGAGGGTAGTATCACCGAAGGAGACGGTTCCATCTCTTCTATGCCATTCAATGGATTTACCTATATGTAATGCAAAATGAAAGTTATAAGATATAATATTTAGAGATTTTTTTCGCGCGTGAATTAAATTACGATTATAGGCAGCACAGGGCATGGTGATCCAAAACTAGGTGGTCCACGAGCTTCAGGATGACTGTAGACAGTAGGTTGTTGTGGCGGTGGTAAAATAGGAGGTGGCAAATAATTCTCCGTATACGCTGTATTTTCCGTTCCGCTGCATCGTGCGTTCGAGGGACTGCTGTTTCCTCCTCCACATGTATGTTGCGTCGACGAGTGCACATGTGCGTTGCATGGTCCCGCACTACTGACAAAATACAAAACACATGTATAGCTCCTTCTGCCAAATGAAGTATAATATATACAGATTGACATAATAACTTTAATACATGAAATTGTATCGTTCTAAAGCGCAGTGTACATTTCTCATGGGAAGTTCTAAAATGTTATTTCATGTGTTAAGATTATTATTATGTCGATCTATGCAATGACAAAAATATTAACGTATGATGCGACGAAGATCTATGGTAGAGTCTACGCCTATGCACTTCTTGCATACGTTGTTGATTCATCCACAATCTTTCCTGTACAGGATGCATGCGTGGTCTTGTTATATTTGTAGATGCATCTGTACATAACAAATAACAAGTTTTATTATCACACACATTATATATATATGTGTGTGTGTGTGTGTGTGTGTGTGTGTGTAATATAGTACAATATAAAACAATATATTTTTCATTATACATTCATTGTTGAATAGATGGTTAAATTTGATAGACAAATCTAAATTAATAAATAAAAGTAGGCAATACCTGTTATTGATCCGTAAACAGATGGATGTAAAACAGACATTCTATGATTGTGATAGGCATGTCTGTTGTGATACACATGATTTCTATAATCTGGTGATCCATGCATACAATGTGCATTATTTCTAAAAGGAAAAGAAGTTATTACATGTATGAAGTAGTAATAATAAACAAAAAAGAATTTCATAAAAATCATACTGAGAAATACATAATACTCACCTATGATTAAGATCATATGTAACAGACCATGGATTGGATACTGGATTTGTTGGCGTAGATGTTGGCGTGTGTTCTTCATCAGATTCTACAGTCAAATCAACTACAGTCACTGTGCGATTCTCTCCACTTGTATTTTCTAACGAATTCTATAATGTATAATTTTATAATATAATATAATTTATAATATTATAATTTATAATATAATATAATAAATAATATAATATAATAATAATATAATATAATATAATAAAAAATATAATGTATAATTTTATAAAAATAAGTAAATAAATAAATAATAAATGCATTTTATCAAAATTCTTGTAATGTTAACAATTTTTGTTGAATGCTTAATGCTAATTTTGTATTGAATTTTATGTACTAAATAATCCAACATACTAAAATATATTTTACATGCATATTAAACTCAATGCACTTATTTGGATAACTTTTTATTGTATAAAATATTTTTTATATATTTAAACATAAACATACCTTGGCATTATGATTAACAGTTCCAAGCACTTCGACTGAGCCATCCTCGTCATCACTATCACTACTGGAGGACCAATCTAATTGCAAATCTGGTGCTGATGGTGTATCATCATTTTCTATTGAAATTACAAGATTAATAGATTATTTAATAATTAATAATTAGCTATAATTAGTTTATTATAAATATTTTAAACGTACGAGTTGCATGTACTGAATGCACCTCTTGAGGAGTTATCATATTTGATATAACTGGATGATACAAGCTACCAGACTCATTGGTATTGTCACTTCCTAGATTTTGTAAACCATTTGTGTTTTCCATTGATCTTGTTATGCTATAAATAAAATAATAATTTGCAATATAATGAAGAATGAAATAATTTTTTAAGTATTAAGAAATAATATATGTACCTATTTGAAGTAGAGTAATCAGACAACCTAGATGGTCCAGCTATACTCAAGCTATCTGGTTGTTGACCGCTTAATAACTTCTGTTCTTCATTTCTTTTTGTTTTATGTTTGACTGGTACATCACGTTCATGCAAAACTTTCTTTCTTTTATAATTATCACACATTCTTTCCTCGCATGAATTGTTCAATTGCCGTGCATGAGGCTCCTTTTTGGAGTTTCTTTCTTGTCTATTTTGGCACATGTTACAATTCAAAACATCAGTTTGCCAGTATTCCTGTGAATCACCTGTTGTGTCTGGTTGTGTTAAATAATTCCCATAAACAAAATTATTCTCGGAAGCAGTAGGATGAGTTGGATTTGTATAAGGACCTATAGCTGTTACATCTGATTCTTCAATATCACTTTCTGCAAATAAATGCTCATAATCCATTTCATTACCTAAAAGTATGGTTATTTTTTATTATCTGGGAATACAATTTACCTCGGAATAAAATATAAACATTAAACCAACAGGAATTAGTGTTTCATTTGAATAAATATTTATGGAAGATTTAAAATATTTTTTATGCATTTGATGATGATGAGAAAGGTTATATTCCTCATATATACCTGGAGGAAATCGAGATTGCGGAGATGGATCAACTGTTGAGGTAAATGCTGTATCAAATATATCAGCTAATGATGTAGAATTAGCATCTACAGACGCAGTTGTAGACTCCCCATGGAACAATTCATTTTGCTCCTCAGGTTTGCTTTTATGCCATACATTTTCTGGACTTGTGCTTTCCTCCATTCTACTTCTTTATCACGTCACAACAGTATAATATATTAAGAACAAGCTTGATAATCATAAAAAAATTGCACAATATTAAAAAAAATCCAAAGTATCAAATATTACAATTACTAATGTACACATATTTTTAATCTTTATGTTAAAATATATTCTTAAGCACTTTCAATACACACAAACTTAAGTTTAAGATAATAAAATACATCTTTTGAACCCATATATCTTTGATCTACAATAGCAATTATCCTTAATAAGACTTGGCCTCGATACTGAAAATTTTCCGTTCTCAACGGCAATGTTTGTATTATGCGCAGCATTCCCGTGAATACTATCAAATTACAAAGTAGAAAAACGTTGCATGATATTATCGAAGATAATGACATTTTAGGCATATCCGTAAGATCTTACTGTATGCTTCTTCGTGATAAAATCTTGGATCAATACTACGATGGAATAATTCGTACTCTGAACATGCATTTACCTTGTAACTCCCTCGACGCTTTCGTCAAACGATAAGCGTATCTTCACCACGTCATTTTTATCAGATTTATTTTCTGTGACACCGCTGTCACTTATATCATACTTTCTATGAGTGCCGATATTATCTTCGGAACTGAGAAACTACGAATTTGATTAAATTCCGATCCATGTGTATGTGTGGAAAAATGTGGATATAATTAAATCCTTATGTCAGTAATAAAAGAAATGATAATGAAATCGAAAAGAATTTATGTAGACCCTCTCACTTTGGCAATGCACATTTGGCAACTGCGATACCATCAATCGTATCTTTCGTTAACTACGCTCATTTTTAGGGGCTTAGTATCGATAACGTAACATACTACTTTTCCAACACTACGTCAAAAAGCAGAGTTTACACAGCGCTGAACGTGAACGATTCGTCAAGGTGATTTGCATTGACGACGAATCAGGTAGTTCATTCTGTGAATTCTCCGTGAGGAGATAAAGTCCAACATAGGCTGCGTTTCGATATTCATTGCAAGTACTGAAAATCTATAGTTCATGTTACGTATACTATAGATTTTCAGTACTTGCAGTGAATATCGAAACGCAGCCTTAAACGACCAATCGCGTGAAATAACCGAAGCGAAATCGTCGGCTCTACCTCTTTGTAAGTTCATGACAATCGTGCCAGTTCGTGTGATAACTGCTGATCGTGGCTGACAGTGTTTCTGGACTTGACCCTCTCGTCGCGGGAGCTGGTACTGACTAGTACTTTTAATGGTGATACTGTATTAATTTGACTTTCAACATTGCTTCCTTAACGAAAAGGATAAATTAAAAAATGGCTGTTGCTGCCAGAGTATTTTCAAAATTTACAGGTATGCGAGCTTGTGCCGTGCTTATGTCAATTTCTACGGTATCCGCCGTCCGCAGATGCACTTTCGACTTTTGCATGTTGAATGGCAGCCCCTTCTGATTTTTTTATCTCAACTACGCCATGCGCGGCATGCCCGCCTGACAGACTAAAAATAAGGCTGACAGCGCGCATTTATGATAACATTTCATTATATAAGAAAGGACAAGCGTCGCGTAATCGTGATTTTATAGGGAAGGAAAATGCACGTTTTAATTATATATGATACGCAGCATCATACGAACGTTATCGCATACAGAGCAATTGAATGATTTGTCCTCCCCCACAATGACCGCGCGCGACCCTCCCTGCAATAATTCCCACACATCATCAATACTATCGTCCTTTTCTTATACATTGGTCTGTTTCTTTCTCTCTTGGCTTCACAGACAATAATGCATATTTCACATTGTGTATATTTTAAATAAACTTTTTACCTGTCATTTAATTTTACCTGATTTAAATATCTGACTTGTTGGATAATCTATACTGAGTGAACCTTGACCCAACAATTTTGAAATTTGATATTGCTACTAATAATAACAGAGCAGTAAATATGTGTTTGCTTTCCTATATGTCTACCTAAATATCACTAAATATATTTCTTGCATTATTATCTTGCATTAGTTTATATATCTGCTAATTTATGTATAATTTCATATATTTTTGGAATAAATTTAGTTAATAGATATATCCTAATTTGAAAAATTTTCCTTTTTTTATAATGCTATTATAATATAATATTATTTAGTAACTTATACATATAGACACACACACACACACACACACACATACACACACATATATATATATATATATATAATTTCTAATATTTGGCATAATTATTTTTTTTATAAATTTTCAGTTAGGAACTGTGGAAGTTTATTGAGATCACAAGTAAGATTTAATTACACAGAAACTAGGAAAAATTTAAAAATTGGTGAAAATACCAAAGTGATATGTCAAGGTTTTACTGGAAAACAAGGAACTTTTCATTGTCAACAAGCTTTGGATTATGGTACAAAAATAGTTGGAGGAGTTAATCCTAAAAAGGCAGGCACACAACATCTTGGAAAACCAGTTTTTAAGTCAGTTAAGGAGGTAACTTCCTTTATAATATTTATTTATTTGTCTGATGTAATATTTAAATTAAATAAATATCTTTTATAGGCAAAAGAAGCAACTGGAGCTACTGCAACAGTTATTTATGTTCCTCCTCCAGGTGCAGCAGCAGCCATCATGGAAGCTGTGGATGCTGAAATGCCATTAATTGTTTGCATTACAGAGGGTATACCTCAACATGACATGGTCAAAGTGAAAAGACGTTTACTTGAACAGAATAAGTCACGTTTAATTGGTCCAAATTGCCCTGGAATAATAGCACCTGAACAAGTATGTACAGAAATAATTTTAATTGTTTTCAAATTTATCAAGAATGTTATGTAATCTATATTTAACATTACAGTGTAAAATTGGTATTATGCCTGGTCATATACATCAAAAAGGAAAGATTGGTATTGTCTCAAGATCAGGAACTTTAACTTATGAGGCTGTGAATCAAACGACTCTTGTAAGTTTACTTTAATAATTTACTTTAATAATTATGTGCATGTTCATATGCATGTAATACAGTATAGTAATATTTTGTTAAATATAATAAGTTAAATATAGTTAAGTATAGTATAGTAATATTTTGTTAAATATAGAAATATTTTGTTTTACTTTTGTTTCAGGCTGGACTTGGGCAAACGTTATGTGTTGGTATTGGTGGTGATCCATTCAATGGTACTGATTTTATTGACTGTCTGGATATATTTCTCACAGATCCAGAGTGTGATGGTATCATTATGATAGGGGAGATTGGTGGTAGTGCAGAAGAATTAGCAGCAGAATATCTCATCGAGAATAATACTGTTGGTTGTTGTTCTCAATTATTGGTACCTGAATCCCAGTCCATCCTAATCCGATAAATCCTACCTTATATTATTCTTCTTGAAACCCTTGAATATGATTGATATATCACATTTTGCTCAATATATTTTTCTAATACATAGTTTATATTGCAGGGTGGAAAAGCTAAACCTGTAGTATCATTTATTGCTGGTCTTACTGCACCACCTGGCCGAAGAATGGGTCATGCTGGAGCTATAATTTCTGGGGGAAAGGGTGGTGCACAAGATAAAATTAATGCACTCGAAAAAGTGAGTAAAACTACTTATAATTGTGTTGACATTATCATGCACGCAACATGATTCTTCAATGTTAAATAAATTTTTTTATTAGGCTGGTGTGATAGTAACAAGGAGTCCTGCGCAAATGGGTAATGAGCTTTTGAAAGTAATGACACGGCTGGGCTTGATCTGCAATTAAAACATGTTGCCACAATTCCGTGTAGTCTTTCGTGTCCATGTATCTTCATGAAATAAATTGAAAGTATATAAGTTACACAGCAAAATGACTTGCGCAAAACAAAAGTAGTGTAACATACTAAACATGGAAACTTGATTCGCCAGTAATATATTGTCTGCTTCCATGAGACATTGATCAATGCTACTACTACTACTATTACTACTACTACTACTACTACTACTACTGAGAATTAAAATCAATACATGGAAAATAGCTTATATTTTTTAAAGAACTGGGTTTATTTTAAACATTGTTCATAATATTTTTGCAGAATTATGTTAATAGTGACAAATATCCAACAATAATTTATAAATTATCCAAAAAAGATACTTCAACTGCCATTATCACTGATACAAAGTTAAAAATTTTTCTATATTTAATTATAGTTTTAAATAACTGTTCAGTATATAGTGTACTATTATAGTATATAATGTACTATTATAAATGGAACATATATATTATAATTAACATAAGATTCTATGGAATATATATCCTTATTGTGAAACATGTTAAAAATTGAAATATATAAATATTGCTGCTTGTTCTCACAACTGGACTTTTATAAGATTACTACAAAATAGTCAGTCTTGTTATATCTTGTGGGAAAATAAGACTATTCCAGTATCATTTAAATCCCATTATCTTGTCAATAAAATTAGCAATATTTGCACTTTTATTATTAACAAATGGCTTCAGTTTTGCTAGATCCATTGTTCTTACAGTTTGTAATAGATCTTGACAGATACAGTGATATAAATGTTCATCATTATGCAGCTGCTTTGCCAACTCTACTTGATGATTGTCCATAAGAAGATCATTGATAACTACAATCAAGTGTTTGCAATTTTCCAAAGCTTCCAACACACTACCTGCACCAGCGTGACTTATCACAAGATCAGCTGATTGCATATATTTCCCGATGGATGGACTTAATTTAAAACTTTCTATACTGTGAAAACCACAACGCGCAATGCAGTCCGGTTCTATACTGCTGTTGCCAATTTGCAAAATCAAATGTCTATAATCACGTGCTGACAGTGCCTAAAATTGCAATAATAATCATAGTACGATATGTGCTGTGATAAATATATGACATAAAATTGATTAATCGATACAATATGGGTGAGAAGTCAAATATTTAAATTACTACCTCTAGAACTGCAGGATTTAATACTGCTGTTATAAGATCATCGAATTTTGTTGTTCCAACTGTGACAAACACTGTTTTACCCAACATTGTTACATATTTATTTTTAATGTATCGCAAATAAAAACAGCGGCATATTATTCCATATCTTTCATTCTTTTTTTAACTCAAATGCCCGATGTAAGATGGTAACATCAACTTCAAAGCTGATTATGACATCATATGACTGATGTTTAACTTGCGAGTCTTACATTCTTACTACTTGAAAAATAGTCTTGTCTAAATAATTGTTGAGTTGTACCACTGCACTTGTTAGTAGAAACGGTGGCGGCTCATAGTGGTTATTTTGGAACTAATAAAGAATATCGAGACTACCGACAAGTAGAGGTTATATTGCGTCTCAACGGCTGGTCATACGGTTTTTATTTTCAAGTGGTTAGTCGGTATTGCGTTGGACGAAGCTAGTTTGTCAGTTACGCATTCGTTTTGTTTTCTCTTACTATTTTAATTTCTGTGGTTTAAGTTAAACATCGTAAGTGCTATCATGAGAGTTGTAGTTAATGTCGATTAAAAGTTTGTTTCGAACGTACTTTGCACAGTGGACACACGTCGATCTTCTTTATTACTATCGCTAATTATTTATAAAGAGAAATCTTCCTCTCGTGAGACAAATAGAAATGAAGACAGCGCCAGATCCAATATATGTGCAGGTATTGTACGTCATTCAATTATTAGTAGTTATTATAATAACTATAATTATGTGTGTGTGTTCAGTGAGTTATAATAAAATACTTCTTGTAAACAACTCACAGAAAAGTGAAACGTATAACAAAATGTATAGAAAATCTATAGAATGATTGTTTTCTCTATGTAAAATATATTTGACTATATATTAAATTGTGTGTTGCATGAGAGATATTGTTTGTACTGTGTATATCAATTAGCTATAATAGAAAAACATCATTAACATATATTTAGCATGATTATATTGTGTTAGTATTCCTTAAATTGTTATATAATCTTATATTTTCAGGAATTCCTTTTTAAAGAGTCAAGTACATCTCAGATATGTGATGGTTTCTCACAAATACCTGCTGCTTGTAGCCTTCTTGTGGCGGACAAAAAACGAGGATTGCTTTATATAGGACATAATGACAAAATTTCTGTACTGAAGCCAACAAAAGAGAACAGTGCAGAATGGAAGACAGAACTTCAATTGCCAGGCATTATATCAAAAATTGCAATTAATTGTGATTATAGATATATTGCTATAGCCATAGCAATGAAGCCTACAATATTGATATATGCTGCCTATTCTCTAATTAGAAATGTATGCACGTAACTTATTTCTATACAAATCTTAAGAATATTTCAATACTTAATGTATTGTAAAACAATTTTAAAATATAATTATTAATTAATATATTTCTTTTAGAGCCTTTATCTGTTACACGAAATAGGATCAAACAAAATAGACAGTTATGTAACAGATATACGATGGAATCCTACTGTACCTATGATGCTCTGTACTGTCACTAGTGACTATACTATTGGCAGTTTTCTGTTAAAAGAAGAGATAAGGGAAAAGTCTGTGCCGAAATTAGTTTTACAATCGAAGGTATCGAACGAGTTACAGGTTTTATGTGCAGCCTGGAGTCCCAAAGGCAAACAAATAGCCGTAGGTTGCAAGAACGGAGACATCATCCAACTGAAACCAGATCTGAAGATTGCTAGGACTATTACAGGCCCCTTACCATCCATCGGTGAGGTGATCAGTATCTTATGGATTAGTAATTATCAGTTCTGCGCGGCATATCTGAGCAACGAACGACATATTAATGTTCTTATCGTCGACGCACCAAAGGGAGAAACAAACGCCATGTTCACATGCTATGAAGATATCACATATGGATTTCCTGATACTGATGGAGAGGAGAACGTTTATCGTTATTATTTCGAGCATGTGCCGGAATGGGGAATTATCATAACAGGTAGCAGCAGCAGCAGCGAAATAGCTGTGTTGGGCACGACTGACGGGGGCGTGAATTGGAATCAGTGGCAATTAGTCGATAATGGTAGGGCTCAACTGCCTTTGATGAGGACTACGGAGATTTTTCCCATGGGTCTAGCTGTGGACAAGTCTTCGACCGACAGGTTAGCATGGGGCACAGATGCGACATTGCCGAACCCGGTTCCGATTTTACATATCCTTGGAACGTCTGGAAAATTATGCAGTTTTCATATGGTTAATTTAACGCCCAACTGTCCTGTCATCACTTCACCTCCCACGGAAATTGTCGCTATTCCGCAGGCTCCGCCACAGCCTCCTAGTGCTTTACCCGCGGAGATGTCATTCAATATGAACACTGTGGTGACCAGCACGCCGCGGCCAAAGCAACTAGAGGCCGTGCCGGAACGTACGAAGGTCGCTCCGATAACGAATATATTCGGCGATTCTCTGAAAGCGGCAGGATTCTTTCAACAATCTCCTGAACAACCAGCGGAACAGCCGAAATCACCAGAAGAAAAAGCTATCGCGCCTATAACCGCAGCCACCAAACCGATTATAGCGAAAGAAACACCAGCGCTTGAACCTACGAAGACAGAGACCAGGTTAATAGCACAGGACAAGGAAGTAAGCTCACCGCAAATAGTGGAACAGAGAGCGTCCATCGACGACAGTGTGCGGATGCGAGCCTACCTGCAAGAGATAGCCTTGTTCGAGAAAGAATGGCGAAGCAAGTTGGAGTCGCAAGTGTGGGAATGCGGCACGGACGAAGAGAAGAGACGGCTCGGGGAAACATCCGCCGTCGTGGAACAGTTTATAAAAGATTTGAAGGATACAACTAGCAGTTTGTCTAGCGATGTGGCGTACCTGAAGACTTTGTTATTGCAATCGTTCGCGTGGATTGAAGAGACCAAGTCGAAGAATGCAAGCAGCACGGACATAAGCAATAGAAACTGCGGCGAAAACAGCAGAATAGCGGATCTACAACGGGCGTTCTACTATGCACAGACCCAGCTTAATCAAGTCAGTAAAATCTTGGATTTGGAATGGTCGGAACATAAGACGGAGATAACGAAGATGAAGATACCCAGCTTGGAATTCATCTATCAGAATCTCTTACTGCACAGCGAGATTATCGCCAAGGAGAAAGAGAAACTCGAACAAATCTTGCGGAGGTGGAAGTCCCTCAGCCGCTCGTCAGGGTGCACGACCAAGGATGTATCCAGCCTCAACCATTCGATGACGAGCCTGCACATAAGCTTGCCGAGAACGCCGGTGTCGACTATTCAAGGAAGAACTGATGCGATAGACGCCCATTGCCAAAGTATCGCTTTGAAGACTCTGAATTTCACGTACGAGAAGCAGATGAAGCTGAAAGCGTTGCTCACCAGTTCTAGTCCGAGGGTCATCAAGTCAATGAATCCGTCACCGATCCAAGACCGCTTGAAGGCCACGTTGTCTTCTTTGGCATCCGTCAGTTCCGTGACGCCTCCTGAAACTAAAAGTAAGATCGAGCCACCGATCGTGAGCAAACCAAGTATCGTGAATAAGCAGATAGTCGAGAAAGCTAAAACGCAAAGTAATCCATTGGCTTCATTGAACAGCATCGTCGCAAGGATTGGCACGTCCGACACGAACGGCGTCATTATGCAGACCAAGACGCAACAAAAGCCGGCTCCCGCGACCGTCCCTTTTCCCACTGCGATCTCCGTCAAGCAGACGGAGAAGAAGCCTATCATACCAACGGTTCCCACGATGAGCCAACCCAAGCCCAAACAAGACCTCAATGTTAACTTCCCGTCTATCACTTTCGGCACACCTGCGCCCAAATCTCAAGATATTCTCTTCTCGAAGCCCTCTACCATGGACATAACTGCCAGAAGCAGCAAAGATGCAACAGTGTCGTCGAGCAACGATATCGCCGCTCCGAAAGCGCCGGAATCCGCTCTATTCTCGACTGGTCTGCTGAAGGACGTACTGTCGTCGGAGTATTCGTTAACAAAGTCCGAAGGAGTCGCCCGTAGCCTGCCATCATTATCCGTAACGCCGGCTGTGAGAACGGATGCGGCTGCCACGTTCAGTTTCGCCACGCCTAACGCAGTCTCGTCCGTCGCGAAATCGTCCTCTGCCACTCCGCTCGACGCGATGATGTCCTTCACTTACTCAAAGCCCTCTTATACCCCTACTGTAGAATCACCCGTTACGGCGGTGCAGCAATTGCCGATGCAGCCGACGATACAATTGATGCAGCAGACGATACAACCGACGCCGATAGAATTAGCAGCGTTATCCTTAGGAACATCAAGTTCGTTGAGTCTCCAACAGACGAGTCTCCCAAGCGTTGGCGCTGATGGGAAAATAAATACGATCGCGAGCACCATGAGTTTTGCTACGCCGGCCGTTGCTACGACGCAGTCTTTCGCAACGAGCACCGTTACCCCGTCCGATGTGACTATCGGTGGACTCACCATCAGTCTCGCAAGCACGAATGCCACTTTGAAGCCGATGGAGACACCAGTGTCCGACTCGGTCACTATCCAAGCGGTCCAAGCGACGCCCGAAGTGAAATCGCCCGCTTTCGGCGCCGCGGCTGCTCAGACCGCAACCTCGTTATCTGCTGCATCGATATTCGCCGGTCAGACTATGATGAAGAACATGACTCCGATCGCAGAGGCGTCGACGACACCGTCCGCTACCACTACCTTCGGCACGGCTACTTTCCCGTCGATCGCACCTACCTTCGGCACGTCGACTTCGGCGTCGACTTCGTCGGTATTTAGCGGATTCCCGAACATGCCCACCGGAGGAGCTACCACCAGCTCTTCCGTGACGACTTCCGTGAACACACAGAGCAGCGGTGTGTCTCCTTTTCAGAGCTCTTTAAGCAAACCGATCTTTGGTGAACCCGCCACCAGTACGCCTGCTACGAATTTTGGAATCACTGTCAGCAACACTTCAGCAGCCAAGTCGCCGATCTCGTTCGGTATCTCGACGACGACGATGCCGGCTACAGTGACGGCGGCCTCCTCGATTACGCCCGCCTTCAGTAAAAGTCCGATTACGTCGCCGGCGTCGAACGCTCAATTCGGGACTCCAAGCGTTCAGACACCGCCCGTGTCGTCGGCGAATGTCTTCGGGAAGAATATAATCAGCTCTGCGTCTACACCGTTTAGCAACACCTCGAGCTCTGTGTTCCCCAACCTGCCCGCCACATCCTCCAACGCTCCTATATTCGGCGGCAGTATGAATTCTATCTTCGGATCAACCCCGCTCTCCTCTACCAGCGGGACTATGTTCGGCGGTAACTCGACGGCGTTCGGCACAGCCCCATCGGGGCCCCTCTTCGACAACAATGCTTCGAAATCCGATAGTGGCATATTTGGTAGTGCAACGAACGTGGCAGCCGCTTCTCCGTTCGGCAGCGCGACCAGTAACACTTCGCCGGCGGTCGCAGGCGCTTCTCCAGCAGGCGCGAACGTCATCAAGTCTTCTGCGACTTATACGTCCCCGATAGGGATGGGAGCGCAACAACCTGTGCTAGGTACTCAACCTATTTTCGGACAAGCTCCCGCCTTTGGCGCCAAACCGATGTTCGGATCACCACCTTCGATGTTCGGCGCGTCGAAACCAGTTTTTGGGAGTGGCTTCGGCTCGCCTCCTTCGTTTGAGTCTCCTGGTATAGGTAAAGTTTCTTCAATAAATAGCTCGTGCTATTAGAATGTCTCCAACATGTGAACATCCTTTACGTCTGTTATAAGTAGGATTTGGAGCTACATCTCCCATGCAAAGTGGCTCTACGATGGAGAACGTCATGCCAAAAGTATTCGGAGAAGTAGCAGGCAGCAGTACATTCGAATCTTTAGCTAATCAGTCGGGTGGTCTCAGTTTTGGCAGTTTAGCTCAAAAGAGCCCGGAAGCGGAGAAACCAGCATTCACTGCGTACGTAATTTCTGTGTATTGATGAACTCGAGATCGTTATCAAGTTAACGCGAAAATGAAACACATGTGAGGAAGCGACTTTCATATGATGAATAATTATCGTCTTATTTCAGCAGTAGTTCTTTCTCCAGTTGGAGGTGAACAAGGCACAGTTGCGGCAGGTCTATCTTGAAAACTGTCATACAACGGTCGCTGAATAGGAGCTAAGAATAATTCAAATTACAATCATGTGCATATTGTTTTATATTGAAAAGTGACTTTTTATGACAAAATTGCGCTCTGTTACGTCTTGTACACTTGATTAAGATACAGAACTAGGTTTTATAATAAAATATTTTCATTCAAATCAAGATAATCAGTCTCTCGATTAATATTGCAAATGTTTTCTCAGTTTTTGCTTTGACTTCACGCACTTCTTTTTGGAAACGAATCTACAGTTCTTCTTCTTTTTTCAGTATTTAGTTTTTTTTTTAATATAATATCTTTCTTCTCAACGAATCGTATAATGCACGAAATATTAAATTTTCGTAAGAATATGTATAAATTAACCAAAAAAAAAGAAAAGAAAGGAAAAAATTATATACAATGATAATGATTATAACACAATAATCATATGCCTCTTTTAATGGCCTTCGGTGCAATTGATACTTTGGTAGGCTTACACAGATCAATTATGCAAGGATCGTCCAAAGGCGAATGCGTACAAACCGAAGATGATGGCACCAATAATGCTAGAGAAATTTCCACGTTGCAAGCCTCCATCCATACTTGATGCGATAAAAGAACTGTTGTTCTCAGTCTGTAATCCTTTTGGTCAGCATGCTGCAAACGCAAGTCCGACTGTCGCGGCAACAACAATTGCACCTGTTGATCCGGATGCCTCAGCTTGATTCGCAGAGTAGCAGGGTCACGCAGATTCAGTATCTTGGCATTCAACGGGATGCCCAGTAAAAGGCCACCCGTGAACTTCAACGCGGCATCAGCATCACCTCTTGGCTCCTCGATGATCGCTCGACAGAAACGCGTTGACGCCGATGGTTTTGGTAATCGTTCTTCTCCCTGCATTATTGGCGCTAAGAGCAACGGCACCAACAGTCGCGTCAAAGAACCAGGTTTTACGTCCGCTAAATTTGGTATCTGTAACACTAGAGATCTGGAGAACGGCGGTAACCTGGACGTATCCTGAGGTAAAGCATCGGCTTCCGACAGAAAATGACGAGCTAGTGGTAATGCACTACCAGTAGCGCTCTTAGTCACTCTAACTAATTCTATAGCCAATGCCTTCAACCACATATCGTTAGCCAGTATAACTTCATTGTCACCTAATCCGCTGAATAAACGTTGTAACCTAGGAAAGAAAATACCGATTTTTATGTATTTGTGGTTTTAAATGTAAAGTATTATCCTGATTATTTTGGTAGGTATCATTAATGTTGAATATATGTGTATATATATGTTTTGTTTTTCTTCAAAATTCCTATAACAGTATAATATAATATCATCCTGTAATAATATACTGCTCAAAAGAATTCTGGCATAGATAATTTATTGCCGAAAATTAGCCAACTTTGTCTGGCGATTACTTCACGAAAAGTTATTGTAGACTCATGATTTTTTTTTCCAAAATGAAGCTTGAAGTCTTTACTTTAAGAATGTATCTCCATTTTTTGCATATGATGCACCCTTACCCCTGTAACCCCTGACATCTGAGGGCATGTTTGATATACTGAAAATTGCAAAGTTTGACGGAATGCACGGACATGGACAATTTTTTTTTCGGGGACGTCGTTTGCATCGTCATAAAGTTCAAATCTTTCCCTTCAATTTGGAAAAAAAATGGAGTCGCTACAATTTTTTTTCGCAAAGTTACAGCCCTTCAGAAATCATACGAAGCCGTGCGGAATACGGAGAGAGTTTGTTTGCCGATGCTAGGATTGTTGGCTGTGGTCAAAACACGAGCCAGGAGCTGAAAAACGTGCGCGCGTGCTTGTGTGCGTATGTCAACAAACACTTTTGCCATTGCTCCATTATGATTTCCAGTCATTTAATCCGCCGGCCAGTACTTGCCCCGAAGGTCAAAAACAACGATATTTTTGAAGGGCTGTAACTTTGCGAAAAAAAATTGCAGCGACTCCATTTTTTTTCAAATTGAAGGGGAAGATTTGAACTTTATGACGATGCAAACGGCGTCCCTGGAAAAAAATTGCCCACGTGCATTCCGTCAAACTTTGCAATTTTCAGTATACCAAACATGCCCTCAGATGTCAGGGGTTATAAGGGTAGGGATGCATCGCATGCAAAAAATGGAGATACATTCTTAAAGTAGAGACTTCAAGCTTCATTTTGAAAAAAATCATTAGTCTACAATAATTTTTCGCGAGGTAATCCAGCTAGTCAAAGCTAGCCAATTTTCGGCAATAAATTATCTATGCCATAATTCTTTTGAGCAGTGTATAATAATATCGAGAATATATAGTATGTACTTTTGTGCATGCTGAAGAAGAACGAAAACGTTGTTGCTGGTACTTTGTATTGGACTCTGCGAGATCGTTGTCGAGACGGAGAATTCCTTGAGCACAGATTTTAGTAATAGCAAACATCGAATATACAGGGCGGTGAAACGTGCTGCACCCTCCATATGATGATCCATTTCTGCTAGACGGTCAAGATCAATAGCCGCAGCTTCTAAAAGTTGCGTATGAACCTTGCTACCTGGTCTAGCATTCTCGATTCCAGTTACCATTTTTTCTAGGAATTCTCGGCCGCGCTGATCTCTGTTCTCTTCGATATCTATATCCTCCGTTTTCACTCCGCCGCTAGTGAGTGCTGGACGCAATCGTGGAACTAAATGCGGCATAGTATCGCGCAAATAGTGGTAATGTTTAGATGCGTGCTCTGTAAATAGGGCATGCATGCTCGGACAATGCAACGCAGCGTTGAATATCAATACCAGTACGCTCGCATCTATTGTAAAAAGTTCAGGATAATAGAATTTCAGAATTTAGGATACATTGCATTAATATATTGAGAAGTATTCCAAGGATACAGGACGGTTCATCCACATCCGGCTCTGATGTATCGAAGAAGGGATGTCGATTAAGAAGTTGCGGCACTAAAGGTAATGTTAAGTATGGATGTGACGCACCCAACGCCGCTAAACAGTTTCTAATACTTTCCCTGTCCTGAGGGTAACGAGACAAATTATCTAGCAAACGATTAACGCACATATAAAGACAATTTGTGGTAGCCAGATGACTAGCAGCTAGCATCGCATGGAGTCCTTCTCTCACTTCGCCTGAGAAATCTTCTAGTGCGCCTAGTATCGTTTCCAACTGGTCTTCTCGAAGTGTCACACTCGCTGATATTTTTTTTAAAGACTCAATGGCTCTTAATCTAACATCTTGAATTTCATCATTGAACATGTCCACCATGAAGTCTAATGAAATTCTAGCTATATTTGGTTGTTCTAACGATAATGTGCAGAGTGCTTCAACTGCTGCTGTTCTCACCTGTGAAATAAAATTTATTTACAAAGAATAATTAAACTAGAAAAACGATACAATAAGATTTAGCTATGATAAATTCTCAATCATAAATCATTGGAACATAAATATATAACATAAGTATATGACAGTTAATAGAAATTAATCTGAAACAATCATATTATAATGGACAAACTTACTTCTAAAAATTCATCTTCTAAACCATGAATAAATGCTCCACAAGATCCACTTTTTTCTTCAACTTCAGGCCTATCCGCCTCAACTACTTTCTGTTTTTTGTCTAACGCTTGTTCTATGTAACGACGTGATACACTTTTCATTGCTCCTAAAAGAGACATCGCCGAGGCTCTCACTCGCGGCGATAAATCACCCATAAGACTGCAAATTTGTGAAAAGGCACAATCTACCATACGTATATCCTCCCCGTCAAAACCAACTATGATACTATAAACAAAAAGAATACACGATAAAATCTTATTTTTGATATATATTACTTATATACATGTTACTAACTTTTCTGGATACTCCCGACCCAACAGCCAAATAAGTTTTAAAACAGCTCGGCGAACAATTTCGTAGTCATCACGAAGAGCTGCACAAGCTTCTCTGAAAAAGCTTGCAGGTAATCTGTAACCTCTGTGGGAATGTAATTCTGCCATAGTTTTGAAAGCTTGAGCACGTACTCTTGGGTCTTGAGAACGGGCATAATTGCCAATTAATGTTAAAGTATCTTCAACAGCATTTGCTGTCAGATAACGTCCAATTATAGAAAGGCATCGTGTTTGAACACCATGCCATGTATCAGGTAGATGCTCTTGTGCGACTTTCAACACAAGGGCTCTGTATATATCAAATATTTGATGTTATTACTATATTAATAGAATATATTTATATCAAACAAACATCAAAGTTATAAATATAAACATGAGAATTATTTGATGAAAACTGAAATATAAAAAATATATAAGATATATACACCTTTGATAATCTCCTAGCTTTAAAAGTGTTGCTAATCCCTGACTTTTTACTCTGTGTGATTCTTCATTTCTTAAAAGTTCTATTGTCTCATTAATAATTTTTGTTTTTTCTGCTATATCAAGTGTTACTTCTCCTAGCTCTGCAAACACCCAAAAAATTTTTGCCCTAACTGCAGCTTCATTCTCAACTGCGAATCTTTCTGCTAGCTTTTTTACAGCTACAGGAACATCTTCAGGTGCTATATACACTATCGCATCTGAGATACGAACAAGCAATTGCAAAGCATCATTTCCACTCTTACATTTCTCAAGGCATTCTATGTAAGCTAGTGCTGAACTGCTTTCTGTACCATTTTTGGTACTGATTGTTGATAGTCTTAGAGTCCTTAATCGTTTAGTTGGAGGTTCATTAATAACCTGAAAATTTTGTAATTGATAAAAATGATTTAGCAATTTTAGATAAAGAACAGTATAAGACAATAATTTTAAATTACCTGACTATGAGTATATTCAGCTAATACTCGTTTTTTCATCAAAGCTGCCATTTTCAGTGAACAACCTATTGCATTATAAATTTAAGCAATACTTTTTATGAGTTGATTGAATTTCAAAGAATGCAATATTTTAGTATTTATATGAGGAGAATTTCAATATGTAAATATTACAAGAGAAAGTGTTCTTCATCACTGATCAAATCATATCCTAAAATATTGTATAAATAATCATCAAATACGTAAATGGAAATTCACACTGCATACGATGTTTGATATTTATCTGATACGATATCCAATAGAAGACTTTATTTTCTAGAAATAAAAATATCACTAGTTAAAGTTGCTAGAAAGCACGTTTTTCTATTGGATATTGGAACACTGTACATGAATATCATTTGTAAAGTTAGGGCAAGAGCACAGGCTTTTGCATAACACATAATACATAACGCATAAGAGAATAAACCAATTAGTTTTCTTCATTTCCCTCCTCAGGACAGAAATGAAGAACTCTGATTGATTGTCTATTATGTGTTATGCAAAAGCCTGTGCTCTTGCCCTTAAGGTCATTCTACAATACGTGTCGTAAGTTGTAAGCCGTAAGAATTGGCGAATCACAGTCGAGTATTACAAAAATAATCGGTTATAATTGGTCAGTTCTTACGGCTTACAACTTACGACACGTATTGTAGAATGACCTTTAAATCTTTCTTTTGAGCGATCAAAAGACAAAATATGATTCATATACATATTAGCCAATCAACTTTTTACCCTTTCAGAAATGAGATAGCTGAAATAAAACGATATAAAAACTTTTATTTAGCGCAAAATGTTTCTTTTACTTTAAAGTTAAGATAACGTTATATATAATTCATACGTATGAGATTCACACGTATTAAATTTAAAGCCAGTGTTAATAATAGGTTGGAGCTATCTACAAATGATATATTATCACGTGCTTTGTAATAAAGTGTGGTATTGTGATAACATATGAGTTAACCAAGTTAGGTTATTATAAAAAGGACAATGTTTTACCTATTTTATGATGTTTATATGTGAGTGAATTCAAGTAAATTCAACTGAACACTATTCAATAACCACCTACATCTATTTTGTGAATATTATAATAATAACGTAGCTACACATTTAATGACAATGGATTTGTCAACTATGCCACTTGTAGCACTCTCTGCTGAAAGCAAACAAGTTGTATCGATGCTCTTAAATCCTACAAAGCATCTACCATCTGAAAATGGCTTGCCAAGGTAAATATTTTAAATATTTTATGAATTTTATTTCTGATTCTATATTTTATATAATTCAATACTTTTAAGTATATATAATATCTTATATATTTTTCTACGAATATAAAACAATTCTTATTCATAAATATGTTATTAGGGACTGGAGAGGTTTGGCATATTTGTTAGAGTTCAGTGCAAAAGTTATATCATTGCTTTCATCACATTCTAATCCAACAATACAAATGTTGACAATATTGGAGCAAAAACAACAAAATACTACAATAAAAGATTTTCAGAAGATAATGGAACAAATAAGCAGATGGGATATTGTTGATGATACAGAAGATATTTTTGGTACATATTAATAAAAATCTTTATGTATATTTTTTAATATTTATAGAAATTAATAAAAATATAAAAATATATAATTACATATTATAGTAATAGAAATAATAGAGAATTTGTTTGTATAGAAAAAGATGCTATAAGATATTTGGAAGAAAAGCAAAGAGCTCAAGTATCAGCAAATATAATAGAGCAGAATATTGATAAAAAAATACTTACACAAGGTTTGGCTTAAGTAATTAATATTAATTTAGTTGAAACTATATTATTAATATATTATTGTTATTATTATATTGTTTATATTGTATTATTATATTGTATATAAATACTACTTATTCTTTTTAGGAGATGTTCATAGATTGAGAGAAGGCTTAGAAACAGAATATTATGATGCATTTCTTTTATATGCAAATGAAGATGTTAGTTTTGCAAGTGAAATGGTAGAAAAACTTGAAAGAGAATACAAGTTAAAGGTACTATATGAATATATAATATATAATCTTGTTTTAAAGATTTCATTGAAATTAAATATATAATTTTCAGTTATGTTTAAAAGATCGAGATTTGGTTGCGGGTATAACATTTGAACATGAAGCGGTAATGAAGATAATATATGAACGGTGCAATAGAGTATTGATTATAATATCACCTGATTTCTTAGTAAGCGCTGCAAATAAATTTTTCATGAATTATGCTCAAGCTTTAAGCATTGGTATGTCTTCAGTTACTATATATTTTTCTTAAGATATGTTCTGTATGAAATTATTCCATTATTAAACATTTATTGTATTTTAGATACACGACACAGAAAAATCATACCTTGTCTATATAAAAGATGTGAATTACCAATGCAATTAAAATATATGTTTATTTTGGATTATAATCGTAGAGGATTATATGACTTCTGGGGCAGGTTACGTGATTCTATACAAGCTCTAAATTCTAATGTTGCATGGTAATTTAATTCTTATATATCTAATTTGACACAATTAATGAATAATTATTTTGAAAACATGTATTATATAGTTTTAAATTTTATTACAGCACACAGAAGATTACAGAAGTAACAAATAGTTTGCCTGATAAATGTAGTGATATATGTAGTGATATACCTCAAGCTTGCCAAGAAACAAAAGAAGAAATGTCCAAAAATACACAACAGATTGAAAATTGCGTTGTCAGAAATATAAATGATACAAAAGTTTTAAATTCTGAGACTAAAAAAAATAAGATGTTAAAATGGGTGAAAGGTGCAGCTAGTCGGAAAATGAAACAAACTAAACCAAATGATGCTTTGATTATGGAGAAACTTACGAATTTGCCATCTTTAGATAACTTAGATAGTTTGGATCTGACCACTGATGTATACAAAAAGAAAAAAAAGAAAAATTTATTTGATAAATTTATAAAGAAAGGGCAAATGAGGAAAATTTCTCTGCAAGTATGATACAATTTATTGTATGACGATAATACTCTATATACAATTATTTTTTATGCATTTTGACAAGATATACATTGTAAATAAAAGAGGAAAAAAATATTGAAATATTTATAGATTTGTAATATATTCGTATTATGTTTAATTATTGGTTATTATTCTTTTTTACTAAAAGGAAGAAATTATAAAATTATTAACAAACTTAATGATTAACTGTAATATTCATAAAATTTAAATACATTCTTGAGCGTCTTTTAATTACAATAATTGTGAAGCACATTTTATAAAATAAGTTTTATATTATAATATAAATAAAATTAATTTTGTAAGAATGATGCATTTAAGAAATATAATAATATATATTTTTAATATTATACATACTGTTATAAATTATATCCTATATAAGTATATAATTACAATATATATATAATTACAGGTGTACGTATATAATTATAAAATTAACAAGTACGATATATGAAATTAATGTATATATAAAAAAAAATATTAAATATATAAATGTTATATCTATTTATTAGGCTGTGTTATTAATATTAATATATATGTTTTAAATTCAAACATGATATGATATTGTACTACTCGTTAGATATAAAATTAATAATTGTAATTCGAAGGTATTTTTAATTCACACAATATACAACAAATAATTATATCATTAATAATTCAATAGAATTTATAGATCATAAAAAATTTTTTTTATTTTGTACTGCGCGGTTCTTTATAAATAAATAAACTCTTGTTTGGTCAATTCGCTGCATCGATATTAGTGATCACTGTATCATCTGCCTTTCTATTTGGGACGGAGCAAGAGGCGGTAAACGCATTCGAAAGCTCTTCATATTTTTCGAATGTTTGACAAGCTAAATATGGATTTCATACGTAAATTTTTGTATATACAGTTTATTAAAATATCATTGAAGTATCATTGGAAATGATATATGAATATCTCGCGAGGTAGACCGTTAGTATTAGTATTAGATGTACAACTTCGCTTCCGCCGTTTTTTCTCCGAAATTCGAGGCTTTATTGTAAAAAACTGGTTATACATTTATAATTCAAATTATTGTCCATCGCTGGCCACTACTTTCTCCCATCTTTCCGGCAGCGTATGAATCCCGCGTTGAAAAAACTGGTCATCTTTTGAAGTAATCTACGAATCGATCCAATTTCTTACTTCTTCATAAGACCGGAAGTGCTGGTCAACCAGGCTGGTTAGGTCAACCACGGCTGGTCAACCAGGCCGTGTGTCATTGATCGAAACAAGTGATAGTCAGAGGGAACAACGTCTGGAGAATATGGCGGATGGGGTAGGACTTCCCATTTCAACGTTTCCAAGTATGTCTTGACCACTTTCGCAACATGGGGTCGAGTATTGTCATGCTGCAAAATCACTTTATCGTGTCTCTCGTTGTATTGCGGCCGTTTGTCTTTCAATGCTCGGTTCAAACGCATTAATTGCGTTCGATAACGATCGCCTGTGATTGTTTCAGTCGGTTTTAACAACTCATAATACACTACGAGCCGAGCTGGTCCCACCAAATACAGAGCATGACCTTGGAGCTGTGAATATTCGGTTTGGTCGTTGACATGGAAGCATGGCTGGGATATCCCCATGATTTTCTGCACTTGGGGTTATCGTAGTGGGGTTATCCACTTTTCATCGCCAGTCACAATGCAGATGCAAAAACCTTCCTTTTTGCCGTTGGAGCAGCTGTTCACACGTGAAAAAACGCCGTTCGACGTCTCTCGGCTTCAATTTGTACGGCACCCAATTTCCTTACTTTTGAATCATTCCCATGTCTTTGAGGCGTTTTGAAATTGCTTGTTGAGTCACTCCCAATGATCGTGCCAATTCTTCTTGACTTTGACACGAGTCTTCATTAAATAATGCCTCCAATTCTACATCTTCGAAAAGCTTCTCTCTTCCACCGCTATGCCGGTCTTCGACGTGAAAATCACCGTTCTTGAAGCGTTGAAACCACTCACGATACGTTCTTTTACTAATAGCGGCCTCACCATAAGTATTTGAATGGAAAATGGCGTGTGGACATTGTTTCGGAACAGTCAGGAGCCAAAAATAGAACCAACCAACCAACCATAAGTATTTGAGAGCTTTCGATGAGCCGCAGCCGCAGATTTCTTCAAATTGAAGCAGAAAATTAAAACCTCTCGCAAATGACGAGAATTTGGCTCGTAAATTGACATTTTCAATCGAGAATAACTTTATGATGCAGACACAAATCGACTAATGTTTCTATGGGGTTATGTTGACAGATGCTCAATTTATTGCATGACGTCTATGATCTATTTATTTCGACCACTACTTACCGCTAAAGCCATCTATAAGAAAACAGCGGAAGCAAAGTTGTACACCTAATAATAGTGGATAAAATATGATTTATTCAATACCAGAGAGAAACCTGAAAGCGGCCAACACGACATTTTCTGTGACACCGACTTTCCGCACTGGGGAAGGACGCCATCTGCATCCATTTTAAGAAGGGAACTACGATGGTACATCCACTTTCAGGTCTCGGTGATAAAATCTGCATGTGGTGGAAGTCCGTGCTACATCCATTTTCAGGCGGTTTATGTCCGTGTTGCAACCACAGTTGCTATCTCTATACCAGACTATGCCCGGTAGTTTAAAAAGAGCGGGATGAAGGGGGGAGGAGCAGAAAAAATAAAAGTACGTATTAAATGTTAAATCTTCGAATACATGTTGCCGTATCAAAGTCTCCTCTATAATAAACGATTTGACATGTCTGGAGACGCATGATGTATCGTTGCCCGTGTCCCGTTCCCTTCGTCCTGCTTCTCGCATTCAGCATCCCGTCCGCTCCGAACATTCGCTCGTGGCACTGACAGTGGCCGTCGGTGAGCATTCGATCCGCTTGGAGGAGCACGTGTTAATTAACGCGACGAGACTCCGATTTTAAATATCCCGCGAGTCGACGAAATATTTGAACTTTTAAAAAAAGCATAAAAAGAAATCACGTTGATGTTGTCATGGGTGAAATCTCACCCTAGTATATAATTTTTTATTTTCGAAATAAAAAAAGTCAAACGAATGCAATTAAATGTTATTTATCATCATTGAATATTAGACGAAAAGTAGAAGAGTTATTGTCCGCAGCGGATAATCTCCCTGTATAAAATGTCGGACTGAAACATATTAAAAAGTATTGACATTTTGAATACGTCTGAATTTTACTTTCTGATCCGAAGAAAGGGACTAAAAAGTATTAGTTCTCATTAAATTTCACCGCGCTAAATGCGAGATGGCAGTGGTGAATGCTTCGCATTAAAAAGGATTCAATTCATTTCAAATACGCCTTGTATTCAATCGCAATCGATAATTCTCAAATGCGAACTTTCGTATTGAAAAGTATTCACTTCTTCTCCTAATTGTTTTCGGATTCAAAGGCATACAAGGTTTTCACGTTCTATTCCCCGTCGCATTGAAAATTATTGGCCCGCGATCCAATTTGAGATTCCCGCAAAGCAGAATTCACAAAGCAAAATCTCGTGAATGCGAAACAATATTTTTAAATACGACATTTTATACAGGACTAACATTTAATAAGAACGAGACAAAATTCGCATGGGATGAAATTTCACTCTTTAACGCTACCATGACCTTTAATTATTCTCCGACAACGGCGTCACAACAACTTTGACACTCTGTACAATTAGTTGCTAACACATTTTCTAATCACTACACATTCTTCTTTAATTAACGTAAAGCTAACAAATATCCGATGCTTCGACGGAACAATTTTTTTTATTTTCAGTAATTAATAAATAGTAAATCAATGTCGCGTACAGTTGAAAAGCCTCCTCGCATTCCCCTCATCGTCCCGGAACCTTCGAGAAAAGAAAAGACGCCTAAAGGCAAGTCTCTCTTGCTTCAATCGCCGCCGAGACTCGCAATGTTTACATCGCGCCTATTGTGTTGATCGGCTCGCGAGCGACGACACTTTTTGCCCTTCGTACTATAATACTCGCGCACCTCGTGTATTCGTCCTCATTCCATCAACAGCAGCCGTGCGCGACACGCTCGTCACTTCCGTCTCGTGTTTAATTGAAAGAAATGTATTTCGTCGGTGCTCGAGACATTCAATCCGTCGGCATCGCGTCGGCATCGCATTGAATAATCGCACAGTCGAATCGCAAGTATCGGCATTAGAAGCGTGAGTGAGTGAAATCCGGAGGACTCCAGCAGCCGGAAAGCAGGACGCCGGCAGCGATACGTCACATTTCCAGGTATGTGGAATCATTTATTATGTGGGAGATCTCCGATAACGTGAGCGGACGTTTTACGAATTTTCCGGGAATAAGAAGTCGGAATTTCGCGCTCGGCATTCACAATCCGTCATCATCCGACTAGTAATCATCATTTTATGAATCTGCAATTATTCTCGTCAATCTCTGTCTATCTATTTATTGCGTTGTTGTATACAAAAGATATTGATCCAGACAGAGACGGATAACGGTTCATGAACGCGGATTCTCTAATTCATCATGTTCTCAATCAAACATTCTGAATAATTCCCAACTGTATGAGTATACCGGTCTTGTGTAGAATATTCAACGTCATACCGCTTCTTAGACTGCGACCTTTTTTGTTTTCGGTCAGCGCTTCTTTCGAGTCTATTTACTTTCGTTGCGGGATCTAAATTTAAATGTCCATTCGTAAAAAAGTATTTTTGAGAGCACACAATTGTTGTCTCCGCTTCTTGTTGTCATTTTTTTTCGTCAGCTCTTTCAAGAGCTCCAAGTCCTATCTAGACTTTCAATGTTAATGAAGAAAAAAAATCGTAGCGAATATTCTCCACTCATCTCGACCAAACATTCTTTCTCTACCGCAGCTTACTAACCAAAAACGCAAAATTTTTATTCCAGACGTGTTGCGGGAAGCAAGTCAGACGGACGTGAATGCTGCACCGGAGGATCCGGTTCGGGCAGACCAGGATCGGCCGGAAGGTATAGTTTACAAGTTTCCTACACATCTGTGTTCAACTCTTTACAATCTTTGCCTTTGCAACTTGTTCCTCATCAGCTCTCTTGAAAGCTTCATGTCTCATTTAAATTTTCAATGTTGGAACAAAAATATAAAGATAAAAATTCAGTATGAAAATATTTCCGTATTTTCGATTCATCCCGATCAAAGATATTCTCTCTCTACTCCAGGTTATCAACTGGGAAAATTATTTTTCTGTTTCAGTTGTTACGGAAAGCAACAGCAATCCGGCAGATGCAGATGCCGTACCGGAGGATCCGGTTCGGGCCAAGCAGAGTCGGTCGAAAGGTAAAGTTTACAAATTTCCTATACATATGTGTTCAACCCTTTACGACCTTTGCCATTGTAACTTGTTCCTCATCAGCTCTCTTGAAAGCTTCAAGTCCCATTTAAATTTTCAATGTTAGAACAAAAATATAAAGATAAAAATTCCGTATCAAAATATTTCCGTATTTTCGATTCAACCCGATCAAAGATATTCTCTCTCTACTCCAGGTTATCAACTGGGAAAATTATTTTTCTGTTTCAGTTGTTGCGGAAAGCAACAGCAGTCCGGCGAACGCGGATGCCGCACCGGAGGATCCGGTTCGGGCGAAGCAGAGTCGGCTTGAAGGTAAGTTTACAAGTTTACTATAGTCCTCTGTTTGACTCTTGGCGATCTAGAGCTGGAATATAATTTCCGGCTCGACTTGAATTACGATCGCAGGGGGTAAACTACTCTTTTACTCGCCCGCACTCGTTGATCCGATCTAATGAGCGAATGTGAATTTTTGGTTACAGAGTTGAAGCGGAACGTGGCCGGTTCTGACTGCAAGTCGTTTCGGTGAGTCAAAATGATGAGAGAAACAATATTCTGCATGACGGATGTGGGATTAAAAATATCGTTCGAGTCAATGCGAATTGCAAATAGATTCTTGCATGTGTGTGTTTGTGACGTTGAACAAAATACATTACTCGAAACAATCAGGGGATTACTTAATCAATAGCCTACATTACGTACGAGATTTAAAATACCGAATGATTTTCTTTTGATGTTCGGTCATCTGAATAAGAGATATTCATATTTACAAACGCGATACGGTCATTAGCTGCTTTATTTTCATTTTTCAAACGAGCCGCAGAATTATTTGACACGACAATTATTTGACAATATTCAATTGTCCATGTAAAATATATTCATACGCATAAATGCCGATACCGTTGGCTACTTTTCCTTTTATTTGCAAAACAGGCTGTAGAATTATTTGGCAATATTGTCCATTCATTACGATCCCTATTGTCTCGAGTAGCGTATAATGCGCGCAGAAATTGCGCCAGCGCACGCCGAGCTTGAGGTATCCTCGCTCGCGTGCCTTTGAATATCGCGACCGCGGTTATCAATATACGCGTTATTACTCGCGCTGCTAACAAAGAAAGCTTAAATTCTTTTCGCCAAAGTATCGCGAACGTAAGCTTCGTCGTGACGGAACTATCATGCGTGAAAACTTTGCCCCGCTCTCTCTCTCTCTCTCTCTCTCTCTCTCTCTCTCTCTCTCTCTTTGCGCTCCCTCGAAATGACCGGTTTCTAATTGTTTAATTTTTTCTCGCATGCATTCGCGAATATTCTCGTAGATATCGATACTCCCGCATTTTCGCGACTTTTCAGGCGCGATCGCGAACAGCGCCGTAAAAATCCGTTGGACGAGTCGATAAATTTTCACATGGTTCTCGCCCCTCGCCGATTGAGTTTATAGAGTCCATTTAGCAGCGCGTAAAAAGTTTCCACCGATGTCGACGTAAAACGTTCGTTAATTGACGTAAATATCGCCGCTCTAATACCGCGTATCGACCGCGTCGCGGAAGTGTGGCGAAAGTGTAGCAATCAACGTGGGACGCTCTGCAAGATGGATGATGCTGCGCGACGTGGAGAACAGCAGCGGACATGGACGGACATTGATGGATCTAGTGGGATGCAATGGGACATCATCAATATCATCATCGGTGAGCGTTTGACTCAATGCTCGCAGAGAGCTCTTTTATTATTACATTGTGCATGCCGCAAATTTGCATTGACTTTTGTAGCGAAAAATATATTCCATGAATTATTGCCATACATTATGGCCATATATTATTGCCATATACTGTTGCCATATATTGTTGCCATATATTGTTGTCATATATTGTTGCCATATATTATTGCCATATATCATTGCCATATATTATTGCCATATATTATTGCCACATATTGCCATGTATTATCGCCATATATTATGGCCACTTGAAATCGCGCAAACAATCGAGAAAACTGAATTTACCGATAATCGCAAAGGCGCGCGGCAAATGTCACGAACGGATGACAGCACCCCGTCACAGGGCTGCCCGATAACAGTGCTCTTGCTGCAATTTAACTTTAAGGTCTGTAGGAAACTTTCTATCGCGGACTAACCCCTCGAGCGGAATGTTCCCGAGAAGCGCTCTTGATATAAACGCTGGTTATAAGCAAACTTGCCTCGTTCGAGCCTCGTCGCGGCGAGCGTTGTCGCGAAAAATAAGGAAGAAAGAAGTTAAACATCCGCGCCGTTGTGAAAGGAGGGGGAGGGGGGCGATGGCGTCCCTTCGCGAGTAGAATGTTAGGCCCCTGCGAACGCGAGCATTAAATTTCACCGCGGCTGCGAACGTCCTCCAACCAGTTTCTTCGCGGAAACGGCTCAAGATACAGGAACGCGCTTTTGCCACAATATAATCCTATATCAACCCTATCCTCACTATAAAGCTCGACCATAAAGCACCATAAAGCACTTATATAGTGTTCTAGTGTTATATAAATGCGTAACAATGTGCGGCGGGACCGTGCTTGTCAAGTACGCTATTATGGTTGTAGCACGGACATAAACCGCCTGAAAGTAGATGTAGCACGGATTGCCACCATACGCAGGTTTTACCGCCGAAACCTGAAAGTGGATCGTAGTTCCCCTCTCAAAATAGATGCAGATGGCGCCTTTTCCCAGTGCGGAAAGTCGGTGTCGTCGAAAACGCCGTGTTGGCCGCTTTGACGTTCCTCTCTGTTCAATACTCAAGTAGAACAGAAAATCATGACGACATCAAAATGACGTCAAAATTACAAGAAAATGGCCGAATTATAATGAAAAACTGAGTTTTCCTCATAATTTTGACGTCATTTTGATGTCATCCTGATTTTCTGTCCTGCCTGGATACGCATCCATATCTCAACATCATCGGACGATACATTCCCTATTTGGTCTCATATCGCACATCGCACCTTTTATCGTCACTCACGACTGACCGATAGCGGCCGGTCACCGTAGTCTGCGCGTGCGTCCTCAGATGACGACGTGGTCGCTCGAGTTCCCGCGTGGCGTCGCTCTCATACGCGCCTGATCGGTGGCTCGCGGAATGGGATTCCAATATGGCAGCCGTCGTGATAGCCGCACAAGTCAGTGTCGCGGAAATGTTTTGAACTCACAACTCGAGCAACCGCGACGACCGGTCGACGTGCGACGCATAGGTTAGTAGGGCGATGTGTAAACGCGTCGGCCGCGAAGCTCGCGTCCCGCGATTGATCCAACCGGTTTGTGTCAGCAATAAAGCAAGGCAGGTCGCCCTCGTGAGAGAATCGTGCTCCGCTCGCGCGCGCTGCTTTGCGGTATATCGTCTCCGCGGCCGCAAGACGACCGTCCGGATACGTCCGCATAGATCACGCCGGGTGTTTCCATCCCGGTCGCGCCGGCTTGACGTTCGTATTGTTCAACACACGCGACGACGCTTACCGCGTCAACGAGACCCGCTGTCCTGTCCTTCGTTACGCGCGACGCCGCGCCGCACCGCGCCGCGTCGCGCCGCGCCGTGTCCGGATCCGCATTGTATACATTTACGACGTGTGCATGGTACGTGTGTCCTACGTGTCTTCCTTTCTGTCAATCGCTTCAGGACGGTGCGATCGTACATCTCTCTATTCCTCTCTATCTCTTTCACCGTCTCCCTCGTCGTGAGTGTCAGGTGTGTGATTGCTGTCGTCGTATGTATATTTTCCTGCATGATGCGTGCGTGCGTGCGTGCGTATTGCGTGTGTGTGGTGTGTGTATGTGTGTTGTGTACATGTGCGCGCGCGTGTATTCCCCCGTACGAATTTATTTTGGCAATGTCGTGCTTACGTCTCTCTATCTCATTCCCTTCCCCAGTTTTTTCCTCTTTCGTTTCTATTTATCTATCTCTCGTCATCGTTTGTCGCCGCGTGTGCGTGAGAGCGCGTGTGCGTGCGTGTGTGTGCCTGCGTACGTGTGTTTGGGCATCAAGAGAAAAGACATCCGCTGCCAGCTGATGATCCACCACGTCGTATTCGCCTTCGATCTGTCTTTCACCTCGTGCTACAACGGCATGCGGCTCGAGACATGCGACCACGTCGGGACCATGTCGAAAATATCCACGAGCGTCGTCACACCTGAGCCCGGCAATGTCCGGTAAGTCTGTGAACCGCCAATTTATTTTCGAAACTGCGCTCAGACGGGTGTCCTTGTGCAGACGATGACAGGTGTTCTCGAACAAGACAGCGGAGACGTGTCGTCGTCCGCTTGATCTTCGAGATCGTATCCTCGTAATCGTGATCGCAGAGATTAATCCTGTCAGCTCGACACATGTTCGTGATATCTAGTATATTGTGAAAAAGTTCATGGAAATATCAGGGAATAATTAATATTGCATATATTCATTTTTTAAAGTTCTGTTGAAATTCTGATAATTGTCACACGCAAATCTTCAATTTTACGAAAAAGATCGAGTGATATTATGTTTTATACGTGTTAAGTTATAGTAATTGGCGTAACGATAACGTTATGTGGTAGCGAGTATTAACGGTAATATCGCGTCGTTTACTGCATACGTAAACAATGAAGCCTATTGTGTCGACCGAAGGATTAATCCCTCCTCTTGTCAAGGGCACATTCTTTTTGAGGTCACTTGTATCTGAAATTTAAGTCTCTCTGAGATATAATTTTACACGTATAATAATATCAATATACAATATTTAATTCATGAATAGGTATGATTGATGCAGAAATCAAAAATCAAGACGCGAAAATGTAAAATGGAAAATTTTCTTAAAATGGAACATTTACAAGAACTTGAAAAATATAGGCTATAAGTCATACTTACTTCGCCATGTATATCGTAAATGTAAATAATATCGTTTGCATAATACGGGGGTTTGATTACAATCGGTTCGTATTGTGCCAACTCGCTCGCTCACTCGCTCCCAAAATACACATTCCGAAAAATGTCATTATCATCGAATTTCGTTTGGATAAAGTGTCCCAGCCGCAGATGTGTGCCGGGAATGGCAGGCGCGTTATCAGATATGCTAGAAATGCCTTGCGATATCTTGAATTTTAATACTTGGTCACGTTCGCGCTCTTTTGTGTCGAGTACAACGCAGAAGGGTCCAATTTCGCGCACGTGAAATACTTGCGAGCTACGACATTACCAGATTTCATTTTGCGCAACGTCATTACTCTTTATTCTCGAAACTACCGAAATATTGCAGACATATTATTTGTTGTCTCGCAAGGTATGCGAGTAATAAACGGCTCGCGCCGGAGAGTTTCCGTTGTCCGAGTATTTTCATTCAATATTGCGTGTGAGATCCGTGTCCTGTTCTTGAACATTATCCTGAATTGTATTGCGTTACGCTTCTGTGCATACCGTTCCTATTTCAGTATTCTAATTCTATTCTATTAATTTGTACTTCGTTTCCGTCGCGATTTTCTTTCACGGTCCCCGGCTAATCTGCAAATAACTCACTGTCACTGTGACGTTATTTACGGAATCTCGCATATTAACGAATTCGAACGTAATGCGGAAGGTGGACGATTAATCATCGAGAACGGATAAAGTCCGCTCGTTATTACGTACGAAACTTGTCTCGGATTTTACTTTGCATATCTCTTTCGTAAATCTCGCAAGTACGAGATATAACTTACCGCGACGCGCGATTGTTAGAATGCGCAATGCGTATCTTGTTTTCTATTTTATTATTGATGTTCATGCCTTTTTTCGAAAACGCAGTTTCTCCGGATGGTTTCACGAGACTCTGGGATGTCCTGACGCTTAACTGATCGCGCATTGTTAATTGCATAACTTACGTTGCGTGCCGGAAACGCTATTTACCTCAACGATAGTTATTATAATCGTCTTCCGGTTGCTCTTGACACGTATTTACGCAGGGAACGGATGTGATTTCGCGATACGCGCTTGATTCTCACTGTACGTCATTGCACTGCGCTTTATCGCAATCCTTGAATGTGATATATCTCGAGTTATTTTTATTGTGTTAATGGCTGTACGTTATAAATACGTGACATGCTCGTGCGAAATGTCGATGTCACGATTTATTCGAAATACATCGATCTCCGAGGAGATTGTGGCAAACACATATATCATAAATAAATTTTCTATCATGATGGTTAGATAACTAAACCAGCTAGGTTAAATATGTAAACATCTTTTTTTGCTTCCCCCCCCCCCCAAGATAATGTAGGATACATTTGAAGTAGCGTACATTGTTTCAACTATAAATTACTTGATGAACTTGTCGATTTTTTTAATAAAAATTTAGAAATTTGATTAGAAATTATCGCCGATCGTGGCGTTTAACAATATCAACATGAGAGGTTAATTAAATCTTTAACTAGACTTCCGTTCGCTATAAAATAAAATAGAAGTAAAATTTGCTTTTAAGATTTATGGCAGAATATATACTTTTTGGAGAATTAAATCGCTGAAAAATATCTTCAGTGACATTTTTGTTGACGTTAAATAAATATTTATGACGAATCTCTTGTCAAATGTTCGCATGAAATATATACGTGCGTGTGAAATACAATATCTTGTGAAAGAGATGAAAAATAATTTTCTTCTCCTCCTTTTCTTCGTTTTAAAAAAAATATAACGGAATTAATTAAAATTTATGAAACTTCTATCTTAGATAAATATTATTGTGAATTATAGCGGACAGATGACTGATACATGACCGAATATAATATGACAATATGACTGAATACAATATCGCTTTAATACGACTGAACAAAATATTCTTTCGTACGGCGCTTTGATTGTCAGTCGCGACGACTGTCTGCCGGTAACCGACGTAAGAATGAGCCTGGTGTGTAATTCTGGCATGTTATTTTCTCGCGTACATTGCGAAAACTACATGCGGAATCACTCGCTAGATTCGGTTTAACGATAAACTTGCCAACCGTGAGCAAAGTAAACGACTCGCAGCGACGACTAACCGAAGCTATGTGAATTCAGTTGCGCGATTCTGTACGTAAATATTTTGACCTTGTTCTTTTGAAAAAACTTCATGTGGTCTTTTATCGCGTTATCATGAATTAATTATTTATTCATGATCATGCAACAATAAGCGAGTCGAGTCTCGAGTCAACTTTCTTATATATAATTCAATGACGCAAGAAACTTCGCAGCGAAGCATCATGTGCATGACGTATCTTTTTCCATCTCGCACTTTATCTCGGTTACATTTGCTCCACAGCAAGATTCTATATAATTAGTTGCACGCTGCGCAAAGACGCTGAAGTAAAATTAGAACACGTACACTTGTTTCGATGGGTCAATACTTAATTACAGGATTAACGATGTTCTCGCTCGCGAGTTTAACGAATTTGCTTTGCCTTGCCGTATCGCTGTCGAACGATTAATTTGTACGACTTACGTAGAATGTCCCGTTTCTACTACATTATATATTTTAAATATGACAATGATAAATTTTTACTTCGACAAATTATAATCGACTTTAGGAAGGAAATGTTGAGCCAGTTGCAGTCTCGAGTAATTAGTGATTGGAGATAAGGGGATTAACGGGTTTCCAGCAAACTAAGTTTCACGAGAGTAAATAAGTAACGGAATCATGTACTTCGCTTAATTTCATCCTAACTATATATTTTAGAAGAGTTTTTGATTTAAATATTATTACAACTAGATACTGTATTGTGAGCATTTTTCGACAAACGATAAGTAAATTATAACTTTAATCTTTTTATTTATTTTTTACTTCTTAAAGGCGTAACGTTTAAATTTATCAAGAATCTATGTTAGAATCTAAAGGTCCTTCTACAATACGTGTCGTAAGTTGTAAGCCGTAAGAATTGGCGAATCACAGTCGATTATTACAAAAATAATCGGCTATAATTGGTCAATTCTTACGGCTTACAACTTACGACACGTATTGTAGAATGACCTTAATATACTAATGCAAGTAATTACGGTAGTAGTGGAACATTTTATATATATGAGCCATTATTTATCAGTTCGGTGTCAATAATACTGAGTTTAATTGATGTCTAAATAATAAAGTATTACAGTAGAGACGGCTGTTGTGTGATTTTTAAGATTTGCCATTATACACACGTTCTTGGTACACCATGAGAAGAATTAAAACATATTGATATGTGTTTGCAATTCATCGAATCAAGCACAAATGTTTTCCAGATACTACGTCTTATGCCACTCATAAAACGTTAATTTTGCAATAAATCGCCTGGGTTATTTACTTCCGGGGGGGAAAATATTCTGAAAGGGAAAACGCGCGAATGAAATTTAATTCCAACGATGCGAGGACAATGAAAAAAGTATACATAGAAAATGTAATTAGATTTGAGATGTTTTATGCTTACTTCTAACTTTGCGAATTATCACAGACGGCTCTGGGAATCGCAAATCTCAATGAATGCTAAAGAAACCAACTAAGATTTATAGCGACTCTTTACGCGTTCAGCTAACCGCGTTATTAATCGTATTTATATTTTGTGCTCGCCATTCGTCCGTTAGGGACAATTTGTGTTGTATTCCAAGAGAATTATTTTTCGTTGTTTTCAACACGTTTTTGCGTGCTACATTCAAATCTCATCAAACAATTACGACGCCGATAAAATCGCATTGTTCGTACTTGTATTATTCCACTGTCGCGAAAGAAGAAAGTATAGAAAAATGATCTCATTGCTCTTTAGCCTTTTTTTATTGTTCCTTCATTATAATACTTGATATAATTATCTCGTTACTCGAGTTGTACTCGTTTTGTGTTGAGCAAGTGTTACACCGCAATTGGCCTGAACAAGTTAAAATTAAATTACTCAGCCCCAAATGCGTGAGAAAGACAACGAATTAACTTCAAGTATCACTTCGTTGTTGGGCTTTCGAGAAAGGAAGGTGCGGTTTGCATATTTAAGCGTTATGCACGCGATATTAAGTTACACGAAAGTATAAATTTCTTTGACGTCACATCTACAGCGTGGTTTCGTAATGTAAATCTGTTAGAAACACACAAATCCGACATGCTCGCCGACTGGTGAAAAATATATCTCGTAATTCCTAATATTTATGTCTCTCGCGACTAAATGTACCGCTACCTGCATGTTTTACTTACCGACTGACAAGTTCCTTAAACACC